GCAATATCTTACAGCAGCAGAACCCGGTAATGTGCCATTTCCCTACTTTATCACACTTCATGAATCAAACATCTCAACAACGTGTTCATGTTTCTCACTCGTGTTTAACACACTCAAGTGCCCGAAGCCATAATAGTGCGAGCTGAAGTTGGTTCATACCATTTTCCATGCGAGTCAAAGTAGGGAGAAAAGTAGTCTCGCGTAGCTGACAAAGTTAGGAGAAGTGGTAGAAAGTCGACTACCATGCTCATCAGCTTATGGTGTTTTGGCCAAGGACTAGTGCGTCAAGTCACTGCGAGACTCAAGGCTTGCACGTCATGTCAAGTCTGTTCTGTTCTGACTTACGAACAAGGAACCTTTTGCTTAGAAAATACGGAAGAGAGAGAGAGAGCTCGCTCTTGAGAAGGAAGGGAAGTTTGCATTATGCAGGATTACGGCTATCCTCTATTCTGCCCAATGTCTTATTTGATACTCCTCCAGAGGGACGTTTCTTTCTCCGTCGGTTAACTTTTCTGGAGTGAAAGCTTATCTCGTACTAAATTCTATGAGTTGGTCACCAGGAATGCTTCCGAGTGTATTCTGCAGCCACGGAGGAAGGGAAATAGCAAAGCAATCAATAAATTGTATTTCCACATTTAGATAGTTGGCTCTACTTATCATGGGTACGTGTTCGCTCGTGCCGTCGTGTACATGGGCGTGCAATGCAATTGGAGTAGTTCGCTTAGTGGTTTGCTATCTGATAAATTGTTATTAGGATTAACCTGTAGACACTTCTTGGTTGTGTAACATCCTGTACAATTCATCGTTTCAGAAACGTGGAAGGTCTTCTTGTGCACTGATGATGAGAGTGCATTCATGCGCCATTCATTCTTTTTTATACCTCCTTCTTTAATCAACCACTTTGGAGGAATGTATCGGTAGCTACACTAAACGTGTACGTAGGGATTGCAAATCCGGTTTTCCGAATTCAAAGTAGTAGAAATCCGGATTTCACAGAAACAAAATCCAGATATGGGAGCTTTTTAAAATATTTTTTACAATAGCTGAGAACTTTTTCCTTTGTCAATTACTCACAACAAAATTCGACCTGGATTGAATGACGTCCTTGTCCGACAAAGTATTTCTGTGTTCTAACTTCTATTTTATAAATGCCTTAAAATTAGTTCTGTTATAATCATTTTGGACAAGAGGTACCTCGATTTCAGGTTTTGATGCCCTTCAGATAGGTATGTTGTGTATTTAGGATGTACCCGATGAGTGAACATGAACAACAGTAGTTTTATTGCATGGCCCAAGTTGCGTCCACCACACCCACTCCAAGTTGCGAAAAACACTATATAAAGACACCACATCCCAACAGTCGCCATAAATTGAATATCAAAGTTAACGTTTTTGAATTTTGTAATACTTTTCCAAAATTTCTTGACCTATCTAGAAATTAATGTCGAAGAAAATCATAGTTTCGTAAAAGTTGAGTTCGACGATAAATCAGCTATTCGCATTTGTAACCCTTTGGTTGAAATCAAACCATTTATGGATTTGGAACACGCAATTGAATACAATTATTCAATAGAAGTATGAAATTTTGAAAGGATTTATATAATCTCAAAAACGAACTTAAATCATGATTTACAGTCTCGCATGCAGAACGAAAAACTCGAAATCTAGATTTTTAAAATTTGAATTTTCCATACACTTGAATTTGTTTTATAAAATTATAAATGAAGACACTTTTCTCATTATTTTGCCACTTATTTCTGATTTGTCGACTATACATATACATAGATAGGTGTACCTACATATGCATACTATTGCATACATACAATAATCAGATATATACGCTGATAAACGTTCCGGAAACAATAATAGTTGAAATCGTCGAGTCTTTTAGGCAATTCAACACTATCCTTGTTGTAGCATGTACGTACAATAATAACAATAATACAAGGGAAAAACCACAACTGCCACAATTGGAGTACGAGACGAGTTTGAATTTCGTTAGTCAAGTATGACAGATTCTGACCACGTTTCTGCCATTATTTCACAACTCTCTTGGCTGTACGACTGGATCCGATGAAGATGAAATAAACTGAATAATAAATTTCAGTTTTCACGGTTGTCAGGTATCAAGAGGAGATATTAAAGTGAAAGCGAGTGAAATATACGACTTCACCAGCAAACAATGGTGGTAAAGTGGGCAATGCAGAATTGAAGGGTTTAAATGAGCTGAAGAAAACGCTGTATTTCGCCGACCCTAAAGGCGTTGTAATACTTGATGTTCCTCCTCCTCCAGCATTTGCGGAACGAGTTCAGACTCCTTGACAGAATTCGATCCTTCTGCATAATGCATTGCTTCTACATTGCTCGTTGGAGAATTTAATCCCGTAAATTTTATGCCCCGATAAGGATTCAATGGCCGATTGTGTTGTAACCAAGCCATAGCTGCTAATGACCTGACAACCGTATAAATGGATTGACTGTCTCGTACTACTGCCCTTTCATATCTCACCGAAATGCACTAAAAACTTTCTCTCCCACCAAAAGAGAAAGGTGCCATATGGAGCAGGGGACTGTATACGTACTGACTATGATTGCCGAGATTTGGCTCTAAGAAATGGGCATCCCATCAGATTCATTACTATAAAAAGCAACAACGACAAGTTGAAGTTCCGGCAGCATTTTTTATTTAGGTACCATTAATTTTCACCCAGAAACCAAGAAACAAACTCCTTTCAGCCTACCATAAGCTATGTCCACACTTACGCGAGACCCGGCATTAAAAAGTGCGTACAAATATAAATTATTAAATATAATTATTTTTCTCTTTACAGTTTTGCTGCATTTCAATTTTTACTATGTAAAACTTTTTTTCTTGCGTGTAAAGTATGCATATTTTTTCCAACGTATTCCAGAAAGAAAGACTTCAAAGTCAATTCCTTGGTGGATTCCATCCTGTCAGTGAGAACGAGGTAACCCACCACGCATTTGTGTAAATATATTTACATATATTTACATTTACGTTTTAGACTGGTACTTACGAATATGTAAGTATGCAGATTTATTTTGAACGTGATAGTTGATGAACTATTCCTCTTTCTCAAGAAGGAAGTAATGTTTCGTGGCTCGTCAATTTTAAGTACTAAATCTGAACCTTCTATCGATATGGTGAAACTGACGAACTAAATCGACAAATGGAACCAATATTGGCAACTTCCTCATAGGAAATTTTTAATTTGAGACGAGCTATTTATTTTACTCATCCTCAGTCAGCTCTGCTACTAATCATGCAAACTAATATTGATAACGCAGCCATGTTCTATTGTAAGAAATGGTTTAAGGTGACGGCAAAACTTGTACACTGAGTAATGTACTTATGTATTGAAAAAAATCTCTACTGCTTTTCTTGAAATCTTATACATTTTACGGAAATTATTATATGTATTTCCTAGCCGAAAGTTACATTTCAACAGGTACGTACACACTCTTAAAGGATGAGTTATGAGCTCAGTTGTTGTAATAAAGACTTTATTTTACATAAGTACATCATGTAACATCATTTCTCAAGCCCCAACAAAAATAACTCTATTACTACTCGTTCATATTGCTTTAAATGTATTACCGTTATATTTAATGTGTTTTTAATTGTCAAAGACAGAGTAACACACAAAAGATTAATAGCCAATTAACCCCTAATTAATTGACACAACAACACTAAAGGCGTTCCACTCTCAATTTTTGTCCTCATATTAAGCAGCATGGAGAATGGAGGTGATCAAAGTGGCTGGTAAACCAAAATGGCTCCACCTCAACGCAAACATCCAAAGGAGAAAGTAACAAGATTTGCACTTTCACTATCTAGTTTAGTCCTTGAAGTCGGAGAATTGTTGCCTCCAGTACAGATATAATATACCCAAGGTAAGAGTGGCATATCCACATTGGACTCTTGTTTATAGGCCTCGAATATTACCCGAGCTGCATATAAATAAAATACGGCCCCACTGAACGCGTAGTGAGTGAGTGTTATATATTGTACGTGCTTCAAAGGTCCGCGTGAAAGCGGGCGCATTGAGTGTTACTTCTTGTCACAGTTGATGGTCACAGAAGAAGAGAGGCGGATGGCTAAAAAGCACGGACGAGCTCAAGACCCCAGATTAAAAGCTCTTGCATGGATTCAGAATTGGGCCAAGTGAAATCAGGCTTGTTAAAATCTCGATTCCCTTTTCCAGAGCTTTTCACTTGTCTGTTGCAAATCCCTCGAGACTTTGTTATGCCTGTTGTGTTGATAGGAGGCCGACCGTCGTCCCAGATTCCACTGTGGATAATCTTGAGATGCAAGCAAGAACTTTCTCCTCACTTTCTCCTCCAACTAGGTTTGTATTTAGTTTAGTGTGGTAAGTTATCATTGGATACATCCTGGGAAAATGTGCGCTTCATCTCTTTTAATCCCATGGAGAAAGTTCTTGTGTATATTATATATATACCTATTTCAAACTCCGTAATGTCCAGCCACAAGTAATACAGGTTAGGGACACGTCTTTCGAGGGCCCTTAACATCAGCTAGGACAAACTACGCACAAAATCCTTCTTGAGGTCTCCGAGAAACATAATTTTCCACAGAAATTGCCGCTGTAACGATTTTGTGTGAAAGAACACAAATCAAATTTGCATGGTTAACAGGTTAGTACATAATCTATATATAGATTGATCATTTCACGGAATTTGTTTATATAAACCTTGTTATTGAATTTGCAAATTGGCTGGTTCGCAACACATAATTTGAATTCACTTGAAATTCATCCACTAGCACGAAATCACGTTCTCAGGATCGAGTTGTTTGCATTGCATGGGAACGGATATAAGCAGGGATTTGGGATGACGATAAGGTGGAGAGAGCTGTGTAGGTATTCTTGGTGCAAATTTTGGTGGATTTGTGAAAGGTGCGATTCAAGCATGAAGAATAAATAAAAGGGATGTAGGCAAGTCTTGCGAATGTTACTTACTGGATTCAATTTGGGATTCCTCTACGGCTGTCTGTTTGTCTGTCTGTTTGCGTGTGTGCTTTCTTTCTGCCACCACTACTCCAACATTTCTATATTAAAAATCAAACAGTCACAATCCAATTTGAAAGTTTCGCACTGGAACTTTTTCAAAGTCAGTGATCCTCCCAAAAGCTGTGATCTACATGTTATGTATTCAACTCTGAAATTGGCAAAGTTTCCAATTCGCAGAAAATACAAACAAAAGATGAAAAGGAAAGCTGCTCAAAGCAAAATGACAAATGCACAAGCTTGAAGCGCCAGGGATTCTTCATCGTTAGCTCATGCATTCGAGCTGTGGCATATTCCAGATTTCCCGTCCAAAGTAACTTCCTGCTTTCACATTTACCAATATTTGCAGACTGTACGCATGTCTTAACTCTCGTTTTGCTAGGCTTCACCCCGACAAGAGTGATAAGCCTTGCATACAATACAGCTTTGGAGACAATTAGTATTAGCCCATTGGAATTACTCTAATAATAAACTCGTTGGATTTGAACTTTCTCTATTTCTCACTCCATACGCACTTAGGTTCACCCATGCCAAAACTTATTCACTTATAACTTGCAATGTAATAACCAATCTACGTAGTTCATGATATAATACTTATAAAGTGTTAAATTGGCTTTTAAAACACAATAAATTGATAAATGATAAAAGAAGTAATGAAAATGCATGCTGTCTGCAACATTGTATTTTCTTGTGAAGAAGTGAAAGGGGTGTTCTCACAGTGGGGTCATTACAAATCTAGAATAACAGTACAATGGCGGTGGTGGTGTGCGGTTGCAATTTATGAAATCCGAAACCAGTTTTGGCAATGTGATACGGTTTCACTTCACCGACTGGACAACTACACGAAGAGGCGAAATGCATAGCTGGGACCATTACGAGGATATGTACGAAGCAAATAAGTGATGAACTCTTTTTTTATCTTTCCACATATCCGCGTCCCAGGCAGGCAGGCAGTCCCAGTCACTTCACAATTTAGAGGTCCACAGTGATGAACTCCATCCATCTAGTTTCCTCGCCCTGCTTCTGACCTCACATGCAGCCAGCCCTGTTGCATCCGCCGCGGATACGGTGAGCGATACAGTGTGTGGGGAAGGAGAGAAAGCGAGTAGTTTTCAAGTCTAAAGCTCCTTACCATTTTCCCCGAGAGTGAGAAAGCGAATCCAATAAAACTGGACAAAGAAAGACTCAAAAGAAGTGAGTGGGCTTGGCTAAGAATGGGGTGATGGGGTTACTCAAGCTTCCGAGCATTTCAGCCAGCTCTCTTTTCCTTGAATTAGATTAAGTTGGGCAACTAAAGCCACCACAGAGAACACCAACCAAACTATTGACCACAAACCAAGAAAAAGAAAGTTACTTGGTGAAATTCTTCTTGAGAACAAGGTTACAACCTCCTCGTGTCGTGTGGACACTGCTGGGAAGCAAAGTCGAATACATATAAACTCGTGTTCTTACATCCAATTTCACCTGCCTGAGGTGAACTCGGAGTAATTTACGGCACCCCGTTCTTTCTAAGAAAATTAAATTTTGCAAGGCTACATATTTTGAGGCTCCTCTTTCTCGACGTTGAATCCCAATTTTAGTCCACTATTCAAGAGGCAATAATCAGTAGCAATGACTTCAGACTACACAAAACACAGTACTTACATATCTACATGCAATACTTAAGACAACATATGTAGCTACAGTCGATGCATGATTTTTTTATACTTGATAAACTTGAGCTTTATTCATGTTTTCGTGCAAGTAGTGAAAAGGTGTAAAAAATCCTTGGACGGAATTCAACACCAACAACAACATGATAAAGTAGAGACGTCGTTTTTACCTAAAATAGATTGAGATTCTGATGAAAGAAAACAAACGCGTGGGATTTTCTCTTTCTTTGGTTGATCAGTTTTTCGTCCATGAGCTGCCACGACTCAACTTCTGCAGTCCATCATCATCAACTCTGCAACCAATACTGCATCACAAGGCAGATGCAAGTTTTTGTGTCCGCGTTAAAGAAAAATCATGTCTGTCTGTGCTTTCACACATGTCGTTGAACAACAACAATGTTACTTTCTCCCTTCGCACTTTCTCCAATACTACGTAATCTAAATGTATGGCTGTGGATGGCCAAGTAAGAGTGACGATAACGCGAGGCGAGAGAGAGAGAGATGAAAGATCTTTTGAGGGAAATAATGTGAAGAAGGATTGTCCATAGTTTTAATGCTCGTTCGTATTGTGCACTATTTTCTTGGGTGAGAGCTACCAGGATTGATAGAGGAGTTTGAAGGGAGAACACATAAATACTTTTATTTCAGACACTTATTCCGCTCCTCCATTGTTATGGGTCAGATCGGGGAGGAGGAAGGAAATGATGATGGTGCATCGAGGAAGGATATTATTCCGTTCCCTTTGACACCAGCGAAACTCGAGATGGTAAAAAAGTGCTGGTATAAAATAAACGTTGTTTTACTTTTATGGCGTTCGTTCACACTCAATTTCCTCCAGCATAGCACAAAAACCACCACATACGTAGTGACTGGCAATATGAATTGAGTTTTCTATCCTGTATGTACGTACGTATTTATGTATTGGTGGAGTCATTTGGGTGTGAATGACTTAACGTGCATATTTACGTGAGAGTCAATATTTTCACGATTCTGCTCTTCCGGAAGGAAGGGACAGCGAAGATGAAAACACGAATATTTTACACCATCTCAATTTGCATATGACAGATTTTCCACTACTATTATTGGAACTAACAAATGAGGAATAATTCTTTTGTCATCATCGACTTGTAAACTCGTTCCGGTTCGTTCATTCGGTTTTACATGGTGGTTGGTTATTTGAGCTTGTGTACACAGTCAGTCTCACTCACTCGCTCGCTCTCTTGTGCACTATTTCAGAGTACTTACTTCGGAATGAGACGATTCCAATCTTTCAAGCATGCAGTCGTACGTCTATCGACCCGACTTAATATAAATATTTGATGAAGTTTTGTATATAAGCCACATTTGTACAAAATTAGGCAAAGAGACAAATTAAAACAAACTTGAAATGCACCACCAAGTTAAATATCTATCAAGGTCTCTGTATTGACCAAAACTAAGTTGATTTCGTCAACAGATTTAATTTTGCGGTATCGTAATTGGCTTATCGTTTGCAATGGTTCTAAATAGGTTATCATTATAGTTTATCATTATATCGACAATTATATTGAATCATGCTCTTCCTTTCCTTCCCCTTTAGGCTGGTCGCTGTTCTCTTTCTAAACAGGAATATTATTTTCCAGTAATACGTATGACAAATAAAGCAAAAAAGTGCATGACATATTGCGTAGATTTTGTAATTATTTAACAGAATTTATATGATTTTAGCGAAATATAATCAAGTCACTACTTAATAAATGTTAAGGAGGAGCCTACAATGTGTGGGCTATAAAATCAAATGAAAAGCATAAACGTGGAGATTACTACCTTTGGTATTTTCCTCGAATTCATTATCCTTATTAAAGAGAAATGAAAGTTTTATAGGTTGGTGTGCTTGGAATAATAATTATCCGTCCTAAAAACTTATCAACTAACCTTAGAACACGAAAATCCTCTAATGTGCTCACCAGATAAAAACTTTGCAAATTGGTTGGCACTACTCACTCAAAGTATAAAACAGGGCTTTCTCCGGCTGGGGATAAAATGTGGTGAAAGTAGTTGTTGAAAATCCAGCCCCCATCAGGCAGACTTCCAAGTCATGATTAGCAGACTCTCTTTTTTTCTGTTGGTGCTTCATTTTAATAACAAAAGTGCTTTTCTAGTTCTTTTTTATGGTTGTTTGTTGAGCTATCTTGAGAGGAGTCTAACCTCCATAACATTTTTAAGTTTTAACTCTATAAAGTTTTAATGTAAAAATGTAATGACATACTCTAGATTTTATAATAAGCCTGTTGTGGGCTTCTGGTGTTGTGTTGTGATGCAAAACTCGTATATTCGCTGGCATCGATAAAGTAGCTGCTGCAAATGCAAATTTTATAGGATTGTCCAAACAAGGATAATGTACCGCTTGCAGCTTACACTGCACAACTGACCTTTATTCATTTCTCGAGTAGATCAGAAACTGTCACATGAAAAAGTTCAATAAACAGAATCTCATTAAAGTTCGATTTTAACGAAGTACGTAACACATTAGAAAGTTGGTCTCGTTGTTGGTTGGGCAAGTTAGAATAGAACTGGAAAGGTGACGTCTTTACATATTGTAAAAATATTAGCTTTGTAGAATCCAAATGTTAAACTGTTTTTCTTTATTGATGAGAGTTGATCAAATAGAATTCTAGCAATGCCACATTAAATGTCGATTACTGTTAATAATAGCAGACCTACATACATATTTAATGCACATGCATACGCTAAACGTCAAGCAATTCCAATCTTAGAATCACGTGGATCTTTAATCAGCTCGCATGTATGGGAAAGCATAAAATCGTTTCCTTGTTCCTTGCGTCAAGTAACCCCACAACCCAAGAATTAAACAAATCGTTTGTTCATCATATTAATTCGTTGGCGTACACGAAATAATAGAAATAATGTCACAAGAACATTATTGATTGATCCTCCTTGTCTGCAGGGAGAAATAAGTCATTGATTGGAAGGTAAAAATATTGGATGGACGAGGAGTTAATCGAGGAGTGAAAGTTTGCAAAGGCCAAAAAATAAGCATGTAGTACATAAGTACGAAGGTCTCCCTCGTTTGTGCGTCCCCTCCTACTTATCCATGTAGATGTCTACATAACGAGCCGAATGTACCGCAAAGAGGAAGAAGGAATAAAGATCAATATCAATTCCATTAGTTGTGCATTTTACATGGAGTAGGATAAAAAAGAAAGGACCGACTGTGCGTACCAGCACTAACTTTTTCTGTGCTCATTTTCCCAATATTTGTGCATCCATTTGGAACAAAATGATGAATGATTATCATTGAGGTAATTTATCCCAGAAGAACTAGAAGTAGAACTCGGTGGGCTGAGTGAGAGGATTTTCGAGGAGATGGATGAATGCAACTGGCTGACGATTATTCTGTCGAAAATTAAATTCCATATCCACTCCTTGGCTGCTGCATGGGCTAATGTCGGGAAGAACAAAAATAAAATGCACCAGTGAGAAGGTCTCAGCTACAACAACATGGAACGTGGATGTCAGCCTAAAGAAACAATTTACCAAAGAAATTGCATGAATGGGTAATTGTATACATAATTACCATCATTTCTAGATCCAAACCCCCAGCACTGCTCTCTCCGCTGTCTGGGAGAGTGATGGTTAGGCAAGAAACGTGGGAAAAGAAAGGTTGGTAGTCGTGGACAATGTGCTAATAACCTAATTAAGAATCGCAACTTGTGGATGAAGGCTTAATTATTAAGTCAGCCTGCCTCCGCCGATGTAGTTTCCTTGAACCACCAACAGCAACAGCAGGAAAAACTACCACCAGGCCAAATTGCGTCTTATCTCTATCGAGGAGATTAGGTAGGAAGGACTAATTTGTTTGCCCTTAAAGTAATTAAACTGTCCCACGAAACATCACATCGCACTTTCGCCAACACTTGTGATAAGCCGCTTTTTCTTATGACATACAAGGAGAAACCGGCCCCGAAGATTGAATGACTTTCCAGCCTTTTGTTTGCAGAGAGAATTGGAAGTCCTTTTTCTGGCTTTTTCGTCCTCCTTCGTGTCCTCATATCTCGAAGCGTAATCTCAATGCATTCCACCGGAAAAGTTGGAGGATGAGGAAAATTGGTCACCACTCACCCCATTCCGTACTCCATTTCCTTCGCATTATCCTTCCATCAAAGGCATACAAAACAAATAGATTTCTCTCGAATTTTTTGAAGGACGCAGTAACTGCTTTAATGATATGCTATGTTCGAAAGTCCTGCTAAGCCCATATTCAGCCCACTATTTATTACTCGTGCTCTAGAATTCTTGCAATTCTTCATTACCGCACGGTACATCACCACCTACATAAAGATATGAATACATAGTGCCGGACTATCCACTATACAATATCTGTCCTGGTACAAAGATAGCCATTAACTTGTTTTGATTCAGTTCTCCTTTGTTGATACATTCTGTAAAAGCTCCGGCGATGAGTTTCCTTCCAGGAATCCGACTATAATGACTTATGTTTTATTTATATCAATTCATTCCTTTTAATAATGCTTAAACTTGTGTTATTTGAAGTACGCATTCGGGTGGATTTGTTTTTAGATACGACTTTCATTAGTTTCATTACGTGGGCATTTGGTGAAAGACGCAAGTTAACTAATCCTAAGGATTCTACATGAAATAAATGCTACTAACTATGTAACTAGCCAATAATGAGGCCAGCAAAAGATCAAACAAAGTACAACTCACCCCAGTTCCTCAAGTTATGTCACAGTGAAAGTCCTTGCTTTTCAAGCTTCGTCTAGTGGGTAATTGCTGATTGAACCATTTGGGAATTCATGAGGAAATCGTCGCCTTCGTTTAGTAGCACAGCTTGTAATTGACTATTGTACAATCTAGCATGACGTAGAACTCTCAGTTATTACGTTATTCGTGACACCATCGGCTCAGGTACAAATTTACAAGTAGTCAAGCAAGAGAAAGCCGTTGATTGCATGCCTTAATTTACTGCACATATATAAACATGTAAATATGTATGTGTAGGTATTTAACCGCATATTACGTAAAGTATCCAATCATACGCTGTTCGAGGAGTTATTTGCTTATAATGTACTGTCCATGACTGATTTATGCAGTTTTCGAGTGTCACAACAAATTGCTTTGAATTTCTGTTGCTTGAATCACACACCAAGAAGCTAATTTTATGCGTCTTTCACAAGACAAATAAACTGTTACAGTTTGTCTTGATGAATCAGAGTGGACTTCCTGTCAGACATGGATAGAATTTTATTTGGAGCAGTTAGTATAAACCAAGAATCTTGGACGAGTTGGTTCTGTTCTTTGTTAAAATAAGCATTTCTCACTGTCTGTCAGCACAGCAGCAGAAATAACGAGTTTGTGGGCCCTTCGTTCTTTCTTTTTCACACACCTGTTCCTTCTCGGTGGCTCATGGTTGAGGTTCTTCTTCTTGTTACGCTACGGTTGAACTTTATAGATTTTTGATTTATTATTCGTTTCCACTCTCACATTTGCACGGGTTCTTAATGTTCCGGTTGATGGTGTAATTATTATTAACAGGAAGTTCGACCAACGCTTTTATTTGCACATTTTATCTCATGGGAAGAAAACATGTGCGCAATATTCTCTCAACTCTCAAGGTTTTTTTAACTCCCCAGTGAAAGCAAAACCAGTTATTACTTGGCGTTATTTGAGAGAGAGATGGGAATAATGAGGGAGAAATTTGAGACCTGTCGTCACCAAAACTCCTCGACGTCCATACTCCGAAGCCAACGTGACTTCACTAGGCAGCAAGAAAAAACAAGTGTATCGCGTTACAACTTGTGCTGGTTGTCTGCTGTCTTTTTTTGCAAAAACATGCAGAAAGGGTTGACTCAGCATAGAGAGTTTATTTTAATATTATTGGGAACTATGTGACTCGCACTCAACCCGGCTCGGTTTTCTGTGGAGGAATGAGAGCAATAATGGTGTGGGTTGTTGCTGAAGACTACTATAGATCGTCCTATTCCTCGTCCCTGTGTTTCGGCCTGCTTTTTCGGGGAGAGGAAAAGGTGCATAAGAACCAAAAGGACTCTGGGAGGCGGATGGGTTGATGTGGAGTGGGCTCGGACAGAATAACTCACCACCAACCAAACCAGCCAGGGATCCTTACGTGGATGAATTGCCGTGCTTTCTCTCTCCGGCTCTGTCAAGACTACTTTCACTTGCGAATTTTGAGCCACCGGTCCAACTCAGATGCGAATGCATTACGTACGAGAGAGATCTCTTTTAGATCTAAATTTATAATGTTGGGAATAATCTGGAATGCTAAAAGTTCGAAATCCAAAAAACTATTAACGTTTATTTGGGGAAAAGCAGGCTCGATGAATATTATTATACACACAATTCAGTGATTTCTATACAGAAACTTGTACAAGTCAGTATTGACATATTCTGACAATATGATGTATGTATTTACTACTTCAGCACAACAGTAGCGATGGACAGAAATATACGTTTTATGGAATTTTGTGGAACCGTAGCCGAGTCATGTCTATGTATGAATCTTTGAGAGGATTAATCTGTCAATTCGGATAATACGAGTAGTGATGGTTGAAGAAAAATGTGTGCGGGGAAAAGGTTTGCATTCATTTTGCGTTCATTTATTATTTGTACTAGAAAAAGTTGTGTGTTTATCCCGAACTAACTATGGCTTACGTTACCACCATCTCTGTCTGTCTGGGATCTTGATAACTCCCTTTATCCGATCGGATTGAAATTGTGCACATACATTCGTATGAGCAAAAAAAACGTATGAGCAAAAATAAAAACCAATTAGTATCGAAGATACATTATCTCTATGTGAAAGTCAAATGGGAATGTTTATGCAGTGAATGTACCTATGTAGGTGCCAACGAGAAAGAATTGGTTAATACAAGATTTAGTTCCAAATATCCCAAATTAGTGGCATGTACTTAATCAGACAATATTTTTATTTTATTCGTAACACCTAATGTTTACTGATATTGCATAGATATTTATTTTTACAACATTGTGTCTAATGAAGAATGCAATTCGAACGAACTGTTGCAAAATCTTTCAATTCAATACATAATTAAAAATGTCGTCCGACACTTTTAAAACAACAAAGAATAAAATCATGGTTCACTTTGGTCGCTCAATCTGATTCCCGTCTTGTAAGATTCTTCTTTGTCCAATTTTGGGGCTAGAATCTGTTTCCAAAAGCGATGTCTCTGGATTTTCGACACGAAAATTAGCACCCTCAACCCCACTGTGGGTGGTTCCCTTTTCTAATAAACAATAAAAGTTACCATTGCATCAGAAGATATTGTCTTGTCCGCTCTCTTATTTGCGATTGGGGCTTGTAATATCTGACCTTCCGTCGTTACAATTAGGCCTACGATTACGATTGTAACATAAAAATCAATGGAGCACAGCGAATCTGAAGGTTCAATTCGTGACGCACAATTCATTTTTTCATTCGAAGAAACTACAGGTTAACATGCGTTGAATAAATATGCAAGGAAACCACGCACCAATAAATGAATGGGCAATTGTGCAAATCATCAGCCAGACTTTTTTAAGTTAACCAAATGTTGGATTAATAATGATAATATCTTTTGAAAATCTTACCGTTATCTTCAGCTGAATCTTTCTTATTCATCGTTGGTTTTGGTTTTGGACCGTTAATAGTGCTTTCATGATCAGGTTTCATTTCTCTCGTTGGAAATGCTGTTGAGTTTATGAATCGATGCCATCATTTTATAAATCACGTGTGTAATACATAATACACCAACGAACCTGGCAGTTCTGTTGTACCCGTGGTCATTCCTTCTCTGGAGAAAGTTGACCCGTCATTATCACTCCCCATATTTTCCGATTTTGTAGTGTCCGAGCTGTGCCCCTCAGAATTTTGGTTTGGTTGATGTTTGTTTGGAGATAAAGCATCTCTTGAGCTTTCAGTGGTGCTTGGAATTAATAATTCCGTTGAGGTTGCCGTCGCCATTGAAATGTCTGAACCACTTATTGTCGAGTTGTTGCTCGTGGTTGGATTCTCAGTCGTTGATGGAAATGATGGAGCAGTGACTTTCTCCATGAAAGAATTTGTATGCAAACTCGCTGTACTCTCCTCCTGAATGTTGTTGTTAGTAATGGTTATGGAAATAACATGTCCCGTTGATTCCGTTGTAGAATAAATGTTGGAATGTGTGGCAGAGTAATCGTCAGTTGGGTGGGAACTTACTGCATTTATACTTGATTGCGAGGAGCTGGAACTGGTAAAAACGTCGTTGGATCCTCCCGTTGTGACTCTGCTTTCTGAAACGGCCTGAGTATGGCTCCCAAAACTTTCAGTCAGAGCTGCACTTGTTGTGGTTTGAGTAGGCGTTACATCGCTTCTGCTGAAATGTGTCAAACTTTCATTCATTTCACGAGGCGAGATTTCGGTGGTTGCAAGCAGGTGTCCATTTGCTATGGTGCTCAAGCTGGAAATAGCAATGGTGGACGTTTCATTCATGTTGGGATTAACGGTGAGTGTTGTATGTGCGGCGTCCTCTGCACCTGTTGCATCAAATAGTGTACTGCTTTTGACTGTTGTTTCCATTTCATGAGTATTCTCATTAGTATTGACTATTGTAGTAGAACCAATCGCAAATGCTGGTCTTGAAATGTTAGGTTGCCCGTTTGTCGAGGTCTCTTCGGAGTGAACGCTGGCTGTTACTCCAGGAAAGGAGGTTAAATTCGCCGTGTGGTCATTCTGATCAATTAAGGATTTGGTTGTGGTGCCAAGTGACTCTGGCGACGAAGTGGGTTGTGTTTGCGCAGAGCTATGAGTCCCTTCGGTGGTCTGAATTGATTCGTCTCTTGTAGATGGATGGGTTGTGCTGATGTGTTCGACAGGTAATGTTGTCTCACCATTAGTCAAACCTGTCGAATAAGAAGTTGTCGTATCATTGACATGAGATTTTACTTCGAGTGTCGAATCATGTGTTGTTTTAATACTCGGCATATGTGTAACTTCAGAAGTGCCGTGCGTTGGACCGCTGTCCGTAGCATTTGACGTCGTAGTTATTGGCATCTGAGTCGATGGATCTGGTTGAGTGTAGTTCATAAACTCTTCATGATTTTTTGTAGAAATGTCATACGTAGTCAATTCATGGTTTGTGGAAGAAGTGGTTGTCTCACTACTTGTAAGAGGGTAATGCGTAGTCTCGTAATTTGTAGGAGTAATATGGGAGGTCTCGCTACTTGTAGGCATGTAGTGGGTGGTTTCACGACTTATGGAAGAAATCTCCTCTGTGGGTTTGTAACTAGTCGATGGATTGTCCGATGTCGTTTCATGACTAATTGAAGAATAAATTGTTAATGGATTGTCTGATGTGCTTTCATGACTAATGGAGGAATGACTTGTGGATGGATTGTTCGGTGCCATATTGGTTGATGTAGATTCATGATTCGTCGAAGAATAACTTATCGATGGACTGAAGGATGTCGAGTCATAAATTGTGGGCGTTGATTCATAATTCGTCGAAGAATAATGATAGGTAGGTTCATGACTTGTTGATGGAGTGTAATGGGTCGACTCTTGGCTTGTGGTGACAGGTGTAGTTGCATAGCTCGAAGGAGGGTGGAATGTGACGTCGTGAGTGGTCGAGAACATAAAATCTGTGGTCCCGTAGCTTGTTTCGGGGTTGTGTGTCTCATGATTTGTTGAAGAAGTATCCTGGACTGGACTTATTGTAGTCACTTGGTAAGTGGTTTTGTTGCTTGTCGATGGATCGTAGAGGGTTGAATCCTGGCTTGTCACTGAGGTGGTATAAATCGTCCCAGGGCTCGTCGACTGTGTTAAACTCTCAGGACTTGATGATGGACTTGTAGAATGACTTTCTAGGTTTATTGGAGGATTATTGGTGGAAGTGTGGTCAGTGGTATAATAACCTGTAGAAGAAGTATGTTGCGTGGTCTCAGTATTTGTGGAAGGGATAAAATAAGTCGTCTCGACACTTGGAGGGGTATGTTGTGTGACTTCATGACTGGTAGAAGTGTGAGTGTTTATTTCATGAATTGTCGAGGAGGAATCATGCAAAGTGGTGGCATCACTTGTAGATTGGATAAAATTGGTAGTTTGATGGGTGGTTTCATGGCTTGTTACGATTGTATGCGTAGTCGACTCCTCCAATACCTTCGGCATCTTTGTGGTGTGCATATATTCTTGACTCGTCGCATCACTCTGGTGGTGCGACAAATCGGGATGGGTTGTCTCAAGGCTTGTACCGTGATCAAATACATGCACTGTCGTGTGCTCATCTGCAATTTATATTAATTTGTTGAACATCTAAATTTTCATAATAATGTCAGATGCTTAGGTATATGTTGTTACACATGTATGTATGTGTGTACTACTTTTTTCATTATTTGGATGATGTTCTGGGTGAGGAGAGTCGTCCACAAGACTTCTCTGGTCTGAATGTGGCATCTTTTCTGGCCCATTTACTGCTCCTTCTTCGAGATGGGGATGATCAAAAAAATTATAAAGAAATAATTAGTTTATGTACATATATTTATAATTGAAAATGAATTTATGACGTCAAGTAAGAGTTGAAAATTTGAAACCGACAACTACCTACTTTGAGTAGTTGTCATCAGGGCTGGAGTTACAGTGATAATGGTGGTCGGGGGGTTTTCAGTCATTGCAGACAGACTATTGCCTTCAGCATCTCCGTCTCCGTAATAATACTCGGGCAGGGCCCCGTTCTCTTGTATGTTGTTATCCGGAGGGAATTGTGGTGGGGGTGGGAAGGCCGGACGTGAATTATAAAATGGAAAGTTAAAATGGACTGAAAATTCCAATGCAAAAACGGTATTATGTTATGGAAAGTAAAAATAATTTGGGACCTGGGGAATTAAGTGATGGAAAATTGAGGAAAAAAAATAAATGCCAAAATTTACATGTCCATGAAGGCAGTTCGAACAATGGCTTGGCTTGGGTTGATTCAGAATCAGGATCTGCATTCCCTTCCGACAACTGTCCTGATGTTGGTGGAGTTTGATAACCATGAACCCTTCCCATTAATCGTCGAAAAAAGTCGACCGTTGGATTTGGGTTGGTCAGCGATATGCTTAGGATGCAAACTATGAATAGAGGACCGGAAATTGCCATTGTCATTCAAAAATGAAAAACAGGACGATGAATCAACGACAAATTTCTTAAGTAATGTGAATAAATAGAGAATTAATTTGCCTTTAGGAAATTTGTAAGTCATGGAACATTGCATGAGAAGAATGAGTACTAAAAGAAACTAGTTTCTAGTGAAACGTGGCGAGACAATGAGATTGCTGATGCTGGAGAATCAAATGGAAAAGGATTTTTACTCAGTCATTTAGCACCTTGACCGTGATCTCATTTGATATTTTTTTTGTTTTGTAAATATTTTTTACTACATAAATCAGCGCAGTATTGCATTTTATGTTACAAATTAAATATGAGGTAATAATTGGCCGAGAAATATATACATATGTACGCTTGTTGCACATATGATATGTGACATATCTATTACAACATTTATTCATGTGAGATATACATAGTTTTCTATTAGTTCAAACTTTAAACCGTATTTATGTGTTACGTTGTACTAAAATAGATCTGAAATTTCTATCTATGATAAGAATATGGCCTTTTAAAAATAAACTTTTGTCTGGAAACATTTAATCTGAACATAATTATTTTAGAGTAATTAAAACGTCTTCGTCTGCAACTGAGTCACCTTCTTTGATGTTAACTTCTCCAATTATTCCATCAGCACCAGCAACAAGCTAAAACATTATAAAAATATTCATTAGCGTAAATTAAAAATACAGTTATTAGGAAAGGTATATTTAGTTATAAAGACTCGTTAAACTCACTTTATTTTGCATTTTCATAGCCTCTGAAAATTTTTTAACAAATCACAAATTAATAGTTGTCAGACAATAAGGATAGTAATAAATGTTGCTTAGAATTATTAAATTAATAATGCATACCAATTGTACAGACTTCTTGCCCTTTGAACACTTTATCACCGACTTTTACAACGACTGATCGGACAACACCTGGCATGGGGCTCAAGAGTTCTTTAGCTGTATCGCCCTAATGAAAAAGTTTAAAGTGATTGGTAAAATTGCATCTATAAAATACAAGATGTTAAGTAGTATCAATGTCTTACCAATTTTGGCTGAGGCATGATATCTAAAAGAGTTTGTGCGTATGGAGAGAGAAGCTTAAAGTCATAGGAAGATCCTTGAAACCCAATTGTCCAAATTGGTCCATTACGACCACGACCATGAATTTGCAATATAAACGTCTCCCCATCAATATCTAAGTTGACAGTGGATTTTCCCATGTCCCACGTTGGCAGTGTAATTTCACGTCCCTCAACATTAATCTGTATTATACATATTGAACAATTGATTAAAAATCCAACACTTTTATTAATTGGAGAAATACGTTAAATAATTACCAAAAATCCATTCTCTAATTTAGAAATATTTACAGCCGTTGCATTTTCTTGATCTGAAACCACAAAATCCCAAGAAGACTCCTTAACTTTCAATCGCAGGTAACGACTTGCTTCTAATGCCGCAGCGACAGCCTTGAGATTGTCCATATGAGACTCGCTTAGCTTCGGAATGGTGAACCCTAAAATTATTAGAAGTATAATATATAATACACATTATAAAGTACTAAAAGTCACCCAAATTTGTCGAATTTGATGAAGATTGCATATATTTGTAATTCTCGATATACAATTATTTTCATTGCCGCAATTTTCAAATAAGCATGTATGCATTACCTTTAGGGTATACGCGTGGCAAGTAATCCGTATCTGTGTCTCCAGCAACGTAGGATTTCTATGATATTTTAGGTAATTCATAATACTACTGTAAATAAGAACCCGAATGGATGTAAAATACGAATAGTACCTCGGTAAGTATATCTCTCAGAAGAGAAATATTATGAGAAACCCCTTGAATTACATACGAGTCCAACGCATATTTGCCTCTGGCAATAGCTTCATTTCGGGTAGCACCGTAGCTTACAAGTTTACATATCATGGGGTCGTAATAAACTGAAATCTCTGAACCCTCCCGCACTCCCGAGTCACATCGGATACCTTCCCCACGGGGTTCAACATATCTGTAAAATAAAGATTAAATATTCATGTATATAAGGAACGTGAGTAATTAATACACGTGTATCATAAAGTAGTCTGTACTTGAATAGCCTTCCAGTTGATGGTGTCCCAAAGTTTCGTGTGGGATCCTCAGCATAAACTCTATAAAATTATTATAATTCACATACTGGGCGTTAACGAACAATACGACCGTGTTCTACATGGAATATCTCTCTTCTTAAGTCTAAAATAGATTTCTTTCACAAAAATGACTTTTAGACGATATCTAGAGTGTTGACTAATTCTAGTAGATTGTAACAATAATTTTGATTCGCTACCTTAGTTCCAAAGCCCATCCGTTAATTGGAATATCAGCCTGGCTGAATTTTAATTTCTAGTAAAATACATTGAAAAAGTTTAACAGTACTGTGTCTTGACGTATGCCAGATAGATATCAAATGTTTAAAAAAACTTGAAATACTCACATGTCCATAGGCTACACGAATCATTTCAGCTACCAAATCAACTCCTGTTATGCATTCACTAATTGGATGTTCTACCTGCAATTGAACCATTGTAGTTAACGTGACCAAACGCCAAACGTGTATGTAGACAGTTATCGTACCTGCAGTCTCGTATTCATTTCTAGAAAATAGAAATTCTTCTTGTTATCCACCAAAAATTCGACGGTCCCTGCAGATGTGTACCCTATTGCTTTAGCGAGATCTAATGCTTGATTTCCCATTGCCTTAAGAGTACAGCAAAAAAAAACAATTATACTTTTATATCATACTGATGCATTTATACAGTATTTCATGAAAGAAATAGGGGTGTTATATAGTACCTTTCGCAGTTCAGGGTCGACAAACGGACTAGGAGCCTCCTCGATGACCTTCTGATTTCTCCTGTATAGTGAGATACAAGCTGTATTACCAGTATTATTTTGAATGTGTCCGAACTGAATACCTTTGAATGCTGCACTCCCTTTCATTGAGGTAAACCCCATTCCCGTGACTATCACATAAAATTTGGATTTCGATATGCCTAGGTTTGACTACGAATTTCTCGATGAGAATTCTATCATCTCCAAAGGAGGCTTTCGCTTCATTCTTCGAAAGTCGAAATCCTTCAACAGCTTCTTTGTCGTTATGAGCTATTCTCATGCCCTTTCCCCCACCTCCAGCGGATGCTTTAATCATGACTGGATATCCGATAGATTTCGATATTTCGAGGCAATGATCCTCATCCCTAATTTCACCATCAAATCCAGGCACCTAATAGTAATGATTAACTTATAATTATCATTAATATAAAACAGCACATTGTGTTTATAGCTAGGTTGAACCATACGTCCATACCGTGTTAACGCCAGCCTTGATTGCTAATCGCTTCGATTCTAATTTGTCCCCCATTCCATGAATTGCAACTGCTGGAGGTCCCATAAACTTTACCTTCATATCTTCCTACGAATTTCAGCATTATTAATATTAGTATAATGGTGTATTATGATCACAAATATGATTTTAGTCGTGGTATTTCTTCTTACCAATTTCTTAACAAAGTTGGCGTTTTCAGACAAAAATCCATATCCAGGATGTACAGCTAATAAAATTAAAAGTTCATTGGAAAGTTAATTAACCTCTTCTATGTCTCGCATGAATTTTAATTTGGAAATAAATAAAAATAAAATGAGTGATACTATACCTTCCGCTCCGGTTTGCTTAACCGCATCCAGAATTTTATCCATGACAAGATAAGATTGAGAAGCAGCCGATTCTCCGATCCAAACTGCTTCATCAGCCATTTCTACATGCATCTGTGATAAAATTTCAAAGTCATCAAATTAATCACCCGATCTTGCTTATGTAACGTGCTATTAGATTCGATGCAAATATTTACTTACAGCTCCTGAATCTGCAGTGGAATACACGGCTACGGTTTTGATACCCATTTTTCTTGCTGATCGGATAACACGGACTGCAATTTCTCCACGGTTAGCAATTAGAATTTTTTTAAAAGTCGGTTCTGCAGGATCGATGGGGTTAGTTTTATAAATTGTGTCAGCCCACAACTGTTTTCGCCTGGGATTGACAACAGCGACTGGAACCGCATTTCTGAGCAGTGAACTTGTCGTCAATTTGCGAACGTGTAGCAGCCAAACCATGTCGACAAAGGGGAAAGTTGGAAGGGAGCAAGGAGGAGATTGGCGACAAAGGGATTAGGAACGTAGAATGTGTTGCTCAAATAATTATCCAAAATATTTTTTAATCTAGTTATATAAAGAGATCAAAATTAAGAAGAAGAAAACCAGTTGTATGTGGCTACTGGCTGGTCCAAGTCAGTCCATGTGATTTTGCCGACTTGCTCTCGGAGAACCAATTGCATGTGCAATTTCCTCTCCATACAATATGATCATATCATCATTCCCACAAATCAATGACTTGAATTATCATTAACATTTCACAAACATTAAATGTTCCGGAATTCATTTTTTTGAATTTTTTTTCAATCAATGTAAGTCAAGGTTAATTAATTCCTCCTCTCCTTCACTAAATAATCTACGTTTCATGAGAGAGTTTAAATTTGTATAAACTAATAAATGCAGCATAGAAAAGCGTAAATTACAATTTAATTCGACGTATATCACTATAATTAGTTATAAAATTAATAATAATAATTACACAAAGGCTAACCAATTTTTATCATGCAAAAGCTACGCAGGAGAGGCACAATGAGAATCGAACAAACTTGCACGATCCATGGATGTGAATCAAGCCGACTCGGACGCGGCCAACCACAACAAATGTTGAATGTGTCAAATGCAAAGTAAATAATAACAATTTCAAATTACAAATTCATAGTTGTAACTTTACGATTAAAAGTGCAAAGCAGTCTATTTCTTAATATACAGTTTGCACAAAGACAATTGTCAACAGAAATACGTCAACGGTCTCGAACTGCAGTCAATTAAATAAAATGCAGGCGAATCCAAGTGTTTCAAGTGTTGTTTCGTCAACAGCTACACCAAATCCGGTGATTGTCGACACCGTCGACCAGGTGAAAGTAGCGTTGAAAGATTTTACGGTAATTTATTTACGATTCCTCCGTGTAAAGCATTTACAGTGAAATGAATGAATGTAAGCCGTTTTCTGTCTTGTGTTTAGGAACTTCGTTGTTTATCGTCCGCTTTTAATGCGTTTATGGTTCATGATGCCAGCGTGTACGAGGAATTGGTGAGCTCCATGTATGAAAGGATAGCCAAGATATTTAAGGAAACGTCCAACCAGGAATCACTCGAGAATGGCGTGAAACACATTGTCTCCGTAGCTAGTGGGCATACTAATGAGGAGACGGTCCAAGTTATGATTAGCATTTTAGAACAACTTGTTTCAAACTCAGTTGTGACTGCGAGGTACCATGCATAATTTGTAATTTTACTACTTTTTATGTGCTTCATTTTAATCTTTGGTTTTGTAGACTTGTCTGCGAATCCCTACTGAACAATGATAGGATGGTGTTCAAGAATTCTAAGTTTTGGTAATAATTTAGAAAAATCTTATAGAAAATATTACTGTAATTTTTGAAAACATTTGACAAACTTATGCCCCGTAGTTAATGTTGATTTTGTATTTATGCCCATAAACATCAATGTTGACTAATTGTCATATATTTTTAATTTTCAGGATTAAGAGTTTTGTATTAATTAGAAAAATTATTGGAAGAGTTGATTACAAAGGAGTAAGAGAAATAATGAAGGTATGTATTAACCGGTTACTACTTGCTATAATTTGAATTTGGAGTAATAAAACTTTCTTGTTTTACTATTAGACTTGTTTAGATAAGATTGGGATGTTCCGGTTTCCAGACCAAGTTCCACCATCAACTTTGCCTCAATTAAATGCTATAATTCGACTTCTTCAACATATATTTGACCGCTCGGCATGTCTTCTTCCAGCATACTGTAATACATCTGGTTCATTGATTGACTGCAAATAGTATAGTAAAATATTAATGTTTATTTGTGTTTCAACAGTCATAGTGAATGAAATCTTGAAAAATTATCCGGATAACCGGAACTATCCTCCACACGAACTTTCAAAACTTCCATCTCAGGTTAACAAAGTTATTAATTTGCTTCCTGGGTTATACACGGGGTGTTAACTTTATGGTCGTAGATTTTGTCAATACATATATTTATTTTCTCGTCCTGTTTTTGATTCCAGCACTGGAGCGTCAGTTTATTAATGTCGCAATTGGTGGACAGTTTTAAGCCTACAGGTATATTTAATTAAATGGTTCAATACACATAGACCTTTCATTTTCTAACGTTCTTGAATTATTTGCAAACAAACTAAAAGCATTTATGCTGTGTTTATCTACATTTTCGATGTTGGTATTGAAGGTCATACTTCTATTTATTAACACTAGTTCTTAATCCTACAGCACAAATTGTCACAATAATCGGCCGATCAAGAATGCTTCCAGTGGTCGAACATTCCGGTCACGCAGGCTACTTGATAATGTCTTGGTGCGTATGGCAAGTCTCGTCTAATGTGATGATGATTTAACTGAGTTGTACATAATATATATCTACAATTTTAGGAAGTTAGATCCAACTACATTAAGATTCATGTTGAAAGGAAGTCTTCCATATGATAAGGAGCTACTCAAACCTCAAGACCGTTTGTTGAGATACATTCTTGAGCAACCATACAGTAGGGATATGGCATGTGCAATTTTAGGTTTGCAAAAGCAGGTAATTAGTTTGGTCCATTTAATCTCATTATTTGCAACAAAAGAGAAATGAACTCTACTCGATAATAATATTAATCGTTTTATCAGTCTCATTTAAAGAATTTTCTGTTACGTATTGCATAGCACAAATTGAGGTGCTCGGCATTGGAAGAAAGATTGGTGGAACTCATTTTGGCTGCAATGGAACGTACAGAGGCCGAGATGGGTCAGACATCGGATGGACAGTCAGGATCTGATGAAGCATTACCATCCACTTTGTCCTTGTGGCAGCACTTATCAACCCAAGTTAGTTATTTTAATTCCGTCGCTGTACTAATCGACAGTAAATTCTCCTAAATTGGAGTTAAATTTCGTCACAACGGGCTTGGCGAAAAATCAAGCAAGCAAGTGACTCTTAAACTTTCCTCCGATATTCTTTTGACCGTTCTTGTGAAGAGATGGTGGAAAATAATCCATAAGATAATGTGGGCGTCCTAATTCAGGTTAAATGTGCAGCATAGTCTTAGCACACATACACTGATGCTGAGTGGTGCTATGCTAGTTGTGATAAGATAAATACAACTCACGGTGAAATCGGTGGAATTGGGGGTTATAGAATTAGTTATTATTATAAATACATATTTTTTAGGGGGATTTGACTAAAAGTATATTTTTTTATATATTTCAGGTGATATTTTTTGTGCTGTTCCAGTTTGCCAGTTTCCCACATATCGTTACTAACCTATACATAAAGGTGTGTAGTTGATAGTACCCATTTATCCACTCGCCATATAATTTCTACTAAATATTTCTAGATTTCCGATGTAAAGTTGTTCAAAGGACGAGATTTTCTTATGTGGATTCTACTTCAGTTCATTTCTGGAAGTATTCAAAAGAATCCTGTAAGTTTCATTTTAGTCTAATTTAATTTGCTGATTAAACCGTTGGAAAACAATCATTCTTAATTTTAGCTTAGTGATTTTCTTCCTGTACTGCGTTTGTATGACGTTTTATATCCTGAAAAAGGTTTGTATGACATTTTATAAAATTAATTTCTAATATGTAAAAGAAAAATAATAAACAATTCAATGCAGATCCATTGCCAGTGCCTGATATGACAAAACCTGTTGCCACTGCTCAATTATCTGCCACATGTATATGGATCCACATTTTGAAAAAGGCACAAGGCGAAAATCAAACACTACCAAGACCACTACCGTCAACGCTAAAAACTCAATACGATTATCTTCAAAGCCTGGTGCAACCATCAAGCTCTCAAATTCCATTACAAGTCAATGACTATCGGTAATTTTGTTATTTTTGTGCAAATCATAGTTTACTCAATTAGAAAGTAAACAAAAGTAAATGTATCACTCATCCTCGATCATTTCCATTATATAATAATCTCTCCAACTATTTTAAACTCTAAAGTATACGTTATTGTCTTACTTGAAATAGTAAATAGAAATAATTAAAACTTTCCAACATTGATGCGGATATCGTATCATTCACCTGTTTTTGGGTCGAGTCGAGCAATGATGAGGATGAGACACAGACATAGATATGTAGTATATATGTATATGCAATAATAAGATTTTAATATTTTAATTTCATTAACAGCGTTGCTCTATTATGCAACGCTTATTCGACAAATCAAGAGCATTTTTCTCGGTAAGCTACATTTTACAAATATGCATTGTCATTATCTTAACCAATTACATCGATAATATAATTTCCCTGACTTCTGAATTTTTAGGCCAATGGCTGCTTTAGTAGAAGCAATTCACGGGAGCTCAACTGGAACTCTAACTGCTACTCAAAGTCCCACGACGCCTCTCTCCGTCCAGACATTGGATTCTCTAACAGTGCACACAAAGATGAGTCTAATTCATAATATTGTAACTCACATTATGAAAGTTGCTCAGTCAAAGTTAAACCAAAATTTGGCTCCGGCTTTAATTGAGACCTACGCAAGATTGTTAGTCTATATGGAAATCGAATCTTTGGGAATCAAAGGCTTTATTTGTGAGTACATTCACTAACTATGTTAGGCCTTTTACATAAGTCTAATATATATTTTTGTATAGCACAACTTTTGCCAGCAGTATACAAGTAATTTTTCTATATATAACTTAATTAATTTAACGTCCATTACATAGAATCTGTACAATCAAGATAACCTTAATGTGAAAATAATTTTTTATAGGTCGCAAGCGTGGGGAATTTTACATACTTTGGTAAATCATTTTACTCTTTCTTTACACACTTGCGAATTCTTACATTTTTGTTTATACATGCAGTTGGAAATGTTCTGTTATCGCTTGCACCACATTCAACCTCATTATCGCGTTCAATTGTTGACGCACTTGCATTCTTTAGCTACTAATAGCCACACCAGTTCCGCACAACTGCATTTATGGTTCGTACTTGCTAAATAAATATATCGACAAGGTCTGCGTAAAGTTGTCGTCTTTTTGTACCACCATACAATTTATTTTATTCGGGATTTTCAGTGTTGAAATGACTTCTCTACGATTGATTACCGGATTTAATAGTGTTGAGGTAATGACCCAACTGTCACGTGTTATTGGAGAAACAAAGTCTCTTGTGTCGACAGAGTCAGAAGAATTGAATCGAGCATTGGTGCTGACGATTGCTAGAGCGATACATGTCACTGGTACGTATGTCTTTTCGGTTCGGAAACCACTATTAATAGAGATAATTACTAGCAAATATATATTTTATACGTATGTCATGGTTCAGGTGCTGATGGAGTGGCAAGTGGAACTTGGTTTAAAGAAATATTGAATGCAATAATGCAAAATACTCCGCACAACTGGTCCACTCATACTCTGCAATGTTTTCCACCCGTTCTTGCTGAATATTTTCAACAAAACCAAGTCCCTAAAGAAAATAAGCAACAATTAAAGGTGATAATTAATAATTTCTTTATTGAATACAATCAAAGTTTTGAATTATTTAATACAATTAATTGTGGTAATTTGGTAAAAATTTTGTAATTTTAGAATATGGTGGAAGAGGAATATCGAAACTGGAATGCCATGATTTCAAATGAACATGAGTTAATTGAACATTTTTCAATGCAAGGCAATCCAGCTTTGTTTCTTTGTATAGTATGGAAAATGTTGATTGGTAAGAAAAACATCTTTCTGACCAAGAAAATCATCTACAGTTTGAATGACCTATAGAGTTTGAAATTAATTAGAAGCTATTTCAGAAACTGAAAGGATTAATCCCTTGGTGTTCAAAGTGATTGAAAGAATTGGTCCTAAAGGTCTGTCGGGACACTTGAGAAAATTCTGTGACTACATTATTTGTGAATTTGGCGCACGTACGTATTACCATTTAATTGTTTTTAATTTTAAAATGATATTGGCATATATTTATAGTATCAACTGCCCTAATATGTTTTAGATCGTAGTGCCACACCTCAAGGATCAAATGTTGTGATCTTAAAACTGGTAGATTCTATTATGGAGATGGTCTGGAAATATAATATCGTCCCCTTTGATCGGTTCATTTTATGCATGGTTCGTTACATTTGAACACTTTTACAATTGGCAACCGGTAATAAAATAATTCGTTCTGATATTTGCAGGCACTTCGAACGAATGAAGGGAACGACGCTCAAATGTGTAAGCCAGTTTTGTATGACTTTATATCCTGTAACAATGGCAGAAAACTCGACATAATATACAGCAAACACATATTTTCATTATTGACAATATTAAGTCATTATCAGTATGATATCGCAAAGCAAGCCCATGTTAAATATACTCCATCATATTGGAGATTTCTTACTGGCTTCAGCATATTTTTTTCTGCTGGGATTGATCAGTGGTTAAGAAATAAATCCAATTACTTCTTTCTTGATGTGCTCAGTGCTCAGTTCAAATGTGTCGTCAAAAAAATAACAAGTGATTGCATGTATCATGTATGGTACATCAAGATGCATTGCTTGCTGTTAGGCCTAGCTACTTGGGTCTTGTGTATGCTTATCTCTTTTTATTCCTTTGTATTAGGTTACTTCATGATGAACCTTTTGATGTTCAAGAACGCTGAATTTCAAAATCGCGTTAGTGAGTTCATACAAGAAAATTCTCCAGAACACTGGAAACAAAAAAACTGGTATGTTGTATTTAACCGTAGAAATTTTAACGTGTTTTATTGTACTAATTGATATTTATGTATATAGGCACGAAAAGCACAAAAGTTATCACTTAAAGTATCCTGAAGTATTCCTCTTTGAAGACCAGCAACAAAATCAGTTGCCCGTTTATTTTGGAAACGTATGTTTACAGGGATATGATTTATTAAGAATACCATAATCAAACTCTTATATTTACAGGTTTGCGTGCGATTCCTTCCAGTATTGGATATCCTAATCCATCGGTTTTTGGAAATAAATTCTGATAAAAGTATTGAAATGACATTGTTGCGCATGGGTACACTCTACAAGTTTCACGGTAGATACGCAAAGATTATTACATAACAATTTATATGATACTTTAATATACTTATATGATCCACATATTTATATAGACCGACCAATCACGTATTTATACAATACATTTCATTATTACGAAACGCGTTTGCGAGATAAGCCATTACTGAAGAGAAAATTGGTATCTTCAATAATGGGATCTTTGGGGGATGCCAAACCTCCGAATTTTGCCCTGACAGAGCATTACAATAATTATGTTGCGACTAATACTGATGATGTCAATTGGACCCCAGAGATTAGTTATTACGCAGCTTTGATCTCAAGATTTGTGGATGGTAAGATTACTTTTTGTCAAGTCATATTTAAGTTATTCATAGGTTAAGTAGGCTGATCTCTCTCGTGGATTTAACAGTGTTAAGTTTCATTCCTTTTAGTAATCGAAGGGAAGAAGCGCTTTTTTTCTGTGGTCGATTGGCGATACAACGAATTTCCGAACCCTGCAGCTCATGTACTTCACTGCACGTGCATTGAAATTATGGCTATACCAGTTGTTCCATCTCTTGCTGGATCAGCAATTCTGGACGTTGTAATGTTAGGACGAGCAATGATGAATTCGAAAGAGTCATCAATAGAAGATATGGAAGCATGGTAAGTCTGTCCCCAAAAATCCTTTCGCGAACAAGTTTTTGTTCTTAATCGTCTACCATTATGGATAATATTTAACTTGGATTTAGGATGAATGCAACGGGACTCATTCTAGTATCGCTCCCTGACCCATATTGGCTCATGCTACATGATAGATTAGTGTCCACCGTTGAAATCGGACTTCAAACTTGGTCTCATAATTGCTCCCCGCTTACCCTATTTAACTTCAAAGCCACCTTTAATGGCTTATTATTCAATGAATATGCTAACTTATTGGCAATTACACATGCGGTAAGTGTTTGGGTAATCACAAAGCTACAGCTATTATGTTACTTCAATTTAAAATTATTTATGTTCAGGTGTGGCACCATCTAGGGAGTGGTCATTTGCATCATATTCAAAAGTATGTCCTTCATTTGCTAAAGTAAAATATTTTTTGTGTTACAAGTATACGTTAATTAAATGTATTTGTAATTTTTCAGTCTAGTGACTGAGAGAATATTACCAATCTTGACGAATGAAGTTCAACTCCTTTTCGTTTGTCATTTGGTTGCCCCCTTCCTACAGAGATTTAATGGTGAAAAACCTGCAATGGTTTGCCGTTTGACAATAGCCTTGTACGAGCTACTTGAAAAGGTTGACAAGTCTACGCCTCTTGAAACTCCACTGGTGTATATGGACGTGTTTTGTGACTTGTTGTACCATATAAAATATATGTTTACTGGAGATATTGTTAAAACAGAAGTCGAAGCAAAAATAAGATGTCTTCGACCAGTTCTTCAACTACGACTTCGGTTCATAACCCACTTGAATATTGAAGACATTGCAACACATTCGTCTTCATCATTATCTTTAACTAGCAATAATCAATCCCAGCAGCAGCAATTGCCTCAGTACCCTCCAATAAGTTCAAGTACACAGCAACCCATTCCAACTATGATGGAGGTATAGTAAGTACATAATACTCGTACTATAATAGTTGTTATTTTCATCTATTTATGTATGCACTAAAAATATGACTCAATGTATAAAAGATAAAAATATAATGAATACCCAACATTACCAAGTCTTGTAAGATACTTTATATTTTATCAATGTGCTGGTGTTAGTAAAAAAAATAATTTTATTAAAAAGCATTATGTGACAATTATGTGACAATTATGATTTATAATTGAACCGAAAAAATAAAGTAGACATAATATATCTAGAACCATATGTATGTAATATAAGTATTCAATATAAATAACACCCAAGTGAACACTGCAACTCTGAAGAACTACTTTTTATTTTTTCGGCGTCCCTTGTGTTTCCCGATTCTGGAAACAGCTTGAATTTTGGTGACTGCGGACTTCCATCGATGTTGATCCTTCACCTCCTTCTACGTAATTTAAAATTAACCAAAAGGATCAAAAGTATTCAACAAAGATTGAGTCATTCATCTTAGTATGACATCTTACTGCAAATTTCCTATCCTCCTGGTATTCAAAATCATTGTCGTCATCTAAAAGCTCGTCATCCGGGTTCGTGTCCAAATTAGCAACATCAAGTTTCCAACTGAGTTATGTGTCAGATTAAATCATTAATTTCTTTTCCACGTACATATGACCTTACTTATGTTTAGTTTAATTGTAATGCACTTACGTGTAGCAATATGCAAAAACACAGTAGACAATCCCCAGAAAAACTACCAGGCCTAAAACGATACCCCCATAGGCTAAGGTAGAAAGTCCTTTTCTAGGGGCTTGCATTCCCACGATCCGAACCAAGAAAAATGTATCCATCAACTTGCAATATGTAAATCTGTTAAATCCAGTATTGATAACAACTGCTCGAAAGAGTAGGAATTGATTTCTGTTCTTGGTACGTCTGAAACTATTGCTGGCATCTGCAATGTCAAATCTAAGGCGATTATGGTTTGTAGCATTTATCAGGCGATATTCTGACGAAGCTAGCACTTTTGGTTTATTCCTTTGCAGTATCTGCAAATTCAAATGCAATTTATTTGCTATTTAGTGTCGGAACAAAGTACAATATTTAGTTTAGGAAATTGCATAAATATTTATATATGTATTTAGATACCGAATGATCGAAGCAGTCAATGTAATAATGATATATATCTTCCTGTTCGGAGGTGTCCAACCCAATACTTTTCACTGACTGTAGCAATGTGTTGTACCAGTCGGCTCTGAAAAAAATATTTAATCAAATCTTTAGTATGCACTGAAGATTTGTACATGGACACATATGCCACATATGTAACTTACGCCGTATGAAAACATCCAGCGTCAAGATTCGTGGTGTTCATTACAATATCAAACCCAAAGAGATCGTACATTACAATATTTCCTGTTATTTCCCGTGAATGTGACCGCAAAAATTGTTCAAACTGGGGAACAAATGGATCGCGCCATGATATATCAAAAACATTATCTTCGTATAAATAGGCGAATGGGATCTAGAATTAGAAAAAATGCATAATCCCCAGGTGGTTGCATATTCTTATAATTATTTCCACTAGCAATTATTAATTATGGAATACCTGACACTTTGCGACTTCCCTTCTTTCGCATTTAAAACGCTCGCGTTGTTTATGCCACACATCATCCCTGTTAACCTAATTATGGGTAATTACTTAATTGTGCAGGTTCTGTTGTATACTCTCAAATTAATCACAAAAAGTCTCACCTCAAGGTAATCATCGACCCTCCTAAAACCCACCTCCTCATTGTAATCTTCATCGCCAGGATATTTTATTGCATGACGTTTAACGGGTGAAACCTAATAAATCTTCAGTTATTAAATAAATAAACAAAATCAATCAATAAACAATACCTAATTTAATTTAATTTAATTACCTCAGCAATAAATCGCATTTTGTTGAATGGATTGCATCCCGTTGTAAATTGGAGTGTCTAGAACAATTTAAAGCATGTACATAAATAAGAATCATCAAAGCCAGAGACCCCCCTACACATACATATGCATAAATTGAACTTATGTATGTATTCGACTTATTTTTCCACATACAGCGAAAAATTCTTCCTTGTTGCATCGAAGATTTACAATGCTGGGACGTATTGTCAGGCTAAAGATGTCAGTATTTTCCTTTGCCAGATTTATCTGCTCTCGTGTGTGCGTTTTTAATTTTTTCTTTCGCATATTATACATATTCTAAAAAAATTGTTCACATAAGTTAATACATAAAACTTGATACCAATGTGTTTCACAGTCGTACACCTACAATATTTGCAAGGCGAAAGGTTATGTCAATAGTTTTGATAACGGTAGTCTGATCGTTTTCTTGCACATCAGAAGAATTTATCTGTTGTCACACTCAAAGCGTTACTATCATATAATGCCAATAATTAAAATAATTACAAAATACTATGCCTTACCTCCACCTCAACGCCTGGTATATTTTCATACTCAACTATAAGCTCCGCTTCTGAGGGGGTAAGCTTTCCACGATATGAAATTTGAGCTGTTACCCTAGTTTTGAAACCTATCAATATATACATGTATATACGCATATTAAAAAATGCACTGACCCGCTATGATTTATTTTTTTAATTCTAATGTAATCATACCAACTTCAGCATATTCGAAATGTTGGTAATCAATGTCAAATGACGAAAACGGACATAATTTTCTTGTAGCATCTCTAGAACTGTCAGAGTCCAAGAGGTCATCTGTATTGTCTTCCTCAATTGACTGTAGACTGCCAATTATGACACTGTGGAACGGAACATTAAGGATCTCGGCAGAAACGATTTCGCTGTTTGGAGAATTATCTGGTGGCAATTCTTCTTCATTTTCTGATTTAATTACAGGAGCAATGCACGATTGTGGCGTTTTTGGCGGCTTGCCTGGTGATTTATGATTAAAGGTTTCGCATTTTCCAATAACAACTTTATCAACACTTGGGTCTCCGGTTTTTGTTTGAGCCTTGTCGTCCAAATATATCCAAGGAATGCAGTTATCATTCAGTGGTTTCGAAACGCAATAGGGGGGTAAATTGGCGTCATTATGCGGCATTAAACAAGTCGTTTGCACTACACTGAAGTTGCCGGTCTTTGCTATTTCATCTATCCAACTTTGTTCACATGCTGGGTAAAGATATTGTGTCTTGAACTTGCCATATACAATTTCACCATCTGGCGTTGCTAGTTGAAAAATCTGATCTTTGGTAGCAAACGGTCGAACTTCTCTCAGAGCGTCTTGGGTTATAATAGATCCTAAAAAGACGGTTTGGGCATCAGTTTCGTTGCGGTTTGCCATTGGTCGACGTTTCAATACGGATATGATCCCATGTTCAGTAACGACAATGTCGAAAAGATTTCTAAATCAGAATAATAAAACTATTTAACAAATTGAATAAATGTGTCATATTCCTAATTAGTATAAGCTGGATAATTAATAAGCATTATGTATTAATCTGAGACGCATACAAAAAATGTCGTGAATGTGTTTGTTTGCACTCACGATCTCGTCGTCGCAAAATTGAAGACTGGGTTCCTTTCAGAACCTTCTAGAACAGTTCGAGAAGAATTTGATAGCTCCAACTTAATTATTCCCTGAAGTTCACGAATGTACTCACGGCTAAAAAATGATAAAGGTCTGGCGTATTTGCTTTCCACAGAAGAAAAGACGAATACATTCCCCAAATCAACGACATATGACGGAACCGCATTATTAATGGGAAAAATTTTTGTTACGTATGGCATTGTATTATCATCATTGCTGTTGTTACTTTTTTCATCGACCATATTTCGTATTTTGTATAAACTTTTTCTAGCTAACACCACGCCAGGGAAAGAAATTGCTACGTCGAGCGTTTCCTCTATTTCATCTGAAACGGGGAATATCTGAGAAGGCATGTTTCTGGTTAATAAAGTTGTAATCATGATTGATTTGAGGCCAATGTTATTAAATTCTCTGGAAAAGAATTGAACCCCAATCAAGTAGTGGTTTTTAAGTGGTGTGAAATCCATGCTGTGCAAGTTGATTTCATTGTCAATCAAACGTAATCCATTTTTCAACAAAGTCTGAAATTAAATAATGTATGTATTCATATAAAACCAAGGCAAATAAAGAACCTCAGCTCAAGATGAACCTCTATGTGTATATATTCATTCATATCGTAGCATAACAATATGAAATTACTAACCTCTGATAATATTGGGCTACCGTCAGGACTATCAACGTGAAATGTGAATGCTTTATTGTGGGATTTCATAGCTTCATTGTCGTCGTTAGTTTTATACATGGCGATATTTCTAAGATCTGATGGGTAGTGGGGATCGGAACCCGAAAACATTTTTCCTTGATTTAGAAGAAAGCTCTTTTTTGAAGAAGGGTCCACGCCATAAACATATGAAGTATTGATTGGCAAATTGTTATCACTTCCTTCACATGCTGTTAAGTCAGGTTTATCTGGCAAGCCCCTTTCATCACTCCGAGAAATTGCATCGTCTCGGTGAATACATGATTCATTGATCGTTTTGCGAGTCTCGTCGACAGATTTTTCAAAAAAATCAGCGTCCTTGCCTAAGCAACTCGACGAAGGGATAGGAAGTACCGTTGCAACTGAAAATAAAATCAAATATTTAAGTGATCATCTTATGGTTGACTATCAATAATCATTTTGTGTTCCTTAAATATTTTATGTATGAGAGTCAAATTGCTTACGAGTTTCGACTGGATAAATTTGAAGGATAATGATATTTCCTTTTGGGGAATAGGCAGGAATAATCATGTTATCAGTTTTAGGAAAGTTTGTTACTCCACACCACCGTCGTTTTACAAGGGTTGCAATCCTGTCTTTTTTTGTGGAGGAAATATACGCCAGTCCTTTGTAATATGCTGACCGAGAATGAAGGTATATAGTCGAATCGTCCATCAATAATGCAATATGCGTTGGGGTGATGGCAAAATCAGCAATTTTCAAAAAAGTCTAATGCAATTAAATATATTAAACAAATGCCTTGGGAAGCAAACTTTGCTACTTAAAATATGCCAACCTTGTGCCTTCGGATACTTTCTTCGATATCTTCAACTACTGTTTTATTTGACTCTGGTCCTACCTCTTTAAATTTCCCTTCTGCGTCAATATTTCCAAATCCAGGGAGAATGACGCTATGAACATTCCTAAAGAAATCTGTTAAAAACTCCTCAACAACGTATACACGTCCAGAAGTAGCAACTATATTACACGGAAAGGATTTAAAATGTAATGAATGGTGTGTACTAAATAAATATTTTTAAGATTTGCATAGCTATTCAAATGTATAATTTGCATACTTGCAAACTCTTGAGCGACACATGGATTGTTGACGACTACCAAATCCGTTCTAAGGTGCCCTGGCTGATACTTGCGATTACTAGATTGGCCCACGTATGCCGTCTAAGATTAAAATATTTGGGTTTAATAAATACAGATGCAGAGAACGTAAAAACAAAATAACAAATATGAGGCAATGAATTATTTACCGGATGTCCGTACACGTGTTTGATTTTAAGTTTCAAATAGTCGAAGATTGTTTTCGCAACAGAGCTTCTTTCCCACTGTGCAAATCACATAAAATTAGATAAAAATATGCTCATATGTATATATATCATACATAATATAAGAAATCAGTAACCTGGACGGATGTGCGATCAGATAGGCCTATTAAACGGACAATATACAATGCAGCGGGTTAATTTACTTAATAACTAGGAATGCTACAATAGTCGGAATATATACCTTCTGGGACAAATCCAAAATCTTGAACATTCACAAAAACTCGAACGTCCCTGTACATATTATTGGATCAGTGAGATAATTAGAGATGTATATATGTGATACTGATACTGATATTTTATTTGATATATATTTTCATGAAATATTATTACCCAACAAAGCAATGAAACAAAGCAATATGTTGTCTCGAAGATATCGTCCAAGACACATCAGTAAGTTGTGAAATCAACGTGTTTGTATGGATTTTGATCTCAACTTTCCAATGGGGACTATGTTACACAGTAAATAACCATTTATATTATTATACAGCCTACGTATACCTGTATTTAACAGGCGTCATATCCGTTAATATTATCCTGTAAGCGAACCTGTCCAAGACTTGAGTCTTTTCCCAAAATTTAATATCCCCAATTTCAACGCTCGGATGCACACGGCGTAGACAAGGGAAAAGTCCTTTTGCATCAAATTTTGTTGTGACAGTTTTCGAATAGCTTGAAATCGACACAGGTTGAAGAGTCGATTTGTAACTCTTTCGTTCACTTTCTATCAGTGCAACCGGCTCCCCAACCCATATTTCTAAATCCTGTTAAATAAATTTAAACATGTCGAGGTAAAACATCACAAGACCAATTATTAGTATGCAGCATTCTTATTTCTTTGGGTTCTGACCATTAATATATATGTTGAACCTTGTGCTGTGCCGACCAAGTGATCCGATTCTCTAAACAGGAAGCCCACTATAAATGAAAGATTGAATTATATGGAGTAAATACTTTATATTTATATGGTACAAAATGCATGGTCCTGAGTAATATCTACCTCTAGCTTTCTCCGTAAGTCGATAATTCCAGTAATAGCAAAATTCGGATGGGATAATTTCAAATGGATCAGATAAAACCACGTTAGGGTAGAAGTCTTGAAATCCATATGCGTTAACTCTAAAAAAAATGGTTGAATTAAATATTGATTCATATAATAAATATTCATATCCATTTTAGGCTAGGTTTTACTCACACGTTGAATTCGTCGATCCCGACAATAGGTTTGACGATAAAGTGCTCCAGGTCGATTTTTTGATACCAAATTTTTGTGAACTCGTCTGCCGATCCATCTCTGACTGGTGGGGTATCAATGTCGAAACGGCTACTGACACTACTATCCATCACAAGTGCTACGTGAGTCCCAGGATTCGGACACAGAAATACCGCTATCCTGCCATAATCACTAAAAAATCATACACAAAAAAGTAAACCCTCCCTTATCATCCATCAAATACTGGAAAATAATAATTAATGCTTTTACTAAATTCTATGTAAAGCACATAAGCTGTCGATCTCAGATTCTCCACCGTCCCATATGGCCCATTTCCGGATTCTGATTTCACTGGTGGATCCGTTGGGTAATGGGGGTAATTCTCCAGCATATAACTGAATCTAATAAACCATTAAAAATATTCTCACATTAATAGAAGTCGCATAAATTTAATTGTTTTTAATATTTATAACGTGTGGTAATGTTTGTTACCGTGTCGTGCCGTGAAAGTAAAAAATTTCCAGAGATTGGACCAGACACATAGCTTCTGGTTTGTCCAGTGATTCTGAAAGAAATTTAATTTGAAATTCAGTAGAGGAGTAACAATAAGGATAGTCAATATTATGCAATATACTCTATAGCATCGACGCTCTGGTTCAGCTCTCTCGAACTGACGGTGGTCTCCAATAAGATGAATGCGATGAAAATATTTGTAGGGACCATCCTTCCCTTGGTCCTTCAACTTCTCGGAAACTATATGGACATATGTATGTGAGAATAATTGCCTAATTTAGATAATAAAACCTTATCTCATGTGAACTACCGCGGAGAAAACACTTTGGACGACAAAAACTATTTACACTTAAAAACGACTGTTTCGGGCGGAGGGAGGGTGGCTGTCTGTCTGGGTTCCATGGAGTTCAATATCCTCTTCTGCGTGGGTCAATGCAATGCAGAATTAATTTTTTTCTCATTTTTCTCTCGATCGGTGTTTTCATACAGTTTCAATAAAAAAATTTTCAACTTCAACTTCCATGTATCAGAAAACAACAAACTTTTTATTATAATAAACGTTAATTAACATCACATAGTAATTATATATGAAACTATAATTTACGACAGTCGAGTGGTTTCAATTTATAATATTTGCAAACACATTATTAGGACAATAATATTGCAAAGGACATATTTTTTTAAGTTTTGTAACTTACACACGCATGCATTCAATTCAAGGGTACAGTATACACTCACAGACTAATTTTCATTCAAAAATTAGAAAACAACTTGTTTTGCTGAGTACATATATATCTACCTACTCGTAGTTTACAATATCTAGAAATATTAGTAATTTCTTTCTTTTTTTTAGAAAAGTAGAGTGCTCATTCCACCCATTTCACTTTGTTCCTTCACAAAAATTTCAAAGTATTGATAGATAATTGTGACGGCGAGGAGAATACCTGTGCCGGATCCAATAGCACCCAAGAAATCAGCTGAAAAAATGGAAAAGCGAAGATTAGTCGGGGGGAAAAAATTTCGTGTAATTTTCGGATTTGAGCACAGATAAAATTGTCATCAGAATGTCATAGTATAGGATATAATGTAGTTGGAATCTTTGCACATGTAAATGTTCTTGGACAAGCTCTTACTCTTAATGTTACCCATTTTCATGATTTGAATTTTAATGATACGTTTATAGCAGTTTTTCTATGAATTGAAAATAAATTAAATTTTTACCCAAAACGGACAGGGCCCCAATACACAATCCTCCAAATGCTGCAGCAGTAGGGATGTATCTACATTCAGAATTTAAAAAAACATATCATAAGTGCCGTCATGCTTGTTATTGAAAAACATGATTCTAAAAAATAGTGTGTGACACTCTTAGACTGCTACTCATATAAATTATGAAAGCAGGTGGAAATATCACCATTTGATATATCTCCTGTTGACAAAGTCAAACAAACGATGACGGCATCAAAGCCAGACCGCTTGTTGATGGAGAATATTATGAAAACAACCCTAGAAGGGATCGAACCCACAACGGCAAATGAGAAAATTGAGACACTTTCTACTCTGTACTAAAGTGTAAGTACGATGATCTCACTGGTATTTTACTCGTAGCTAAATAATAATAACTCAACCAGTCCACTTCAACCCTTTTCGTCTTAGGTTGAGTAAAGCAACGTTTAGAAAATAACGTTACCATTTTCCTCCTCTATAATAGATGCTCCATACTACTTATAGCTCCCTTAATTTGGCAGCGTTGTAATATTTAAGTTTTTACTTACTATAGGAATAATGCATACCTGTTTAACTCGTGAATCATGGATTTGTCACGATGTCCTCTCATAATCATTTGTTGTTCTTTCAATTGCTTGGCTACATCCTTGGCAGAGGACCCGGACACATCAATCCACGTTTTGGAAAAGAAGGCACATGATCCCAGCATGAAAATAATGTAAAGGACCGCATGGACCGGATCTTCAACAATGTGACTAAGTGTTTCCGGTGGACTGAGATAGTAACATAATCCTCCAATTGGATAAGACCTTGCAGGACCGCCTCCTGCCATATCCCCCCACACTCCGAGCAAATTGACCAAGAAATTTCCCTATGGATCAATTAAAAGACTCGTGAAAATAATGGAGACAAAGAAGCAAAAGGCATTATGAACGAATAAGGTAGTCAACTACGTACGTGAAATTTAACTGCGAGCATCTGAGAAATGACGTATAAATTGGAGACCAAAGCAGACTGCAAAATAATTGGGATGTTTGAGGTATAGAACAATTTGATGGGGTAGCTGCTGTATTGTCCACGATATCTTGCAGATTTGATTGGCAGATCGACACGGAATCCCTAAAAAAATATACCATTGTATAATTTTACAAATTTGACAATTATATGTGAGCATATGGTGAATAAATTCTATACTTGGAAATATATGACCACTGCAAAGATAAGTACGGTTGCCATCAAGTTCATCAAGTTTGGAAGGTTTTGTCTGTAGAAAGCCTCACGAAGCCCTCGAACCTACATGATCATCAAAAAACTTGAACTTAACAATTGCTTGGATAATTGAAATAATTATTGCAAGTGTTCACAAACCTTGTCTTGACGGGTTGCCAAAAGATGGAAAAGAGCAATTACAGCTCCCTCGAATTCAGTTCCACGACCAGTGTTTACGGTGGCCGGACTGAAAGCTTTCCACACGATTGTTTCGCAGACATTGGTAGCGATGAAGAGTGAAATTCCAGACCCTAGACCATATCCTTTTTGGAGAAGTTCATCAAGTAGCAGGACGATGAGACCGGCAACAAACAATTGGATGATAATGAGCAAGCATACTCCAGCCCCAATATCGGCAGGGTCACCATACAGGCCCGTTAATACGTAAACAATAGCTTGTCCAACCGTGATCACCATTCCAAACACTGAAAAATAGAATGTTTCGAATCCACATATTAATTATCAACCAGTATTTTTACTAACAACGAGGATTTGTGTGAATTAATGTATTACGTTTTTGTGCTCCATTAAATAAAGCTCGATCTTTTGGTGTGTCACCGACTTCAATAATTTTTGCACCAGCCAGCAATTGCATAATCAGTCCAGACGTAACGATGGGCGAGATACCTAATTCCATTAACGTTCCTCTGTTGGAAGCTACGGATAATAAAATAAATAAAAAATTGTAATGGTAGTCAAATATAGTGTTTAATTCTTCACAGGTAAAATATTATTGTGAGCCGACTGTTTATAAATTGTACTGTCTGTTATAAATGTACATTCTCACCAAGGATAACACGAATCCAATAGAACGGATCCGCGGAATCGGAGCTCATAATCCCGAACAAGGGAATCTGGAAGTAGGACATTGATTATATCAGAACCACCCAGACAGAGTAAAAAACATACTGAAACATAAGCCATGTAATTCTTCCTACCTGACAGCATACTAAGAAAATGAAGAGGGTAATGGCAGTCCAGAGAACTTTCTCCCGAAATTGAATCTATTAAATCATGGTGAAAATTCAGCATGAACCAACTCCCACGCAATATTTATTTCATATAATTACACAGTATTATTAACTTATCATGCCCACCTTTCTCTCAGGTTTCGCTATTTCTGGTAGTATACTACAGAAGGGTTTGATAACTTCCAAAAATTTAACTGAAACAGAAACAACAAAGTTTTACGTTAGACACCAAGAAATATATTTATTTGCCAGATTTTCCCACTATCAACTATTTAGTAAATAATTAATTATGATTGTTGTTTCAACTTACTCCCCATATTGTGACCGTGTGTATGTGCTACTTATCCCTTTCTTCGTCCTTCGCAGAATGGAACCTTTCCTTTCTGTCCAACAGTAAGTAAAATAAGCCAACCCAATTTGAAAAAAATGCTTGTTGGCGACCGAACAATCTTTTCTTCCGTCTCTTCAAGGCGAAAGATGAGTCCCGTTAGAAACGTGATCTAATTTTGGATTTAGTTCAACAATCCATGTAATAATAGCGCAGACAATGCAAGACAGGCTGCTCAGAGACCCAAGTCGACTTCTTCCAACCACTACACTCCAACTACTACTGGATGACACTTAAAAGTTAACTGGTCAATTGTCGTGACACAATACGACGACTGGTGCGTGGTGAAAAGTTCGAATGAGGATAGTCGACGGTGGTGGTGGTACCGGTAATATGTGGCCGAAAACAGGCCCACGTCATCCAACACAGCTCCAACTCATCTACATTCACCACGGTTTGTGTAACTTAGGTTTCACGACAGTGGTGATGCTGCTCATCCGCCAATCTCAAACGGCAACCCTTTCATCACCAATATTTATCGTGCTGGCATATGGATTTGCATACGCTGCACAATGTTGATATACATTGTAGTAAAATGTGGGTTATTTTAATGTCAATGTCAATTGCCAACTCATTTGTGCTGGAAGATGCGTTTGGAGGAAATAGGATGATGCGGACGTCGGTCTCAAGTGTCTCATATTCCCAGCCAGCGTTGTTGAGAAAAACATCTCGTATCATTTATTACCATGCAGAGATGAGATAACTATAACTATTTTATTATACAAACAGAGTAGGCAGAGTTGTATGTAAGTATTATTGTTCAACGTGAGTATAATTATTATTGCACTTTAACAGGTTTCAGAGACTTACTAGTTTTAAGATTAGTGGCTTTTAGTCAATTTGTTAAACATGTTCATCGTGGTGGACTAGCTAATTTTTTTCATGAGACTGCAAGACTGACTGATTGAGATTTTTCCATGCATAAAGATTCTATTTGATTAGATCAGAGCTCATCCTTGTCATCTGTACCATCATCACTCTCATAATTCCTCTTTTTTGGAGAACAATGGCAGTGTCCTTTGTTTGGGCTTTCTTTTTCCACAACTTGTTCCATTCCATCCTTTACCTCCACCGGATTCTTTAGCCGTTTCGACCAATGCTGTAAAAATAATTTTCATTTACAAAATATCATTCAATTGGTCTATGGTTAATCTAAAAGTTTCAGTCCTTCTCCAAATTGTCTGTCACTAACCTCAAAGAGAAGCCCGTGGTAGCAGAAAATGTTGAGTGGCATCAAGTTTTCTCGAGCATATTCACTTCCTGCTTTCCCAATTTTTCGAACTTCGTCATCCTTCCCCGTTGCCCACTTGATCTTCTTCACCAAGTCCTTCAAATCAGCCTGAACTGGTATGTAATGTGTCCACGGTTTGAGATCGTTGTAAAAATGCTCAATGTACGGTGAGTCGGTTTTAAGTACGACGGAATCTCCTGCTAGCAAAAATGGGAAACGATAGGCTGAAACAGTTCCGTCAATGTTGAGCTGATATTTGTACTGAAAAGGCAGACAAGAAAAGTTATTTTCAATTATTATTATTTTCTGGCTCTTTCTTTTAAATTCTGGCCTGGACTCACTCACATCAAAGAAACGGAAGAACGAAACGTGTGGCTCTTTGGGACCGTAAATCTTTTCTTGGTCTCGAAAAAAGAAGAAGTTGGTGAGGGAGGCGTTGATGAGGTTCGGATGCTTTCGACCAATGGAAATGAGATCAAGTCGCTCCTTCCTCGAGTCCCTCCCTTTCCAAAATAGTTTCGGAATTTTGTCTTCCCACTGTTTCTCCGAGTTTGACTGCACCGACATCATGTCCAGAGACACTCTTAAATAATATTGTATTCGATTATTTCATTACATTATATTCTTGTGCATACATTATTACGTCCGCTTTAATTATTGAAATACCTCCCCATTGCCTCCAGAGATGCTTCCGTCAATTCATACCTGTCAATTCATATATCAACTCATTTTCCATCGGTCAAAACAACTTGGAGTTAATCATCAATAATTCATACGTGGGTAAAATTATGTCCAAAGTTACATTCGATTTGCACCACGAGAAAATTGGGATGGGTGGTTTAATCCGGGCTCTGTCCACTAGCGGCCAGTCCCCCAAATTCATTATGAACTCAAAATCTGGTAAATGTAACTTTCTCGTGAGTGAAAGTAGAATGCTGTCCGAAAACATGTGAAACCCTGTAAATAATTGAGATTTGGTTAATCCAGTCCTCCAGTTGACCTCTCATTTAGTTTGTCGTGAAGTAATCTTACTAACCGACGTGTTCACCGTAACATTTTCGGTATATCTGTGTAACAAGAATATGCATATAGGTTTTAGTCGTTTACACCAACTTTTTAAATATATAACGTGTGCATAATATACCAAATTCTCTTTTACCACGTAGTGGCAAAAACTATGAGCTTTTAGGTTATAAAATTTTTCAACCGCTGTTTTGAGAACGTTATTAAAATCCACATCTTGGAATGGCGATAAATCACTCTCAATTTGGGCATTTTCATTTGGACATTTTGCCTTTTTGAGCCAAATGGGTAGCGAATATCGAGGACAATTGCAGTGATCAGGGTGAATCGGTACTACAAAGAAAATGTAATCGATTATAAAATAGAATTACATATAGTAAATATTTACAATAGTCGGAATACGATTTTTACCATTGATGTTATATGGGGATTTCCCAACATGTAGCTTGTGAAAGGTAATGATGATTCGAAACCCTTTGAGACATGACTGATACATTTTGTACCGTACAATAAAACTGCCATCCTTCCTGTCGAGCAATTGTGTCCAAATATTTCTGTCGCCGCTACAGTCAATCCGAACTTTTAAGGCTTCTCGAATATTTTCAGTCATTGTCATGCTATACATATTCAAAGGATTGCATAATGCAATTTGCATTAATCGTGAGTGGTAATAAATTCGCCTGAATTATAGCATTTGAGTCCCTGTTTCTTACTTAATTTTCCCAAATGGAACAAGTTTGACAAAAAAGTATCTTGCTGGAAGCACAATGATATGAGGTCGCAAGCCAGGTCCCCACACGCTGCTATTTTTCGTGTCAATTAATTTGGACTCTTCATCCATGGGCTCACCCAACTGACGGACGACTTGTTCAGCGTTAACAATCAACGCGTAGAGGAAGACAACGTGATATAAAAGTATGAAATTCATTTTGACTTTATAAAAGTGCATAGTGTGAATTATCCAGTAGTTGCATACACAAGTCAAACAAAATAATATGTCGCAAGATGCATTCGTACGCGTCGTCCTGATAGAAAATTTGAATATTTTTTAACTCTGTCTTTATTGAATGCTTCCGTAATTATTTTGATTTACTGACCTTTGCCAACCGTTAGGAAAACGATAATTTCCCTTTATGAGCAGTATTACGGCAATTTCCCATTGTCAGTGGGTGGATGATGCCTGATTTTACATACTAATCTTTCATTACCCCTTCAATTAAGCCAGTTTATATTCCACAATTTGCTGAAGCTATACGCCAGAAACTTTGATTTAAGAAAACTACAGAATAGTGTGTCCCATTTACTACGCGCTGATAGCTTTCCTGGATACAAGTTCCAGAGCAAATCTTATATATCTCAGTTTTCCCTCATGTTTTTAGTGAATGAATGCTTAGAAATGAATGAATGAATGCATGGGTCATGGAATGGACTACATGTATTTTATTAATGTTCAACAGATTACGGCAAGAAGACTACAACCTGATAGATTAATCGTTGAATAAGGTTAATGTAGTTAGATTAAAATAAAGTTTGTGTAATTCCTCTGCAAAACTTATTCTCAATTGGTGAATTGAACCAAGTACCGCAGTTTAACTTGCTTAGGATTGAAAATGATATATTCATTGTAGTTTAATCCATAATACTGATTTTTAGGAAATACTTGTTCAACCGAGGATCCCAAAGGAATGGATTTTCCTTAAAAATACAAATACACATAATGTAATACATGTAGCACTTGATGAATTAGAATTGATGCAAAACAAAGTTTCCATGCACGTACCATTCCAGAAAACTGTAGCACCAGGATCAGGTATGAATCTTGAATCTGCAGTTTTTGAACTGTCGAAACCCTTCTGTAGTGACCTTTCTGTCCCTGGAATATGATTGCTGACATCGGTGCTGTTTATCCTGACGTCTTTTATCTTACCCAACGCAACTTCACAGAGAAAGATGAACTTTGATGATTTTTGTTGATGGTGGTCGTAGCTACTAGTGTAGCCCTCACTCTTTGCAAATGTATCGGCAAAATATATTCCCTGTTGCAAAATATATCAATTGAAATTTGTTAGAGATTTATATACTACCAATATTTTATCAAGTAATATTCAGTTATTAATATCCTACTTTGCCAAATAATTCTCCCATGCGATCCACACCCAGTGGTGCAATTTGAAGACCAGAGTGTAAAATCGAAAGTATGTTTTCCTAAAAAAAATTACCGATTGGACAAGATATCAATTATAACGTATAATAAACGTATTTTTTAAATGTAGGATTTCGAATTAAGAACTATAAAACATACCTTTTTAGTTCCATGCCACAAGAGCCATCGATTTCTAACAGTGATCTCATGCTTCTCTGCTCCTTGGATTCGATAAATCCCTTCAACTTTAGTTTTGGGGGATGTATTGTGAATATACTGAAGGATTAATTGTGCTTCAAAATGTTCTGATTTCTGGGCCATGTCCAGTGGTGCCAATTTTGTTCCTAAACATTGGTAAATGTACTCTATTGGATTTGTGGTCGGGGAACTATATTCTGCTGCTAAAATTAGTTCCTTGGCAAAACCGAGGTGAATCAAGCTGTATATTTCTTCCTGGCGTTCGTGTAGATTTGACAATTCGAAGATTGGTTGCAAAGCTTCGGAAGCAAATCCGTAAACTGGAACCAAGGCATAAAATTCTTCACTAGCTGCGATCAATTGTTCAAAAATTTTGAGACGCTGCTCTTCTGTATAGTTTTCAGTAGAGTGGTTATACTGCATTTGCTGTTTTTCTGCCAAGATCACCTTAATACGATTAAGTACTTCATTTGCCTTGTGTAATGCTTCGGTTGAAATAATGGGAAGGGATTTTGATACTTCCAGCGAGGTTTGAACATTTCGATAACTTTGGTAATGGTTGGAGCTCATTTCCATTTTGTGAACCATTGTAAAGCTTCTAATAATTTTGTACACTTCAGCGTTCAACTTTGAGGGATTTGATTTTTCACTCTCTTCCAATTTTTCAAAATCGACTGTGAGCTCGGCTGGTCTTTTCGCTTTTATGTCCTTGTGGACGAGACGGTAGCGTTTCGGAATAGGCTTAAAATTATTTTTACCGTCGTCCCAATTGTTGCCACTTTTCGCTTTGAAAATTTTCTTAAACTCCTTGATTGCTTCTTCTTCCGATGGAAATGGTGTTTTTTGGTATTGACCTTCCGTTCCGACTCGTCCCCATTGTGTGAACAAGACAACCAACTGCTTCCCACGGGGTTGTTTAACGACCTGCATCTTATAAAAGTTGTATAGACCGTACATTCCGTAGGATAAATCCACATTCGTGAGAACGCAGTCGAACAGAGTGTCTTGAACGGGGTCAAGAACTACCTCCGAGTTATCTTCCTCCATCTCCAACAGTGGATCTGGTAGCACTTTCAATTCTTTCTGTGGCATTTTAGCCTCTTTGTCCAATGATATCTGCTTAGCCTTGTTCATAAAATCTTTGATTGGTGGATCAAAACTGCAGTTCGTTTGAATTGTGACGACCGTGCCGTAATCTTCTGGACACGAGAGTTGTTGTGCTTGAGGAGTTTTCAATATTTTGTACATGGCATTGACGACGTGGGTCTTTTTGAGCTCAGCAGCTCTTTCTAGTGGCGATTTTCCATCTCCAGATTTTTTTGTGAAAGTAGCACCAGCTTTGTGTAAAATTAGCAAGACTTGCTCCACATTAGCATAATAATAACTTTCTTGTGGGCTGTCTCCTACAGATGGGCATACCAAATAATCCACGGCAGTCCAACCACGTTTATCTTGAACATCAAGGTTCAATTCTGAAGACTTTCCCCTGACCCAATTTGAATAGTTGGTGTTCCATGGGTCAATATCCAACTCTGAATTGTACGAATGTGGGTTGAGGAGAAGTTTTACCATTTTCAAATCATTTAATCGAATTGCATGCATCATTGCTGTACGACCTTGATCATCACCGAAATTAAAACTGACGCTCGACTTTAATCGCCAAAGCCAGCTTACTACGTTGTATCGCCCATGAATGACGGCAACTATTAACGGGGAATAGAGTGGAAATGATTTAGAATCTTGATCAGGATGATGATATTTTACCAGGCATCTCACTCCAGGATACGGCGATAAAACAAATGGATACTGGGTCAAAGCATTGGCTGAAACAGCCCCATTAGCCAAAAGGGAGGCTGCCCAGAGGGTCAATTCATGAGGAATGTTAAGAAACTCGTTAAATTTCCAAAACAGAGCGGAAAATGGGGTTCGACCCAAGTGGTCACGAGGCAAGTAAGGAATACTTTGTGCTGTGATACCAACCTTTTCCAATGCTGCCACTTGTGCATGATTTTGATTCATTGCTGCATAACTAATGGCGTTGCAGTTGAGACTGTCGCCCTGTTTCGGATCCACGCCTTTTTCAACTAATAAGTTTAATAGCTGCACTTGGAGCTCACTCTGTTCACCAGCTTTGGAGTGCTTTGCCAAAGTGTGCAATAAGGTTTCTTGATTTTGCTCTAGTTCTTTCACATCTTTCACACGATGAACGAGCTTCAATGCTAAACGTAATTTTTGGGTTTTGATTGCAGTCGACACCGGAATTGATATGTTGGCACCGGATGATTGAAGCTTAGCAATCATTAAATGAAGAATTCCTTGCCACTCTCTTTTGACAACTTCTTGGAATATTGGATATTTCATGGCCTCCGTTTTCATTCTTCGGATTTCATCATCTTGTTTGGCTCTGTGGGACCAAATCCACCGTGTTTCCTCGGGTGGTTCAATTGAAATTCCTTTGAAATTTCGTTCTCTTGAAGTGGACATATTTTCCTCACTGTTATCGTCCGAGTTGTCGCTGCCACTGTCATTATTGCTCGAATTATCATCCGACTCTGAATTATTCTTATCATCATCCGCATTATCCATAATTCCAGGCTCCTTTATAATTTGAATATTTGTATCAAGTATTTGTAAGAAATCTGCTCCCTGTTGTTGAAAGTGTAGTGCACTTCCTTCGTGGCCGCACCAGACTGCCAGACCGAAAGGAGTATTTCCTCGCAAGTCTTTGATGTCCATATTGTCCTTCATTTCTGAACTAAAGTAAGAACAGCAAATTGTGGCACCCCTCATCGCAGCATAATGCAAAGGCGTCGCTCCAAATTTGTCGGATATTTTCACAAATTCTCTCTTGTTTGTTCCTTTGATTGAGTTTAGAAGAATCATGACCAGCTCAATCGGGTCCAAGTTAGATTTCTCCAGCGGTTTACCAACTTTCACGAAGGCGTAATGGAGAGATGTTCGATGTCGGATGTCCCTAAGACGCAAATCGGCTCCTGCTGTGAGAAGCGCATCTTCAATGTCGTAAGCCACATCCGTTTCATTGCCTCTTGAATTAACCACCAAATGAAGCGGCGTCCGTCCATCTTTGTTCGCCAAGTTTACGTTTGAACCGGATTTGATAAGTGCAACGACAGCTTCCAAGGCCCCAGTTTCTTTTGGATTTTGAGCCACAAAGTGTAATGTTGAGTTTCCCTTTTCAGGATCAACCTCTCGAAAATCACCTCCCTTTTCCAACATTTGTGGAATTAAGCTGAACATTCTGGGTTGATGCATAGCCAGTAGGAGGAGCAAACTAAGTGAATCGTCCGATTTTGATTTAAAGTTGATATTTGCCCCGGCATTGATCAAATAGCTTATCACTTGAATTGATGAACTATTCTTCTTGTTAACAATTAGGGTGGCAAGTGGGGTTCGAAAATTAGTATCGAGTGGGTCCAAATCTAGCTTCCTTAATTGGAGAATCGATAATACTTGTGTGGCATAACTGGTGCACACGACAGAGTGGAGCATGGAGGTTTGAACCTTGTTTTGCATGCGTACTGCATTTACGTCAGAATCCAATTTCTTTACAAGAAAACTGACAAAATTACAAATGTTTTTCACTTCATTTGCATCTGTTGTCGTGTTGTTATCGGTAAATATTTTGAAAAGAGGGGTTAGACCTTCCTTGTTTTTCATTTGTGCCATTGTTTTTAAGGCTTTCAGGTTATCTGCATCTTTTGCCAGTTTTTCATACAAATGTTGAACGTATTGGGACTTGACGCTTCCAACTAGCTTGTGCAGTATGGTATCTTCATCTCCCGAGTCAACTAAAGTGTTCAACTTGACACCCGAATCGAGGAATTTTTCCGCTAACCAGTAGTTTCTGTTGGCGCAAGCAATCATTAGGGGGGACTCGTTTTTGAGGTTGACAGCATTTAGGTTACATCCTCGGTCAATTAGGAACGTCGCGGCTTGAGACAAATTATTGAACATCTATAAAACAATAGGACATTATCATTCTTTTGAAGATTGAACGTATTATAGGCAACCTAGTATGCAAATGCATTGATAGTATAATGGTTACCATTGAAAAATCTTCCCATTCTTTGCGTAATGTGAGGCCAGCCAAGTGATGTAACTATAATTTGACCCAAAATTATTATTAATTATTATTATTAATCAACTTTACTAAATAAGATTAATGTCAATATAGAGAAAGTATGCATATGCAATTACCGCATTATTATTTTTAAAATCTGGCGTTGTACAGTCGGCACGAAGTTCTTCAATCAAGAATTTTAGGCGAGGAATTAGACTTGATTTCATTGTGGTAGACGAACAGGCCTTCAGTAGCAGTGTCATTCCTAAATTAGTAATTATTTTTGTGACTGCAGTAAAAATTAACCCAGCAAATCTCATTTGAATGCAAGTATTCTTTATTAATTACCACTGTCCCCATCGACTGGCGTGTTGACTTCGACACCGGGCTCCTTCACTAGAAGTTCCACAATTCCGACGTGGCCTTTCATGAATGCAATAGCAAGAGGGGTCAACTTCCAGTCGTTGCCTTTCGCCACATCACAACCAGCTTCAAGGAGCAATTTGAGGGCAAAGAACCATCCATAGGCAGCAGCATAATGTGCCAAAGAATTACCGCTGGAATCTTGGACTTGATGATTCACACCAAGTCGAAGAAGATAAGATAAGATGTGAGCATGTCCATTGATAACAGCATGAAATATACAGGTTCTGCCTCGTCTGTCCGTTACTGCGACTTTCACCCCATGATTCACGAGTAGTTTTACCACATCAAGATGTCCATACAGGCAAGCCAGCATCAACGCCGTCATCTTGTCATGCTGTGCAGGAGTGGGTTTTTCTGGGTCAGCATTGGCTTGTAGAAGGGCTTTTACAATTTCCAAATGGCCACTTTTTGCAGCAATGTGCAAAGCTCGCATTCCATTTCTGTTGACTTTCTCCAAGGAGGAAGTTGCTTGGACTCTTGCACCGCTTGTTGTGGCCGAATCATCCATATTGCTCGCACTTTGCAGTTCATGTGCCAAAAGTGCTTTAACGTTGTGAAGTCTTCGTCGTGACACAGCCAGATGGAGGGGGGTGTTGCCATCCTTTTCAGTCACCATAGTTGACACACCACTGGCGAGCAAGAGCTTCAATGGTCCATCTCCGACACAGACTGCAGCATAATGTACTGGCGTCCAGTTTTGTCGATCGACTATGCCATACTCTGGCTTGGAATGCAGAAGTGTTTTCAAATATTCAGGATTTGGGTTAATTGCGGCACAATGAATCGGAGTAAATCTGGAACCGAACATACTCTTCTTGACGACCGATACCGGTTTGAAATCTGAAAACGGCTCGGTACTGTGGGTCAATGATTCGACATGAAGGAAATTAAAGCCAAAACCACCATGTTTCAGAGCATTGGCTGCAAGTTTACCAGCGACCTCAATATTCCCATGTCTTACAATGGTATCAATTTTGTTGAGGAGCTCATTCATGATTGAAGACCCCTTATCTTTATTAATTGAGAGTAAAAATTCCACCATGGAATACGGCAAACCTTCTTCAATTCCTCGAACAACGTGTCCTGCAAAGTCGCTCTTGTTTGGAATTTTAGTCTGAATGTTGTAAGTGCTGTCGTCCTTGAGTAGCGCGGCGTGACCTTCTTTGCCACCACGACCAACGGTGACAGCTCTGAGGCCATGTCCAAACATCATTCTTGACCCATGTCCCGTTGACTCGGTGTGGATGAGGAGATCTGGACTGGGACCAAATTTCTTCTCCACCGAAGGGTCGAGTTCTAGCAGCATCTTAATCACGTTCTTGTTTTGCAGTTTAATTGCAATGTCCAGTGCATTCGAATCATCGCCGACGGGAAAACGAGGCAGGCATAATGAATATATTTGCGATGCATCGGTGGTTACGAGTGTTTTTAGCAATTTACAGTCATTCATCATGACAGCCCGAAAAACCAATCGGGAGTGGGCAAGAGTGGAAATATAAGGGATTTCCAGGTTGGACTGGAAAGTGGGATCATTTTTATATTCGGAAACATTGGTATTTGGATTAAGTGCTTCTTTTTTGGATTTGCGTTTCTTGCTACCCACAAGTTGTTGGTCATTATTTGTTGGTGTCTCATTTTTGAGCTTCTTACTACTTTTTACTTTATTAGCTGTTAATATTTTCTTGACTTTGTCGGATTTTGATTTGTTCGGTGCCTTGGAGGTTGGAGCTCTTTTACTTTTACTTTTCACGGTTAATACTTTTGTCACCTTCGAATTAATGGATTTTTTAATTATTTTTGACGCAGGTTTTGATTTTGCTTTTGTAACTGTTTTACTCTTGGGAGAAATTCTTTTCATGGATTTTTTATTGGTATTTGGCTTGACAATACTTGACTTGACAGATGGAGGTGCGGATTTTGGTGATTTATTCGTGTTGGTTTTTTGGTGATTCGACTTTGCTGTTGAAATTGCTTTCAGCACTTTAGTGATTGATTCCGGTGTTTGATAAGTGATCCTGGATCTTTTGGAGGACCGACTCGAGTCAGAATTTTTCGCGACATTGCTGGACGATTGCTTTCTTTTGCCAAGAGGGGATTTACTCGGTTTGGGAGCATCGTTAGCCTTGTCGAAGTCAAGGCGTCGTTTTGCCCCCACTCGAACCATTGTGATGAGACTTGTATCTAGATGAGTTTTAAATAATACCGTGAGATTTTGCATCATAACATACAAGAACCACTGCATTAGTAACAGTTTTCATGACTTTTTGTGCAATACTATATATGTACTACATAAGTTCTATACTCTGTAGACGACCTTGCTTGTCACACGATCTGTTGCGTGTAAGCCTTGATCATATACTGCATTATAACTATGTATAACTTCCTTTGATGTGTTTCTCTTACAAACATATGATGCATACAAAAGCAAATTGTGTGCTTTGGATAATGATGATATTGATCGATATTAATGATTTATCTCTATTTGGAAATGATATGACATATGAAACTCCAATCTTTTACACCTCACCTATGAATTGATTGCAGTGACAGTAATAATACCTACATATGGCATAGTACTTGCTTATTTGTATATGTCGTCAAACCCCAAAGAGTTGTTTAAATGTCAAAATTTAATTCATAACAATGACTGAAATATGCTGGCATGTTTTTTATACTGAAAATAGTGAATGAATGAAAGACAATATAGATTGTAAACTTACATATAGTCGCCTTTACGAACAAGCGGGATGAGAACTTTGAGACATCTTATTGATGAGTATATATGAATTCCAAGAGTCTCAATTTGCCTCTCTTGCTTGCCTGTGAAATGCTTAGATTCGGTACTGCCAAATACTTAAATATTTATTATTGTAAACACTCTGTAATTTTATTAAGTTTTCCGATGTTTATGAGAGAACATTTGTGAATCAAGTGCACAGGACGAGTGAGCATCGTCGCAACTCGACAGTCTGTTTTTGTATTGGCAACAAATGACGTAATGCAAAAATCCTGAGTCCAATCCTATCTTGTTTTCATATGATTCAGCGAACACAAACACCGGTTCTAACATGTTATTTTTTGCGAATACGTTTGCAAACTTTAGCCTTGGGTTTATAAACGAGCTCAGTAGGCTTTGAATAACCCACACTCTTTTGCTCTTGCAGAATTGCTTCTCATTGCAAGTTTCACGAGTTCCAGCACTTTTGCGACTTTTTGCATAAAACATCCATGTATATCATATCACGTTTTGTTTTTGCATTATGTGACAAAGACATTTTTATATTATCAGATTAGCATGAATAAATAGTCAACAAATTATGTAGTTTCAAGAAATTCCAAAAATATCTGACTGATGTATATTATGCGTACTAACTGTTTGAGTATTTCATAAATTTGCGTAATCTCAAAAGACTATGAACTAATGACAATTAAGTATATAATCCACGAGTAATTTTCTAACAATTTTCTTGCTTTCATTGTACAACCGGTGATGTTGATAACACAAATATTATATACTAAAATATGATAAGGAATGGGATGAGACTTACTGTACATTGTATGCAAATTGAAGAGCCAAGTGGTCAACGTTTCGAACCTTCGTTCTTTTTCAGAACCGGAGAGAAAATTATTATTTTTGTCAATTAGATATTATAGAATAATACCCATTCAATTTCTGGGGCTGTATCTTGCTTGCATCCACATTTCTACATTTCATTTCGATAGGTGCATGATCTTTTTACAAGTACCGTTTCTGGTATTACAAATATGGATATTATATCCTCTTCTGTTTATGTACATAAAAAGTTTTACCATTTGTGAAACTGAAAAATATGGGTTAAGCATGAATCATGTATGATTATAATGTGTTTCAAACAGAGCTGGGAAATTAATGAGTTTCGAGATTAAAAATTAAGATTTGAGATTAAAAATCCCCGAATCAGAGATTAAGATTAAGATTAAAATTATTCTTCCGCTACTAAATTAAATTATTAAGATTAAATTAATCTATTTTTATGACACAGATTAAAGATTAAAGATTAATTAATCTAGATTAATATAATAGTGATTAAGAATTATTTTATTTTATCGCCGTTTTTTATAGTTTACATCGATATTATAATTATATCGTAAATTCTAAAATTTGAGAAAAGTATGAAGTATCGGTGCTTCAAAATTGTTATTCAAAATTATTAAACTTTTATCAGCTAAATTTAAGGCGAATACAATAACTTGTAATACGAGTAAAAATTAGTCTCACCTCAAATGCAACGCGTTTTTAAATTTCAAAAAATAATAACTCTTAATTTTTTTTAATTAAATTAATTTTTTAATGGCAGCAAATTTTTTAATCTTTTTAAAGAATACAGTTTTAAATAACGTTACTTTCAAAAAAGGGAACCTGTCAGAAATTTAGAATTGTTTTGATTTTTAAAAATGGTTCCAGTGTTGAAAGACGATCGTGCGTTGAAATTTAGAGATTTACAAGGAGTCGAGTAACAGATGGCGTGATTTTAATCATAATATAAATCGTGATTAAAATTAAAGTCGAAGATTCAAAGATTAAAAATTAAAAATTAAATTAATTAAATTGACTTGTGAGATTAAGATTAAAATTATTGATTAATACGATCAAATTTCTTGATTAAAATTATGGATTAAGATTAATTATTCTTAATCTTAATCTTAATCTTGATTATTTTAATCTAGATTTTCCCAGCTCTGGTTTCAAATCTGAAATCACTGCAATGAACGCATAATGTATACCGTGATCTGTGAAGTCACAACAAAGTATCAGCTTCCCCAACGAAAACGGTTCATTTCATTTCGTTCGCTTCTTGTCACTTGTGGTTCGCTTTTAGTAAAGCCTAGAAAGTTTGTTTTTTGCATTATAATACACAAAATTGAAAGAAGTGTGTATAAAATATTTTTTTAATTCTGCAAACTATGAGTGGAGTAAAAGCAGAGTCTAAAACCAGTTCCCGTATTGTCATTTCAGTACATATTTGACTGTACATTTGATTAACGTTTGCTTTATTTTTATAGTTGATTGATCAAATATTTTGTAAAAATTATATTACACAGTGATACTTAATCAATACTCAACTAACTATTGGTTATTTAGAAATGTTGGGAGTTGGAATACTCTTTGTAAATTAAAGCCTATGTAAAATAAACTAAGAAATTGTTCACAGGTTAATTGGGTTAACTTCGTCAAAAACACCAAAATGACTCTAAATTCAATTAACAAATTACAACAACAGCTTCAAAGCATATTAGGACCGGAGTACAACAGGTGGGAAGAAATCATTAATTTAATTCACAAGTTCACATTCCTTTTCACAAGTTCGTGGTTAAAATATGCTGTAACAATAATTTTCAGTTATCTGGAGAATATGCAAGATTGGTTTGGTCAACAGGTCTATTGAAAAATTTATAAAGAGTACAAAATTAGTGAGCCTTTTCTAAATAGTAATTTTCTTTGCTGTTGCCGTATTGTACAGATTACCAAAGAGTTTTTTGACGAACGAATGGCCACGATTCTCCAAGGGAGAGGCGCATATGAAGTACACAATGAGATGATGAAGCTAATAATGTCCCAATGTAACGGAAATACTCCAACCCCTGCGCCGACACCCGTGGTCACAACTAACTTTAGTGGTCCTCGAAACCTGATCGTTCCCACGAACTCGTTCAGCATGGAATTTGAAACGATCGAACACCAGAATGGGAAACGATTTGTGATTTACGAGTCTGCAGACGGGGAGGATGACCTGACTCCAAATCAAAGCTACATCACAGTTAATTTGGTGGAAGGTGATGACTTACTCCCTTATATGATGCGAGCCGAAGAGGTCGAGAAGGTCAAACCTATCGTCCCAGTGGATTGGCTCTTTAATGTTGATGTTGTCAAAGTTAATGCGGATGAAGCAAACCAAACTGCATTTTCACCTCCAGTCAGTAAACATACATATATATTTTTTTGCGATTAACTCTTCATAATTACAGCCTTAATGGAAAAATTTTGTTCAGGAAAACTATTCAAAATTTGCAATAGAGCAAGCTCCGACCGGAATTATCCGCAGTTCAGGATTTTTACCTAGCACTACCTATGGATATGATATTGCTGGTACACCATTAGCCATTTTTATGACCTTCCGTTATTCCACAATTGAGTATAATTGTATGCTATTCGTAATTAGATCGTCTAAATAGATTTCCTCAGCTCAGGGCACATTTCAAACATCAGTCGAAAGATCAACCCTATTTACCCGATGGTTCTTCAATTCATGGCCGATTTCTACTAAAGGCTTGGGAATGTGGTTTGGATGGAGGCGTAGACCCTAACGGTACTAAATTGGTCCACGAAGCTGTGAAGGTTAGAGAAAAACGCAAGCGGACAAAATTTGTCCATTACTTACTTGCACTCGCTCCCATATATAACTAAATATATGTATATTATATTATACTTCATGTGTACAGGAACATGTACGTAAAATAATTACTGAGATGGTAAAACAAAGACGCTCATTCAGAATGCGGAACAACAAAGTAATTTATAATCTAGTTTAAATATAAACTGTGAGATCCATGCGCCCAAATAATTAGTCAACTATTTACTAGATTTGTCACTCCATTGGAGCCCCTTATCCAAACCCATATTTGCTTTGTTATAAGTGAGTGCAAAACATTTTTTTTATTCTTGGATGCATTTCTATACTTCTATACAGCTTTCATTAATTTAATTTGGACAATAATTCCGTATTCAAGACAAGGTCAACACCTCCTGGATTCTGCCTACTCTTCTGAGTAATAATTAAATTGGCAAATCAAATTACATTAAATTAAAGTTTCAAATAAACTAATAAATAATCAATTTTCTTATACATTGTAGAACGACCAGAATGGCAGATGTTATGCAAGTGCCTACAATGGTATCCAATGCCGAGGAACTAGAAAGAATTGCAACACTGCAAATAGCTTCTGCAGCTCCGTCAAAAATTTGCAGATTTCCAGCAACCAAATCTACCTTGGCAGATCTCTTAAATGTCATTGAGGTCTGAATCATTATACAATAATATTTTTAGTAAATCCATGAAAGGAAAATTACTTTCATTCAATTAATGCTCTCACAGAACGATCCTGGAATTATCCCATACACATCGCTCCGCTTCAAACTGCTTGGAGGCATTGGCCAAAAGTATAAAGGTTTCGCAGGAACTTTCTCTTACGACGATGATGACAATGATGACTACGACGATCACAGTACCTTGCTACCCATCTGCTCATATTAAAATAAGCGTCGAAAAAAATAAATGTCTGATCTCAACATTTCAAGCTCACGATTCGTTACTTGTATTATTATTATTCTTAAATTCATTAATTTTTTCATGATCCAGGGCTGCCTGGATCATGAAAAGAACATATTTATTAGAAAAGGAGTGATTTTAAGGGGGAAGTGGGAGGTGTCGGGCGAACCATTTCTATTAAAAAATTAGTTGCATAGTGAATAAGGTTTTCGTTCGTCTCAACCTCCCCTCGTTCTGCCTTCTCGTGGTTGGCTGTGGCTCGAAGCAAGCGAACACGCTCCACTAAAACCTTACCTACTTCACTCACTCAACACGCGAAACCGAAGTTTAACTATTGTTTATTAATGTTCTTTTAATTTGAAATTTGCTAAAAAAACTAAGCAAGTTGTAGATAGCTTAGGACTTGGTTGGGGTTTGTTAATCTAGAGTTAGATTGCTTGGTGGGTAGGATGGAAGACGATCTTTTCGGTGCAGAGTTGTTTGACGTATTCGACAACAAAACACTAGCCCCTTCATCGACCAAAAAAGATGAGGATCGGGACGAGGATGACAATGAAGACGAGGATGGGCTGCAGTAGTAAGTATATTTTGTGCCATGAGTTTTTGGTTCAATTGTGGACCATTTATATTTTCTATGTGGTACCGTCCACCATCTACCCAAAGTAATTGTCCATCATCTACCTAGCTATCATCTACCATCTACCTTACTAATTGTCTGTCATCTACCTTCCTAACATCTACCATACTAATTGCCTGTCATCTATCCTCCATCATCTACCCAAAAATCTCAAATTCCCCAAAAATCTCAAATTCCCAAAAAATCTCAAATTCCCCAAAAATCTCAAATTCCACAAAAATCTCAAATTCCCCAAAAATCTCAAATTCTCCAAAAACATCAAATTTTCTTAAGGATAAAAGATGATGCTAAATAAAATTTGTACAATAAATTCTAAATATGGTAATAATTAATAATGATAAAAGCAGAAAAATTAATCAGCAAACACAAAACAATTTCATAGAGATTTTATTGACATGGTAAAGAATCGAAATAATAATGATGATTACAATCTTACATGATAAGTAATGTCTTGTTATGTTTATGCCAAACGATAAATTTATTAAAAGAATTACATTTTCTTGAGCCATATCGTCCTTATTCTATGGGACTTGCCAGCTGGGGTGTATTTATGAAGCTTTTCAGCTCGAGTACCATCATATATATATTTTGTCCCTTTCCACGACACTACAGTTTTGTAGTGGTCATGAGCAAAGACAGTATATGCAAAGAGCTTATACTTCGTTTTCAAAATTATTTGAGTAGTTGGCAGATCACGTTCTTTGGTATCCTCAATCCCTGAGTGAGCGAGCAAATAAGCAAAAAATGGTGGGGGTCCTGTAGATGGCCATTGGTACGAAATAAAGCATGAAGATCGATTACATGCTTCTCATTCCACATCTCATTCCACCCCGAGCAATTTGAACGTGCTTGACATTCTCTTTCAATGGACACCCCACATGGCGAAATAAAAAATCGCAAAAAAGGCCATGATCTTCTCTTAATGAACTAATGGGTGTAAATTTAATCCGGTAACATTTTTCACCGCCAGGAAAATGCTTGTTGTTCGAAACTGCAGATATTAGAAAAACCAATTTTCCTCGGAAGTTACCTAACTATTTAATCTTTTCACCACGTGCTTCGATCATGCTCTGAAGGTTATACTTCATGCACTGTGCATGTCAATTTTAGTCCTGCTCAAACCCACCAGCTACCATAACTTCGTACCCTAATTTCAGTACCCCTATCAACGATTGGTTTAATTTCTTTGCTGTTCTGTATGTTCAATTTTGTCAGTGTAATTTAGGATATGACTCAATTTGCGAGTCATTAGTACAGAGGATATGGCGACAAAATTCTTAAGGCAGTCAAATTCTCATTATTTCATAGGTTTTATGTCAATGCAATATGGTCATCAAAATTTTCAGGGGACAGATGATTTTAATTAGTTAGATTATAAGTTCGGTCAACATATAATGCTTATCTGACGGTAGTTTTCACCACAATAGGTTATTTGTGCACGATTTTAATTTAATCCGTTTTACGTTTTTCGGCTCCATTCCACTATTTGGACGAAAATTTCAAGTTATCTCAGGAAATTTGAGTATAATCATTGATTTTCTGGTAGGTGAGACCCTTTTGGATTGTTCGGGTCATTTTTCATCCTTCAAAAAAATTTTCTTCCCGCATTTCCACGAACTTTTTCCGGCACATCCGAATTTGGATGATTTTCATTATTAGTTGGAATTTCCCGCTTCTAAGACCTGCAGTTCAAGTTTGTGGTGTTTTCTATTAGCACCTACAGAGTGTTAATAAAGTTTCTGACCACCCCAAAAAATCCGCATACCCGCCCACAAAAGTTGCTGAAACTTTCTTGGTGTTGCTTTCTCGGTACTAATTTTTTCTGACAATGTCCCTCAGATGTCTATGCTCAAGTGTGGAAAAAATTATAAAAATTCATTTACTTTTGGATGAACATGAGGAGGTGTTACAAATCGCTCGAAAATATTGAGTTCCCAGAAATACCTTCCAGTTATGGAGGAACTGGAATTAAATCAGCGACGCTATTCATGTCAGGCGACCTACCACACCCGGGAGAATAACTTACAATACAATTTTAGAAATAATCTACAGAAAACCTGGTAGTTTGACAATAAAGTGTGGAGCGCTCCTAAATCTCACATATCAATTTTAACGATTTTGGTACAAAATCTGTCATTCCATCACCCAGAATCATATAAAAACCAGTGATTGGAATCACATATCTTCCAGAACTCCGAAACAAACTCTTTTCTAACAACAATATTCCAGATCGAGTTGATTTTGGCCATTTTCTGGGTGAAAACCGCTAATTGACTGCTTGTGTAAAGGGTCAGCAAATTTTGTGTACTCACAGTACCGAAATGTATGGTCATCCTGTGGCGAATCCTCAATATATGAGGTACCGAATTGCGAATAGAAACGGGGTTCTCGACAAGATGATTAGAAAAAAATCACTACCATTTATGGTTTGTATTTGGCTCTGGTCTGCTGGCGCGGCAGAAATAGACGTCAATTTTGGTTGCCAAAATTTGGACTGACCGTTTTACGGTGACCATATCTTCCCATTGTACTTCCATACTATGGAGACTAAACAATTTTTTCCACATTCTAAAAAAATCCATGCCAACCTGATGGAGCACCAGCCCAAACTTCATGTGCTACAGCTTGAGTTTTTAAGTAGAATGCGTTTATCTTGAGGAAGTGGGTGTGGCTCGGGAATAACCCGGACTTAAACCAAATTGAAAATTTAGGGCCCCACCTCAAAAGCAAGACGTGGGACGAAGCGGTTCCAGGCGATTGTGCTTCCCAGAATTGAATTTGTCAAACCCCTTTGAAAAAAATTCACAAAACTGTTTTAGAAAATCGGTCTAAAATTTACAGAGAAAACCTTCAGGACATGCAAAATCGTATGGACGGAGCAAAGGATCAGTGCATAACATACTATGACAGTTTTCGTTAACAAAATATTTGGCCTGTCAAAATCACAATTGTTTGAAACTATCTCGCCTGGTCAGAAACTTTATTAACACCATGTATGTTCATACCACCCATGGTAAAAATTTAAAAGAAAACGTGAACGGGATCAATAATTATGACTAAATTTGTCTCAAGCGGGGATCTAAAAATCCATGTTACCGGATTAAATTTACACCCTTTAGAGGGTCCATCTTCGAACTCGACCTGTCACTTGACCTAATAAACACATTGGCGAAAACCAGGGCTGTTCAATTACCAATGGAAGTAATTAATTCTTAATTCTTAATTACTCCGTCTGGGAAAGTTGGAATTAAGTACTAATTACAAATACTTCTTTGTCCAGTAACTGAACTTAATTATCAATTACAATTACTTTGCAAGCATGTAATTGACTTCAATTACCAATTACTTATTAGTAATTGAAAGTCAATTACTTAATTACTAATTACTTAATCCTCATACTTGAAATTAATTAAACGCTATTTAAAGGCTAACCTTCGACCAAAAAATTCATTTGCGAATAGGATAAAACTTTTATAAATGTCTCGGTATAGCAAACAGTTCATCTATATGATCCAAAAATTTAAAATTGCCGTGGATCTTTACTCCAAATAAGATAATGGCCTTTTCTTCCCACAGTTACAACATTAAAATTGTTAATGCGTACATTTCTATTTATTGTATTTTCCCTGACTCTGACTAACGAGCTTGCTTAGGTAATTTTTGCAGTCTATAGAACACAGCCAGTTGAAACAGTTGTAATATAAAATTGTAATAAGCTCGGAGTGCAAAAGCTGAATGGGAATGATGACCAAAGCGTTCACAACAAAACATATTTACATAATTCGAGTTCATCGGGAGAGGAGACTTGTCGTATTTCATTGCAAGTATATTCAATTAAGTAATTAAGATTTTTAATTAAGATTTTTGAGAAATTTGAGATTTTTGGGGAATTTGAGATTTTTGGGAAATTTGAGATTTTTGGGGAATTTGAGATTTTTAAGAAAATTTGAGATTTTTAGGAAATTTGAGATTTTTGGGGAATTTGAGATTTTTAAGAAAATTTGAGATTTTTAGGAAATTTTAGATTTTTTAGAAATTTGAGATTTTTGGGGAATTTGAGATTTTTGGGAAATTTGAGATTTTTGGGGAATTTGAGATTTTTTAGAAATTTGAGATTTTTGGGTAGATGATGGAGGATAGATGACAGGCAATTAGTATGGTAGATGTTAGGAAGGTAGATGATAGACAATTAGTAAGGTAGATGATAGATGTTAGAAAGGTAGATGATGGACAATTACTTTGGGTAGATGGTAGATGGTGGACAGTACCACATATATTTTGTATTTGTGATTGACAGTGTTAGCGCGTCAAAAGTTACTAAAGAAAAGGAGGACGAAAACAAAAAGGATGCAAACGAAGCAGTGGATGTCCAGAATATTCATGAAGATGAGCCAGATGAAGTTGCAGCGTTGAAGGAAGTTGCATCAACAAGTAAAAAAGTTGATGCGCCAAACAACCAAGAAACTGGTACAACTTCCACGACCACTGCTCAAGCCACTGGTGCGACTAAGAGAACATTAGAAAATGAAGAAAAAACTGATGAGGATGAAGAAAAAGGTATGTGAACCTAATAAAAAGTCAGTTCATATGATTATTATTTTTCTTTTATAATATAAGCTGTGGAGATTGATCAAGACGCTGAGTATATGGATACGACGGAAGACGGTGTATCAGTTAAACGTCGTAAGACCATGAGTGACATTGAAGCACTTCAAAAATATCTTCCCCAAGTTGAATTGAAGACTTTGGAAACGTTGGATGGAGGAGGGTGCTCTCATGTGGTTGCCATCCCGTCAAATTCATACTATATTCCTTTAGAACCTATTGGAAAGCCTGTGAAAACGTATCCTTTCACTTTGGATACTTTTCAACAAAGAGCTGTCCAGTGTGTGGATAATTACCAATCTGTTTTGATATCTGCTCATACTTCTGCTGGGAAAACTGTTGTCGCAGAGTATGTTCTAATTTTTTTTTTGTATTATCAACCAATTTTCAGATATTAATGTGTGGCTTTAAACTTCACAGATATGCAATTGCTAAAGCGTTAAAAGATAATCAACGAGTTATTTACACAACACCCATCAAAGCGTTGAGTAATCAGAAGTATCGAGAGTTTTATGAAGAGTTTAAAGATGTTGGACTTATTACTGGCGACGTTACAATCAGCCCATCAGCAAGTTGTTTGATTATGACAACTGAGGTAAATAATTAGTAAATGTCAACCCTGCTGGTTTCTCTATATCTATTGATTAAATTGGCATTGTTATAGATTCTCCGAAATATGTTATACCGAGGTTCCGAAATCATGCGGGAGGTTGGATGGGTTGTTTTTGACGAAATTCATTACATGAGAGATAAGGAAAGAGGGGTTGTATGGGAGGAAACTATCATCTTGCTACCACATAAAACCCATTATGTATTTTTGTCTGCAACCATTCCAAATGCAATTCAGTTTGCAGAGTGGATTTGTCATTTGCACAAACAGCCTTGCAACGTTATTCACACGGAATATCGACCTGTCCCCTTGCATCATTATATTTATCCAGTTGGAGGAGATGGGATTCATTTGGTAGTGGATGATCAGGTATCTATAAATATATCTACAGCTGTGATTTATTCATAATTTTCTATTTATATTAATCTTGTGCATTTGTAGGGGACATTTCGAGAGGATGGGTTTAACAGTGCAATGGGTATGATTCAAAATACTGAAGGTGGAGGAGGTCAAGGTGGCCGAGGGCGGGGACGACAAGGCAAAGGAGAAGATTCTCCATGCCACAAAGTTATTAAGATGGCAATGGAACATGACTTGGCTCCCGTTATTGTGTTCAGCTTTAGTAAAAAAGATTGCGAAATATATGCCTTGCAATTGTCAAAATTGGATTTCAATACGGGTCAGTTTATATAATTTACTTTTGATATTAATATTAATATATGTATTGGTTGCTTTTAACAAGAAGTGACAATTTATAAATTTTCAGGAGAGGACAAGCAATTGGTCGAAGAAGTTTTCACAAATGCAATTGATGTTCTCTCAAAAGAAGATCAAAAGTTGCCTCAGGTAGAAAATCTACTCCCTTTGCTGAAACGTGGGATTGGTATCCATCATGGTGGTACGTTGTCATTCATTCATTCTTTTGCATACCTGTGGCATTCCTGAATTACTAAGTCAATTTCAGGTTTACTACCCCTGTTAAAAGAAACTATTGAAATTCTTTTCTCCGAGGGACTTATCAAAGTTCTATTTGCAACCGAGACTTTCGCTATGGGTTTGAACATGCCAGCAAGAACTGTACTTTTCACAAATGTACGAAAATTTGATGGGAAAAACTATCGATGGGTACGTCAATAATAAATAATTCAGATTTATATTTGTCAGGGGAAAAAATATATGTATATCATAGCACAAATAATTTTTTGTGTTTGTAGATTTCTTCTGGAGAGTATATTCAAATGTCTGGGAGAGCAGGGCGTCGTGGAATAGATGACAAAGGGGTCACAATAGTCATGATTGACGAAAAAATTAGCCCCAGCGTTGGACGGTCTCTGTTTAAAGGAGCTGCCGACCCAATCAACTCTGCTTTTCATCTTACGTACAATATGGTCTTAAACTTGATGCGGGGTAAATCTACTAATCTACAGTTTATATATTTGTCTCCTATGTAACAAGATCTACAATTTCTTACCTTAATTGTTTCTTTTGTGCCTCTTATCCATTTAGTGGAAGAAATTAATCCTGAATACATGATGGAAAGGAGTTTCTTCCAATTCCAAAATTACTCAAATATTCCAGATATATGCAAAAGTATGTCACCGTTATTTTAAATTAAAAGCTAAATCACTTATTAAAAGTGAATTATCCGACCCCTTATTTCTACAGAGCTTTTGGATGCTGAAACAGCGTACAAAAATATGACAGTTCCACGTGAAGAAGAAGTGGCTTCATATTACGATCTCAGGAAACAACTAAATATATTTTCCGAAGATTTTCGTTCATATATAACTCGCCCAACATATGTAGTTCCCTTCTTGCAAGCAGGGCGTTTAGTATTTGTAAGAAATTTTAACCCCAATTTCAATTTGAACGTTTTCCATTTACTTGCTACTGATGCTTCTAATTCTATTTCATCAGGTGAAAAACAAAGAAACAGAATTTGGTTGGGGTGCTATCGTCAATTTTCAAAAGAAGGAAAACACTCGAGAAAATCCCTTGAACTCGACTCCAACATATGTTGTTGATGTTCTGCTGCACGTAAACTTTGTACAAGGAGTTGATGGGGTAAGTTCAAAAAGCTCTATTTGTTTAACTTCAATAAATTGTATTTCATTGATACGGGTGAATAATATATATTGCTTTAAACAGTCTCCAGGAGAAATTAAACCCATTGGGATAGGAGAGAAAGGGGAAATGAAAGTAATTCCTATTGCACTGGGCGTCATCAACAAAATTAGTCAAGTCAGGCTGTATATGTCAAACGATCTGAGACCCTTGGAAAACAGAATGGCTGTGCTGAAAGGAATTGAAGAAGTCAATAAGCGATTCAACAACGAGATCCCATTGTTGGATCCAATCAAAGATATGCGTATCAACAACAAAGGTTTCACTGATCTGCTGGAAAACATTAAGCAATTTGAGCAACGACTTTCAAAGCATCCCCTTAATGAGGACCCAGATGTCGCGAACCTGTACGAAACATACCACGAAAAAGTCAAAGTAAAATTAATAATCAATAATAATCAATCACTCAATAGAGGGAAATAAATGTTTTTACTAATTTTTTTGTATTGTTGTCTTTGCAGCTTCATCAAGAGGTTTCATTGGCTAAGGTGGATTTGAAAAAGGCGAAATCTCTACTACAAATGGATGAATTAAAATGTAGAAAGCGGGTTCTCCGCCGTCTAGGATATGCTTCGGCCGATGACGTTATTGACATAAAAGGTCGAGTAGCGTGTGAATTAACGAGTGGAGATGAGCTCTTACTGACAGAAATGATATTCAATGGCTTATTTATGGACTTGGACGTTCCAAAAACTGTCGCATTGCTCAGTTGTCTGGTGTGCGATGAACGCAGTAATGATGTCCCAAAACTTTCAGAAGAACTATCTGGACCACTGAAAATGATGCAGGTGAGTTAAATAATTTAAAAAATTAAATTTACTTAATTTAAGGCCTAATTTGTAATTAATTGTATGTTTGTTATCTTATATTATCGTAGGATATGGCAAGACAAATAGCTAAGGTCAGCAAGGAGTCAAAACTTGAAATTGATGAGGACGAGTATGTGGACCAGTTTAAGCCATTTTTAATGGACGTAGTCTTTGAGTGGTGTAAGGGAGCAACTTTTTCTAAACTATGCGAAATGACTGACATATTTGAAGGTAAGTAAATAACAATAAACAAATTAGAATAAAATTTCACAAAGGAAATCAAGAGTTTAAATGATTTGTAATTTTTTATGAAGGTGGGATTATTCGCTGCATGAGAAGATTGGAAGAGTTATTGCGACAAATGTCGCTAGCTGGTAAGATTAATAAGACCAAAATTTTAGTACATGTTCATAATTGCTAATAAATTTTTATTATCTTTCAGCCAAAGTGATCGGCAACAAAGAGTTGGAAGAGAAATTCAATGATGGTGTGAAACTTATAAAACGCGACATTGTATTTGCTGCAAGTTTGTATTTGTAATTGTATAATTTTATGATATTGATTGTGAGTAGAAAAGTACTCTAGCTTGTTTATTGATGTACTTTTATTACTTCTTATAACAATGAATCATAAATAAATTACACTTAAAAATATTGAGACGACAAGTATCAAAGTCTTATTAAGTTATCATCATCAATTATTAAAGAATACTACATGTACTTGTGTGAAAAAATTTACTCCTTTTTAGTGTCAACCACAATAGGTTTTAACGCTTGTGGAGTGAGTGATTTTGCATCAGGGTTAATTCCCAATGTACTTCTTTGAAGTAAATTTGCACTAAAAAAACTTGGCCTCGGCTTTGGAAACTCAATCAAAATGTTATTTTCTTTAGCATCATGTTTTTCCGATTCATACAAAACCACAATGTCTTTGTCGTGTGGTCCATGTCCAAATTTGGTGTCAGCTTGTTCCCTAATTAATTTTGTTTCCTTTGAAATACGGTCATAACAATTTCCTGCAACGAAAATTAACATGGATGCTTAGATTAAATTCCTGCGAAAAACAATTCCGGCCTAAAATTACCACAAAGATGGAACGCTTCGTAATGGTGACCACACGTATCGCAGATCCTCAAATTGGTTTTCGGTTTGAGTAAGGGGCACTGGGCTTGATAGTCTTGATGTCCAAATTTTCGTCGGAGACGCTTCATTTGAGACGTCCGTTTCTTGGGAACTCCCCAGAGGATACCTGACCAAGATTTAGGATCAGTTGTCCCATCTTCGTCCTCGTCCCCTTCTACATCATCATTGTCCTCCAACTCACGAAGTGAAGGTAGGTGATGACTAGGAAAGCCGTGCACTGCTGCTGGAACTAATGCTCGAGTGTAATCCGGAAATCCTGGATAAATCATCGCAATTGAGATATTTTATTTGGTCATTTCCTCCCAAAAATTATGAATTGAATTAATTTGTACCTCTTGGAAGAATGAGGATATCTGTCCATCGGATCAAACCACGTATGGATGTGTTTAGCGAGTAACGAACGAGTCTAGCAAGTCCTTCCATCATTGAACGAGCAATTTAAAACTATAAAATTTAATAACTAGCACGTGCTACTTTTCTATTAAAAATTCCGAAGTTTCGAAATTTGTATCTAGCGACTGACTAGCCAGACCGATGTATCACTCAAATCCTGGAACGTTCATCTAATAAATCAGAGTCGGATATATATAATGTAGTTCCGACTAATGTATTATTTTAATTTGATAATTTGATAATTTAATTTTAAGGATAATAATTTTCATCAAATCTGAATTAGAACCACGGATAAAAATATGCCGGCTCTTTGGCAAAGACGAGACGAAAGACAACACGAACCGGCACATGCTGTTTTCTCTTTTAGCCTTTCATACACGTGCGAGCCAGGTTTGGTAAGTTTTCTTTGTCTACAAATCTTTTTGCAAATTATAAAACTTGTGAAATTAATCTCCAGACAGGCCATGGAGGTAACGGGAGTTGGGGATCAAAGTTATTATGGAGGAAATAGTGGTGGGGGGTTGGAAGAGTTATCGCCAGCGGAATTGGAGTCGCACTTGGCGGAGGGCATGTTTCGACGAGTGAACAACCACAGAGAACATTTGGTCCTTCAACCATTCTGGCTCACAAGGCCAAAACAAGGTGTAATTGAAGAGATTAGGAAAATGTTGGGGAAATGGAATGCTAGGTTATAATAATTATAATGAAAATAGCTCTGGTTTGTAGGTTATTTAATATCAATCTGCTTAATGCACAATATTTCTATGTTTAGACTGGAAGCATATGTCGTGGGATTTGAGAACCCTGTTTGCGAGTCGACCACGGGAGCCATAAACGAAGATCACCGATGGATTCATGTCGATATCGTGGTTACTTTCTATTTGTACCAACCAGTACAAGGTCAACACCTAAGAGGTATTAATTGCTAACCACGTTTGTAACTTTTATTCGTCTCCACCTATGCTAATTTGAATAATTGTATTACAGGCATCGTCAAGAAAAAAGGTCATCAGGCGGCGATATGTATCCTTTTTAATGTTTTTAGCGCAACAGTTTACCCCCTTGACCAAGTTGAGGTGAATTTAATTTACAAAATTGTATATGAAAATAGTTCATAGCAAATTATTATGATCAATTATATATTTCTAGTTGGATAGCTGGTCTCTTGGGGATGAAATACATTTTACAATACAGTCATTTCAAAATAGAAGAAAAGGACCGGTTATCAAAGCCACGAGCTCAAATGATGGCACAACCTCAAAGAAGAAAAAGATGCCAGATGTTGAAGAATCGTGGGAGTAATAGGTTTACTTCATTTCATTTCTGTTTCATACGTATTTCTCAGATCATGTGAGTATTTTTATTTTGATAACCAAGAATTGATTGTATAGTTCTTATACGTGCCGTCATTATATTTATGTTTAATATATTTAATGCAATAAATTAGTCTCGCACTGGGCTCATCCATTCTTGGCCAAATCCGAACGCCGAGTCAGAGTCCGAATCTGATTTTGATTCTTTGATAATGTCGGAATCAATCGCACGCTTCTGTCTTCGCTTAGAAGGTTTGTGTCGTAGTAATAATCCTGATGGTGGAGGTGGGGGCATCATTTGCTTATCCTTGTCTCTTTCCTAATAATAATTTAAGTGAATATTAATTATTGTGTGCTTTAATGTGAGTATCTCTTCATGTAATGTGAGAGTAAGACTTGTAAATTTACCTCCGTTTCTGGGTCCGAACCCCAGGTTTTTTGTACTCTATCCATGCTACTGGACGAGGTAGATTTGCCCAAAAAATATCCAAAAGCATCCCGAGTCTATAAATGTAAGAAGAATTATTAAGTATGCTAATAAAATAGTTGATTTTGTTGCGTTGTTCAGGCTCTTACCGTGCTCTTAACTTTTACATTTAACGAACCAATTCGAAGAAAACTAGAATCTCTTTCTCGTTGCTCCGTATGTCGTCGTTTCTCTTTAAGTTCTAAAACATTATTAGTTTACGGTCATTCTTTATAATGCAAATCAATCAATTGTAACAAAAATGAGAAATTGATAGCAAACTCTGAGATATAATGCATATATTGTTAATGAATAGCAGTAGGTATTGTTTGCTTACCAAATTCAAATAAAAACAAGTCCACAACCAAATGCAAAGAGGAAGTAGTGTAATTTTACATGGTGTGTTTGTTTGTGGTGCTGCTTTAAGCGTGCTCATGCAAAAATATATCGACACCTGTTTTAAATTAAAAGAGAAAAGAAGCCATGCAGCAAGAGGGGTTTTTAGTAAAAAGTATATCTACTATTAATCATCTAATGAATGTATGTATATAAGCATCTATAGTTATTATTAATCAGACTTCTAAATTTATTATTTCGTATGTATTATGGTAAATAGTGTCGCATGTTAATTAAGACGAAATATAGATATCAATCAAGTTCCTGTCTAGTATTAGCAGTCTTCTTGGTTTTTGGTGTAGAGTTGTCCACAAAGTTCCGGATACCACGTCGAATACTGCTTCGAATCCCAGCCGCACCAAAAGACTCTGAGCTTCCTGATTGAAGTGATAATGAGCTTCCCGCATGCCGCAGGTTTTGTAAAGACCCGTGTTTTGGCTTTTGAAGGTCAAAAATATCAAATCGGGCTTTAGTTGGTTTAAGTTCTTGCCGTGATTGTGGTTGTTGTTGCTGCGATGGTTCCTTTTGTTTCGAAATCTCCATTGAATTCGGCTTTTTGCGGAAAGATGAGAATGATAAAAGTTGAACAGGGCCAGTCAAGTTCCGGGAACGATCATGGGGCTTCTTATTTGTTCGTAACATTTTGGATATGCTGGTGTTATTGGGAGGTGGCATAGTACGGTCTGGTAATTTTATATTAGAATTGCAAGTAGGCAGTGTAACGTGCATGTCAGAAGGCAATCGTGCAGTATTATAGTAAGAAAAATTAGCAGCGGTTGAGTGGTGTCGGCGACTACGAGGAGGTAGAGCAGTGGCAGCAGTGGCTTTACCGAAATACTCACTTTTGAAAGTATCCATTGATAAGGATGCATCTTGACGGACAAGGTATTGCATAGGTTTCTTTCCACTATGATCCCGATTATTGGCGTCCGCATCTTCAAAGTAAAATTGATATACATGTAATTAGGATTTAATACGAACATGAAGACCATGACATTTTTGTAAATCGACCATAACTTACTGTACGTTTTTATCAGCACATCGTAACAATCTTGACGACCAAACTGAGCAGCTAAGTGCAACGGCGTGTAACCCTTTAAAATTGCAATTAAGCGTAACATTACTTTCGCTGTGCGAGTATTTTAATTGGGATAGTAATTATGTAGGTTAAGCTTACCCCATTCTAAAACGCATTGTATGTAATAAGTCGTTTGATTTGTGACGAAACAATCAAATGCATGGAACAAAAAATAATAATTATATTGACACAAACGTATTGACCCCAAGATCTACGCTGAAAGCATGATGTATATGCGTGTTTAAATGATGTACCGATTTTATATTCACTTCAGCTTTGTACGTTCCAGCAAGAAGTTTCACGCATTCCAAGTTGCCCATTTTTGCTGCCCAATGTAACTAATTAATATTTAAAAAACACTTTTTGGAACAAAATAATTTTAATATTAGTTGGTTAAAAATAGTTTGAAATACTTACTGCAGTCTGCAAGAATTTCATGAAAATGTACAAAATAAAACAAAATTAACAAAATTATTTGTACGTAAGAAAAAGAAAATACATGCTTTTACTTACATACTAAGATGATGAGATTATTCAGTCGGAATAAAAATAAAACAGTTTTCAATAAAATTGTTCATATTATCATTTGATTCAATAAAATTATACTTACGCCCTGTTGTGTCACAACGAGATGTGATCAATGTAACCAGTCAATGAAAGGAAAAACATATAATCAAATTAAAAGAACTTTGTCAAAATCAAATTATCTCCAATGAACAGTCTTTTTGAGAGTGACTTATTACGTTCATATCTCTTCTTCGAACAAGAGCTGGATTTTCTTGAGCCATCTTATTTAACACTGGATACTGACATTTCATGGCGTTAATCATCCATTCTTTCGACTTTGGATCCAACTGTACATGGGAAGAATATCCATACTGAATAAAAGAAGGCCACGAGGAGGGGACATCACACAAACACACACAAAGCAATAATAAATTATTAATAACATGCCATTAAAAACTTGGATTAATTAGAGTAATTAATATGCGCTTGATTTCATGCAGTTAGAACCAACCCCCAAAAATAGTCTATAGGTAGATAACTTTTTAGATCTTACCGATGATAAGGACGCTGTATCAAAATCCCCAGATTCGTGCTGCATTAAATACATTAAGATTGCTGTTACGAATTTGAATAATTTCTCGATGAAGAATGATCAATAACTAAACTAAACTGTGCAATGTGGTATGCAATGATTATAATTTAACCAACCAACCTTTGCAGCAATATCTCTACGATTCCTAGAAGATGAGGATACTTTGACACCAGCCAACTCACATTCTGACGCTATATTATTAAACTTTTGCATCCTTTCACGAACGCTTATTTTCGCCTCCACTTCCGAGTTTCCATTTTCTAAGTTACTTGACTGGGTCCTGTCATGCTCTATATGATTTATTGAGCCGTCACTAACTTGCAAGTTATTTATGTTCTCCTTCTCTTGTTCAGCATCCATCATTCCATTATCAATTTCTTTCTCTAGCCGCATCTGGTTCTGCATTGTTGGTCCAGAACTAGCGGATGATGTGCCATGTATTCTCTGCTGCAAATGTTGTGGTTGAATTGAATTTGCGGAAGAAGGGCTGGAATCTGAACTGCTGCTGCTATTATTATCTCCTCCGTTCATTCTTTCCGTGTCCATCTTTTTTGTTGCCAATCTTCTCAGTTCTCCTTGATGATGGTTATTATGACTGCTAGTAATACTGGAGCTGGAGTAACTATTTGCTGCACTGGGAGAACGTTCCACAGATCTTCTTGACCTGGGGGGAACTGGTGGGGGAGGGGCACCGGTTAGTGTGTCAAAATACTTGCTGTAATCACTTGATGATGGGGCCGTCGCCACAGAATTATTCACGGCTATGGGTAATCCAGTCACTACAAAATTTAAACACATTTTCTGAAACATTGTGCACAAAATATAGACAGAAGCTCAGAGGGTGATAATGATAATTTTGATAATGTTTCCAACAGCATGAAAATTCAACTGAAAACTGCGGTGACCAGAGAAGACATGAGGAAAGAAAATTCTATATACACAATATTCATAAGCTAATTGTATGTGGTCATGAATTTGACACAGTAATAATCTTCACTTTGGAATACCTCAAACTTATTTGAGGTTGGCACAACGTATGCTAAGACGTGAATATTAATTAAGTTGAGCTGTATATAAGAAGGTATGCATCATCTTCATTAAACCAAAGCTTCCCTTCTTTCAGTCCTTTCTACTGTATAAAACTCAATAGCCTTTTAGCCTCATTTCAATCTTAAAACGCTTACATTAGTGCCTAACTTTAGCAAATTATTAGTAGACTAATACAGGCAAAAAATTCTATATACAGACTCTGTGTCTTCTTGAATCAATCGCTCGCTTATGCTTATGAAGAAAATATTTGAAAAAGTGGTTTCACCAGGCTAATAAATCAAAGTGACCATTTATTTTTGTTATTACGCTGTTGATACTCGGATACTTTTTGTGATCCGATATCGATCGTGAAGAAATTTGAACAAAGTAGAAGATCTTGTCAGTGAGAGCCAAGAACAAGAAAACAAGCTTATACCACGATTTTGCCATTATATTCCCACTTTGCATCAAATGTACATAATTCTGTAAGCCATGTAAACCCTTGTTTTGCACAACAAAATATTCTCTAATTCACCTCAAAAAAATTAAGCTGAATGCACTCACGACCTTATTATTACGTTAATAGAGACCAAGGGGTCACGAGACGAACAAAGAGTCAAATGTTAGAGCCTCGTGTTAATTAGGTTTATAAAAGTAAATATTCCTAGTCACAAACTGATGTAACGTTTTAAAACGTAGATCTTCCTAAACAGTAATATCTAGAACGCATGACCATAAGATTTATACCAGTATTCGATTAAATAGACCGTGTAGCAATGATTCCCGATTCCACGTTTTTTTCTCAAGTAAACAACTTGTAGATAAAAAAATTTAAGTCACTTTTCGTTCAGAAATCCTGATAGTGAATATTTATGTTATTTACGAACGCTAAATTAGTATATTTGCGAATTGTTTCAATTACAATTTGACTGACTAATATCAATGAATACAGTTCATGAGTTAGCATACGATATGAGGTAATCTGTATATTGCTGGACTGTTCAAATACTAAACCATACAACGTCACCGTCAGTCAACATCCATGCAAGCTATCTTGAGCGATTAGTCAACGTATTATTATGCATATACATGTTTACTAGTAGTGCTAATCTGCTGAGCAGTTCATTTATCAGCACAAAATATAATTGTGAGCAAGGTCATTGCACATTTGCATTGTGGATTCTTACCGAGTACGAAAATAATGTCAATGGTGTAAACCCAAAAAGTTGTCAAACACCAAAAACTGTTTACTGTTGTGCGTCAAATATCAAACTGTCATGCCGTGCAGCATAAAATTTGGAACAGAAATTATAGCAAAAACAAAAGTGTAAAACAAAACCTGAAGCGCTTCGGTGATATTGATACATGCCTACAGACGGTTCCATTAAAGCATTAATATTTTGGGTGGACGACGTCGAGTAGTACGAAGCAGGTCCACCCATTCCAGTGCCCGGTACACTATGCGTTCGCTGATACGGTACGACTCCTCCTACTGCCGTCATTGAACTTCGTCTTGAAATTCCGTGAGGCAATCCTGAATTTGGTGGAGAAGTGGTAAACCTGCCTGCAGGTGGTGGTGGTCGATATGGGGGTGGTGCTCTTGAAGAGGAACTTCCCCCGCTATTGCTACTCCCATAAGAATTTTGCGGACTCACAAATCTGCGTGGGGACGTTACTGTATTTGAATTTGGAAGAGTTGGAAGTCCATATTCTGGAGGAAAGTCTGACGCACTTCCGTAAATCGGCTGCTGTTGCGTGTTAATATTTTGTAAAGGTAGCTGTTGCGGCGGAGATTTGATTTGTGCCGTTGGTGCAGGTGGTTGAGAATAGTGGGAGGCTGGATAAAAATTTGCAGCGGTGGCTGAAGAGGGCAAACCAGAGGCATTATGATGTTGGTAGTGGGAAGTATTTACACTATTGCTGATTCCATACGTATCATAATTAGAACTCAGAGAGAATTGTGATCCGTATAATTGGGATTGCGAATTTTGTCGTCGTAGGTGATTGACATTGCTCGGCGTGGAATAGGCTTGTTGTTGGTTATTGTAACCGTGTGCATTAATATTCCCCCCACTTCCGTACATTGTTGTTGAAGCCAATCCTCCCGAGCCTGGTGGTCCCCCGTAAGCCGATTGCTTTGGGTTTCCATTTACATCAGTAGGAGTTTGGAAGTATTGTCGCTTGAGCACGAGAAATTTTTCACCCTTCAAGATTAGCAGGAGGAGCAGCAGCCAATGCGTCAGACACAAAATGCAAACAAAAACAAACAGAAAATGTGATAAGTGATAATGTGCTCAAACAAGTCAGTGCAAAAACCATGCAAAAGTCATAACGTAAAACATAATTATAAATTGCACAAATTTGTCATTCAGTAATAATTATACACAAACAATTGTCATTCATGTTAAATCATTATAAATTTACATTAATTTAACATTAATAAGGTACAGTGGTAAGCATGTTAGGTATCTTACATTCTCCACTTTGACGGATGCCAATTTGTTGACATAAGTTTTAAACAATACTCGGGCTTGGTCTAAATTAAAAAGTTCAACAAAATGTTAAATAAATGTGAACAAGAGACCCTGATATGACATGTAAAGCACTGTTGTACCTCTAATGGCAGGATTTGACAAATATGCTCTGAAATAGTTGACAATATCTGTATTCCGGACACTGCCTCCATTCTGGAGAAAATATTGACGAATATCCTCCTCCTTCATGGGCTCCATTACAGGTTTATCACAGACGATTTTCTTGATGCCAAATGATGACCAATTGTTAAACTAACTCTATTAAAATTAGTTGACGAAAAAGAGGTGCTACACAAATTGCGAAGCACAATTGAAATTTTAAGTTAAGTTCCCTTCACGGAATAATAAACACCAAATAACTAAAAACGATTGTTTAATACCAACACGTTATGTAATTTAAAACCCTCACAATACACCCTCAATAATACATTCAGCATTTATAATTGTTAATTTGTAGTGTTCCTATTTTAAGTTAAAATTTTTAAGACAGCCAAGTGTTGGGTTGCCATTCTTCAATTTATAGCAATGTATGGATCTCGACTCTCGCATGATCCACAAATTTTACTTATTATTTTAATATTTTTTTTTATAAAATACGGATTAAATTAAAATTTTTTTTAGAGGGTATTATTTATTAAATTATTAAATTAAAATTGTCTTGATATTTACAAGAAGGAGTAGTGGCCAACATCACCACCATACCAACAGCAGCATAGATAGACACAGATGCTATAAAAAATCAACCCTTTTTGGTACTGTTGCTGGCTCTTTAGACACGACGAGATGCCGTACAATGCAAAATCACAATAGGGACGAATGCATAATGGTGAGCGGTGAGTGAACCCTTCCTCGTCGTAATATCTGCCACCCGGGCATCAGTCAGTAGTAGGTAGCAGAGCTGAATACAATGCAAATTCACAACAATCAGCTCGTTATGTACGACGAGTCTCACATTCCTCAAGATTTTGCATGGGGATTTTACGAGATTTTGCTCAACAGGTGCGGCCTTCATTCGAGGCAATAATGCAACAGGTGAATCTTCAGTCTGGGACGATGAGAAATACAATACATGAAACAGGAAATAATGACTCCCACCAAAATTCATGACTTCTATTATCGTTCGAGTGGGAACAATTGATTGAGGTGAAGGTTCAGGACCAGAATCCAATTCAATAAGCAATTACAAGAGGAGATGAAACGACTGCTGTTGCTACTTCAACTCGTAAATCCTGATATAATAATAATGAGCAGGCAATTAATTATGTAAAGAAAGGTTATTATGTAAAACTGACTACTTTAACCCATTATGCACACATGGAAGAAAAGGAATTTACTACCCCGGAAGAATGACATTGTTGGAAATGTGACTTGAGTGAGAGAGGCGAAATGAGATTTCAAGGAATCGGAATAGATTTAATAATGGTCAATCGATTGAAAAATGAATTAAAAACAATTATTTTATCGTTTTGTTTATATATAATATATTATTGTGTCATTGAAATTTCCAAAATTCGAAGAATGTTGTAGTACTTTCTTTTCGTTCGAACTAATGTGTGCCTGATAACGATCGAGTATTCGAATGCTAGCAATTGTCAATAAAATCAAGAAAAAATATTATCCATTCACTAATAATATATTACATATTTAGCATGTTAGTAAAAAATAAATCCAATTCAGCAGAAATTCAATTTGGCAATGTCAACTTGGTAATGTCATCCTGGCATTTGTCTTGAAAATTTCGTACCGTGGTGGCCCAAGTTGTAAGACCCCATTTATCATTCTATGGGGCACCACCCCATAGAAACGGTGTCAATTAATCGTGGCGTGTGACAGACTTTAACCCAGGATGAATCAATTCGTTTCCTCTTTCGTTTCCTCAGAAACACCGGCGTAGCCGTTAGTGATTGAAGAATCCTGACTTTAACCATTCGGTTTGTGCAATTCGGAATGCATAAGCCTCGGTACAATGAGTCTCACAATGTCCTCTGAGTTGGGCATACGTCTGTCTAATTTCTGGTACATATATACATATACATGCTTGCGTATCATGATTATATGAATAAATTCGCAACATTTCAAAATTGTCTTGGTTTGGCTTCCTAGTGAAACAATGGAGAGTGAACTTGTAAGCCGTTGTATAAAAGTGTTTAGATTTGAACCTCATGCTCGAAAACGGATTTTGCTGATCCTTGGAGAAGTCACGTTGACAATCCTTGTTCCGGTCACAGGAGAAGTAAAGCAGATTCTGGAGGTCCCTAACCAAAACACAACCAAAGTTAAAAATTAACCTATTTGATAGTTGTGTTTTCTGCTTAATAGGATTTTAAGAAACCAATTTGTCTTCTTGGTTTATCAAGTGGAATTAATCATACTGAAAAAATCGCCAAAGAGGTTTTGGCAATGTGTCCATTTATTGACAACTCCATGATTCACGGTCTTGTGGAAGTAATTGAAGAACTGAAATCTCGGGAGTATGACCAGAACGGGATAGTAGTTAAAAATGAGACTGCATCTGATGGATCATACCTTCCTCGATTTCCTGAAATATTTCAGAATCTGTCAGATGAAAATATGCTGTACGAGAGTAATGATGAGGAACCAGACTTTGGGAAATTGAACCATTATATTCACTTGCTTTATGAAGACATGGCCCATAAAATTGAAGGTACTTACATACATGTTTGTGCTAATACAATACATACATATAACCACAAAACAAAGGGCACGAAATAATTTACACATATTTACAGATAAATATACACATCTATTTTACAGAATTTTACTTTATATCAAACAAATAAATGACTAATATAACCTACCTTTTTTAATTAAAGCTTCCAATTGCTTGGCAAAACTATCAAAGTGTAACAGCTACTTGAGAGAAATTTCGAGACATGGTAAAAAGCTGCAGTCAGTACAGATTTTTAATTTTGGTCCCGGTTAAAATCATGTTTTTTCTTACAATAGATTCAGCTATTAATGCTATTTTTCGAACACTACGAGATGACTCGAAAAAGTCATCGACTCTCACCAAGAACATTCTCACAATCTGCTTAAATTTCGCCAGCATCAGAGACTTTCATGCATTGCTCATCAATAAAAAAATTCCAATGTTGATTTTGGAAATTATTGATTTTGAGTTAGAACGGTGTGAGAAATGGAAGTCGCAACTGCTCGAAATCGAAGCTCATGACGGTATCTTTAGTGCTCGGTCATTGAACGAACATCAAAAGAAGTTGGTCCGGCTAACGGAGCTGACCTCAATTCAAAATGTCTCATTGAAAAGTAATTTAATTTTAAATTGCCACTAACAATTTTTTTAGTTCCCAATTCTGGTTTTTAAACAGTTGCATTTCAAATCCTTCACTGCCTGTCCGAGAACAAGGGAGTTAGGGAGAGTTTGCACGAAAATAAGGTGATCGCTTCCCTGGGGGATTCTTTAGAGAGACGGAATAACGAGCTACTGGAAGTTGTGACGTCTTTCCTAAGAAATTTGTCCAGTTTTGAACAGTGCATTGCTGAAATGATCCGTGTTGACCTGGTCGGCCAATTGGCTTCCATGCTAAAAGAAGGCACACCAATTCCAAAGAAAGTTGTCAACAATGCATTACACTTGCTATATAATCTCTCATTTTCTCGTGAGCTTTGCGAAAAAATTTGCGATTATGGACTCATTCCCATTATTGCCAATTGCATTGGTAATTCAAGTACGACAATATTGGTATTCATTCTTTAGAATAGACCGTTAAAACAATTAAATACTGATCTATGCAGATAAGTCAATGTTTCGAGAAATTGCTGCAAAGACTTTATATGTTCTATCCATGCATCCACTGATTAGAACAAAATTAGCAAAACATGCACTACTTGAATCGGTAATACGTACGTCAATTCGCTATTTCCTTGAAACTATTTTCATCAATTTTCACAATTAGTTGATGCGCACCCTCACAACCAATTCTGAAGCTGACACGCGGTCCTTTACAACCATCGTTGCAAGTCTGGTTTTAAATATCACTAGGACAAAGAGAGGAGCAAAAATTATATGGGAAACTAACAAATTGGGACCTCTGATTAAATCTGCGTTAATCAACCAGGATTTTTTTGCAATGAAGATCGCTAGATGTTTAGCCGAACATGACGTTGCATTTGTTCTGTACGATTGTGCAGGTGACATTGCTTCAGCGTTGTCTAATTCCAGTGATCAAGAATTCGTCATGGAATGCATCGGAATTTTAGGATGCCTCGATCTCCAACGAATCTCAATTCAGTCCATCGTTCAAAATGGTAAAATATTCCCATGGCTGAAACAAACTTTGGGGTATTACTTGGATAAAACACATAAACATGAAATTGAAGGTAATATTCTGATTATATCATCATGATGGCAGAAAAAAATGTGTATATGGTTTTTATATTCTCAATACAGTCTCTTTTGACTTAACGACTGCTTCCATTGATGTCATACTGCTTCTGATAAATATCTCTCAAATTGAAGAAGGCGCAAGACTTGTGGTATCCGAAGGATTCGTTGATGTTTTGCTAAAAATTTCTCATTCAGGGTCAAAGACTGAAGAGTCCATTGTTGATCATATACTCTTATTTTTTGAAACTTGTACAAAACATGAGTCAATTTCGATATATTTGGCTACAAAATCTCGACTTCCGAATGGTCTCTTGGAATATGCTGAGCGTACAACCGGCAGGCATCGAGAAAAGGCCATAAGTATTTTAGAGCAGATTGGAGTAAGCATTTCAATTTTAACTACATTTTCATAGGCTGGCAATTTAGTAATTGAATTTAACTCCAGAAATTTGATGAAACTTGGAAGGAAAATATTCAAGAGTTTAATTTTCTATCCTGGAACAAAGACTGGACTGATACAGTTACTGGCGTCAAAAATGAATATGACGATGACGCGTTGAACATACAACCGTTTAGATTTCAGGATGACTCATGCATCACTTCGAGAGATACAATTAGCTCCCTTCGGAATTCTAGAATGCAAGAAGAGCAGTTAAATGAGGACGAATATGCATGGTCCAGTGAAAATAGCAGTGAATGTCGTGATTCCGATATTTTCGACATGTTTCGCCATCAGTTTGAAGAGGAAATGGGATTCAACAGCAAATGGGAAAATGAATTTCGGGTTGGAGATCACTCAGATGCTGAAAGTAACTGGGATTGTTAATTTCGTAATAACAAGTCTTTATTTTTGTGTGCATTACCAGATAATCAAACTGAAACACAATTCCCTATATTATTTATCTCGAGAAAATAAATAAGTAATTCCAAAAGGATTCCTCTGCAAATAGTGCGCGTATCACGTAAAATGAGATAATTGCATTGTAATCTCACAAAAATATTAGAAGCATTTAAATGGAGGGTTCATTTTCGACATTGGACACTTCCATGCAGCCGCAAATTCTTGCATTTGTTGCAGAGCTGCATTTATTGACGTTATATATTCAATGTAGAAACCATCGTCATCTTTCTCCAGTTTTTGACGACAAAAGTTCTGTTGACAGAAAAAACTTGTAATATTTTTTAACTAAAATTATACTTATTTAATTTTGTGCAAATAGGAATAAAATTATTACTCGAACTGCTGACATGAAAAAAATCTGCTCCTCGGTATAACTCTCAAAGCCTTGTAATTTTTTCGACCTAACCCATCGTTTTGATTTGTTACTGAGTTCCCAAAACGGAGTTTTTGAAATAAATTCGCGATCCTCACTGTCGGAATGGGCGACTTTCAGTGCAATCACATTTCCAAATGTTTTTCTGTACTTGAAAACGTGAGGGGTTTCTTGGTATGTGTGCATATCCTTCATTGTCGTACTAATTGTCCTCACGGTCTTGGACTGCTTGTCATAAATCTGAAGCCAGCATTCTTTTTCACTCGCACCAGGCGACGGTGTCCAACTCTCATTCTTTAGTCTCCTCTTTATCTTATCTAAAAAAAACAATGATTTTTAAAATGGTATCTGATTTACGTCAATTTGCTGTGAAAGTGAGCAATTTCAAAACATCACTTATGGCAAATTAATTACCTTCCTCTGTATACTCAAGCAACATGTTAAGTACGGCTCTGACGCTCACCAACGTGGAGCCAGCGTTCCGCACTGCTCTGAAATAATTGGATTCGACTAAGTATTTTGATGAATTGGGTATTTTAAAGAACTTCAAGCTTACAACATGTCAGAATCGAAGGGCTCTAGATAGAACGACAGAGGAGTGAATATTGCATTCTCCTAAAATAGTAAATAGGAAATTTTAAAAACATAGTGGCAAAGATTTCGCATTCTACTTTTAATTGAAAAATATCGTACATATTCAATGACGGGTCTGACATTGTAATACGGATCTTCCAACTTGAACGTATTTGAGTTCCTGTCATGTACAAATACGACGTCATGCATGATAATCATATGTAATTTTAATTCGGTCAAAAACGAAATTTAATTATTCTGTGTAATCACCATAAGAGAACATGAAGTGGGTCATGTTGCCTGTTCCACCATTCTTTAGCTCGTCTCAACGTAAATTCCTTTCCGTTAAAAACATTCTGCAAATGTTCATCCCCCAACTGCAAATTTCCAAACTCCTTCGAGTTCTCTACTGACAGATCTTGTTGAGTTGGAATATTCGACATCAAGTTAAATGGGTCCAAATTGGTAAGGAGTTTCATCCCTTCTTCTCTTGTGGCATTGTCAATGTGTGGAAGCAGAGTAGCATTAGCCCAAAATTTAGCAAGATATATCACCCTTCGCCGTAAAAATGTTTCAATCTGTTGAGCATTAAGAATTTGCATAAAAACTTTTTGTACTTCTTCAATTAATGGTATTTGTATGCAGTAAATAAATGATATAAATAATGATATAAATGTTACATTGCGATAATATTGGTCAGCATCCAATCCTAGGCGTTCAAAGTACCGATGTACGGGTAAATACCCCAAGCTGCGTGTAAGAGATTGAAAACATTGGAAATCTATTCTACATGTAAAAAGGACAACAATAATAAATCATCAACAATCAAGAAAAAAATTTTAAACAAATGAAAATGCTTGTATTACGATTTACTACGCCACAACGAAATTTCTTGAAAGTATTCAATACTACCAAGTACTTTTTGTAATAAGTAAAATGCATCAGAGTCTATTTCCTTGAGTGACCACATTACAATTCTGAGAATCCAAAATCCGACTAAAATATTACACATTATTTTATTGGTGATCATAATTTTAAATGTTTAAACGTCTACCAATTTTTACCGATAGCTTGATTTTTGTCGGTAATAAGAATTGTTGCATTTATTGGAATAAATTTATCCCAGCAGTTTTTCAGTTTATTCACATATTCATCGACCTCTGTATTTGAGTATTCCTCTTTAAACTCTTTCATACCAACGTAATCTTCTAAAACCTTTCGAATATCAAACGGATCCTGCAATTTGAACAAAGCTGTATTTGCAGCGTACGAATTGTTAATAAAATCTTTGCAAAGCTTAGCTTCCATTCAACCCTTAGTACCTTTTGAGACGTGGTGCATTTAATGTCATTGACACGAATGTTATTTAAAGTATCTAAAACTTCTAAGGCCCCAATTGACAGTTTTAAAAGTCTGTCTTCTGTCAATTCTGGAAAAATAACATGCATCATGTCTTTGATCATGGTGGAGTCGTTAAATTGCTTCTTCCACGGCAAGTCTAATGTTTGTATCTGAAATTAAAGGATTAATACTAAGTTGACGACCATATCAGTGCATATCAAATCTTACAGGTGGACTAAAAAAGATTGCGAATGTAAATATGGATTACCAAAAGGTATGGATTTCCTGCAAGGTCAAACTTGAAAATCCAAAATTCAAAGTCAAATTCAGTCACAAATTAATCAAGTCAATTACAAAGTCACCTTGAAAAATCCAAAGTCCCCGATCGAGTGGGTCATATCTATTGCCATCGAGGCCAATGATGACCCAGAATTCAACTCTGATAGATTTCCAAATAACTTTGCTATTTGTACTTTGAAGCTGTCAAACTCGGCTCCTTTTGGTCCTTCATCACGAAGCCCTGCATGGTACACAAATTCAAATTATGAAAGCTGAGAAATTTATATCTCACAACGTATTAAACAAGGTTTGTACTGGGATGACGACAAACTTGATAAAATTTTATTGGCTGGTCATGAATAAAATTTCTGTTATAGCTCCTCAATATTTCAGCTGAAATTAAAACTTGCAGTTAAAAATATTCTACACATATTTATGTATACTGATGTTCAATTTCACTAATTACTTTTACTGTTACCGTACCAAGCACATTTTGTTTTCCAAACTCTAATCGGGCATTATCCATGTCGCAAATCTTACTATGTGTCCCTGCGAATTCTCCAGTATCATGTTCATCTATATAATTTCCGCAAACGAACTGATAGAAATCTTCGCATGGTGAGACATTATTGTTGATGCTTTCATTTAGTCGTTTGCTGAGACGTCTGCAATTTGGCGAATTGCAAACATACGGATCCACCGTCTTGTCCGAGTTGTACGTGAGTAGAAAGTAAATTGAGGCCGCAAGTTGGACCATGCCCATCACAAAAAGAAGAACTAGCACCAAGACGTCCAACCTTCGCCAGAGGGGGGACTTTACCCACCAATGTTCCCAGTCTGTCCTCTCTAAATCGTCTACAATATTGATTTGTGGGGGCGAATCCGACTCAGTCTCGGACACCTCTTCCGAATTGATCGTAGTATTTGAACTATCCGGCAGGGAAGGAAGATTGCTCGAAGGATGGTGATGGGGGTGAAGCTTCCTTCGAGATTTGTAATAATTTGCCCAGTAATTCCCCGTGTCTAATTTCGATGTGCGAACCGATGTTCCCGACTGTTTCCGTCTCCTACTATGGATAAATTCTTCCTTTGTCGTACTAGGTCTTGTACGAGAGGACGGTCCAACGGGTTCCTCGTCAGTCTCATCGATGCCTAGAAGGGCAGCGTCAGAGGCCATGTTTAATACATTAATTTATTCCATTCACATTGTATGTATTATAGCCACGTCAAACTGTGCTGTGTAACTGAGGCGTTAAGTTAAACTTCGAGTTTATTCGACACTTGATTAAAGGGAGCAGCGTGTACCTATTTATGTAGATACCAAGATTCCTAAACTTTTTAGCTCGTTTCCGTGGAGTGAATGTATTAGGATTATGTAATGCATTATGCATTACATAATCCTAATACATTCACTCCACGGAAACGAGCTAAAAAGTTTAGGAATCTTGTGTAGATACTAAAAGTCAAGTAATCGTGGAGAGAATGTCTATAGAAACAAAATAGGTCAGTACGAAAACGTCTGGCTCTTTTTGGTATACAAAATTGTACGATACATTTTCGAAGTATGTGTGCTCACTCATGCATGAGCTATGTTATACCATAAAGCATATTTGTTACATGATAAAAATTGTATCATTATTTGCATCAGTTTCAAATTGAAACTTTCAATGTATAGATATAGCTTTTCATTGTATTGTGGTTAATTCATTTACAAAAATAAGTTTACATTAGTATATAATCATTACATACAAAATACAAAAAGGATATCGAATCTTATGATATAGTTATTTCGAATATTTACGGGCTTGATAACTTGAGATGTGATATTGTTATTTATACTGAATTGTGTTGGTGCAAGGCTAATTCTCACGCCTTTTATTCTTCCAGACCTTCTCCATAATCCTCCGAGTATTCCTGAGGCAATATTCTTTTATTTTCCGCAGAAATTTCACGCCAAATCCCGTCAGCCACTTCTGCTTCTCGTTTGTCAACCACCGCTTGAATGATTTCTGTAAAGGGCATGATTGATTAATTAGTGAGAATTATTATTCTGTTACCTATACCTAATACAGATAAATAATGTTAGTTCATAATTAAGCAATGAATTACCATCCAATAAGACGGACGATTTTTCTCGAATCCCCACTTTCCGAATGGATCGGGCATGAAGCCAGGGAATGAAAGTATCATTGAGATCTATATAGCAGGGGATGACATGATTTATAAATTTTGAATTTTGAGCATGATATTTTGCCTACTGTATAAAATACCATCATTGCCACTCATGAAGCCTTGGCGTCTGAGTTCATTGAGCGCATTGTTGTTTAGGGTGCCCAACAAGTTGGCAGAGTAGAAGTTTGCGGTGACGATATTTTGCGTCTCCTTCTCCTCCATGACCTCCTTCTGTCGCTGGGCAATCAGCCGTTCTCGCTCCGCCGTGATCTTCTGCTCCCGTTGGTGAAGGCGATGAAGGCGCATCAGCTCGATGCGATGCCTCTCCTCAAATGCGCGCTGTTGCGAAAGGAGGCTTTCGAGTTCCACTTCCTCCATCGTTTCGAACAAGGCCTGCTCGATAATTTTGCCCACCACGGTGGTCACTACGGGAGTGACCTCATCGTCGAAACGGAACAACTCCCAGGGTTGAATCTGTGGGCATGAAAAGGTGGATATTAATTATTAGCAGGTTTTACATATCCTTGCAAATTAACAGGATGCATACTTGCGTTTCGACATCAAGTCCAAGCTTGAAGGGACAGAATATTTTGAGTACTGGCAGATCAAAGATCTGGTCCGTTTGGGTAAACATGTCTTTTTCCACGACTTCATCAGTTATCTCTTCTAGGTAACGGTCTGTTTGTATTCCCATGTCTTCGAGACCAATTTTGCTCGTATGATGCGGTGGAGTTCGTGGACGAATTATTCCTCCCATATTGGTCTGCTGAATCTTTCTCTTGGTCATGCCCTTTTTTCGTTGGGCGTTGCTTGCACTCGCGTCTTCCAGCGTTCTCCTTTTGCATCGCTCTTCCTCAGACTGCAAAAGCTTTGTGATTTTAACTCACCCCAAACAAACGTGGTTGGTTATACATACCTTTTTGAAGGTCTTGTAAGTCGGACCTCGATAAATTCGTGGATCTATAAATCATAAATTTTGAGAGTACTATGCACAGATTTATATACACATGGATTGTACTTAAATGGTCGACATAATGGAAATATGCACTCACCCCACATCATGCTGTGATAATCGTGTGCCCCTCGAGGCCTAAAAATTTAACCCGCAGTTTATTACATAATTCATTAGGGGGACATAGGCATATACATATAACGTTCGTCTTACTTTCCAGTTCCCTTGTTCTTTGGTCTTTCAATAGTAATTGCCTTTGGACCACTGGAGTAGACATAATATTGGCCAAAGGGAGGTGGTTCGATAACGTTGCAAGGAGTGTGAAGGTGCCTGGAGGGTAGAGCATGTTGACGACTTGCGACTTCCCTTTGGAGGTATGGGCTGGAGGCATTTTATTTTTGATGAGTCAAATCCGATAATAAAGTGTCTCGATAAGGATTACTACACAACCTCTGGCGATATGCAAATGCAAATCCGGGCAATATATATTATTATCAAGTATACGTACATACACACATACAAACACGTTTCTAAATATATATGCAAATGCCGGTTGCAATAAGATAAATTTATGAAATCATCAGCAGATACATAGTGCAATAAATAATTTTGCAACTTTGAGTATAAAGTAGTTTGTTGGTATGGCGGTTTCAATATGCTATTTATTGAATAAAGATAATTTCGTGGTTGCATCAAAGCATGGAGAAAACAGGAAATTTTTTAGTAAGGTTTATTATTGTATTTGCTATGTCTAAACTGATTTATGAGGGACTTCAATTCTTCAGAGGTTGTGGACGGCCTCGATGTGGATGATTAATGAACATGGGATTTTGTTTTTCTTCCTCCTTAAAGCATTGGAATCCTTTGAGTTTATCATAAAAAGTATTTCCTAAATAAAATAATTTTATTCCTCTAAATTTTGCACCATTTCTTAGCAACTGCTCAAAAATTCTTAAAAATGACGACCAGGGATATTGTTTTACGACCAACAGCCAGAATTAAAGTTATTGCTAAACTGTATCTTTAGTAAAAATATATAGAATACGACAATATATTTTAATGTCATACCATGCATTTCTTTTGGTGGGTGATGATGATGGAACAAGTGATGGTTTAAATCTTCTGTATTTACAAACCTTAAGCAACATCTTGGACACTTTAATTCTGGTTCGGCATGATGTTCCTACACATAGTAATTTAACACAAATTAAGAAATAAAACATTTCTGCAACAATAATACAAAGACCATGTTCGGTTTACCAGTAAGTGCTCTTGTAGAATTATCATCCCAATCGAAACGCTTACATTAAATAATCGCATACAGTACGGGCATAGTACTCGAGAGTCATGACCATGTTTCTAGAATTATAACGGAAGATATTTTCAAATTCTAATGGGTAGTAATCGTAAATAGCACATGGAGGCTTGCAGACACTTATTCCTACCAATTGAAAATGTTTAATTAAGTCCCAACGAAAAGATGAACGACAATCACAGACTGGACATGAATATGGCATCTCGGCAACATGATGGAACTTTGAGTGATGCAGCGTCATTTTCTCAGTCGAATCAAACCCAACCTCGCAAATTCGGCAACATATATCCGTAGTGTGTTGGTGTATCTACATAAAAATGCATAATTCGGTTAAAACAAACTTTCATTTGCTCATGTTGAATTAATTTGGAATTTAATTAACCTGTCTCATATGGGTATTTAGCCGAGATAGAGATGTACATGAAGTGAAACATAGACGACAGTCGCTATTAGAATTCGAACTTTTTGGGATAGTGCGATGCTTGATAAGTTCCCAATTCCCATCTTTATTTTCACTTATGTGTTCCTTAATAATGTGGCAGACTACGTTCGCATTACTAAGGATTTCTTTGGGACACAAACGACACTAAGAAAACAATAACAGTATAAGTAAGAAAAAGGAATCAATTCCGTTAAAATCGAGCAAGGTGTGTTTCTTCACGCTGCACGAAATCGACATGGTACTTACATGAACCGAAGTTTCCATCTCTGACCTCCTGTACCTGGAGAAATCCGTTTCAAATTGTGTCCTCTTATGTTGCTTCCTGCTCTTTCTTGCTATCCTGTGATCGTTAGCCTCTTCACTCCAGTTCCATCGCCCATAGTAATATCCCCGCAAGCTAATCTGACCATGAAGAGGAACAGGGGGAATGGTTGTTGAATTCAATTTTGTAGTAAGTTGTTTTTGGTTAAATATTACTTTAGGAGTAGAATTAGTTTCCTTATGCTTCGTTGTTTCACTCAGAGTTCGTACTCGTTCGTCCGTTTCAGATTTGCCATTCTTCGAACTGGTCAAAGCGCATCTTCTGTGCAGTATTGGAGTGGTTGAGGGGAGCATTGACTCAGCCAACAGAATGCTTGGGAATAATACAGGCATCGAAAATGAATCGTCACTGCACTGGTCATCAAAGTCTAACCTTGACCTTGTAGGGTATCTATTGAGGTTCGGGATATGTGGGGGCGAAAGTTCCGGCATGCTACCCGAATCTTCGTCTTCGGCCTGTTCATCTACATTAGCTTCGCAGCCTGGTTCAAACCCATTATCCATGTGGTCAACTTCCATGTCCACCAGCGCGATACTGTCATTATCAGTCTTAATTTCTGCTGGTTCTCGTTCTGTCCCTTTCACTTTTTTGGATCGACTTCTTATTCTTTTGCGCAGTTGCCTTTTCTTCTTCTTCCGTTTTATGGTCGAGTCACACACTGAGTTCTCCCGAGCGGAATGCATGAGAATCTTATTAATTAGGCACGAGCTATCCTTAGCGACCAAGTTAATTGAAGGCGTCGTCTTCAATGGGTGTGTACCATACATTAAGATTCCTTTGTTGTTCATCAATGGGGGTGGAGTAGACTTGAGGTGCCCTCCCTCAATGCTAATCCTTCTCTCGGCAGCAGACCGATGGTGATGATAGTGGTTTGAAAACAGAATTGGCATTTTTGTAGTCATATCTCGCTTTTTATTCTACAGAGAAGGGCAGTTCAAAAATTTAAATGTTACAGTTCATCATGACATATTTAAATTCTTTAAAATACTTTTACCGAGCTATTTTTTTCCACAGTTGGGTCGTCACTTCTGTCTGATGAGGGTCCTGAAGTCACGTCCAACACAAAAAAATCAACCCGTCGTGCCATGTCAATTTCGGTCATGCGATGAAGTAGATAAGTCAGTCAAAATGCGCATCATTCGTACATCAAACTATAGAATTTAAAAAAAATCTGACATTTTGTCCCTTCTCGTGTCCTGCGATCAAAGAAATGAAGTTTAAAATAAAGTAAGTTTTTTGTCATCAGCCATCAGCCGATGAAGTTCGTAATCGTAACTGAACTGACCGACCTCCTCTCTTTTCCCACCACTACAAACTGAGAAAGACCAGAGAGCTGCCGAAAAAAACAAAGTAAACAAATACTTTTTGGTAAACAAATATTCAGTAGCACGAGATTTTGAGCCCAATATAAATCTGTCAGTAATTATTTTTTAATAGTTTTTGTGGGTGGCTGGCTAACAAGCTTATCTAAAATGCATGGCTGAATGAGGGATCTAAAATTGATGAAAAATGTGGGAAATCCTAATCAGTCCTAATTTTGGGATTAGTGGTTGTTGTACTAATAGAATTTCTATGCTTTTCCAAGTATTCTTGGCCAGCGGCAGACGAATGAGGGTCCGCCTATGATCTCTCACTAGCTTTCCTCATATATTGGATAGATGGACTAGACAAAATTGAATAGATGGTGATAAAGATGATAATTTGATTCATTCAGGTAGGCAAAGTCTCGCGTAGTTTTATGCATTCAAATATAGAACCTATTTATTCAATAGCTGATAAGAAAATTAACATTTATTCATACAAATACATTCACCATGAAAGAGAGTACTACAAACTAAAGGCTAGACAACACCTCACAACTTTATGTATGTACTTATTCTATTTTAAATTCATTATGCATTAAAATACAATGTATATATAAAATTGTTATCAACCTAGATTTGAGAATCAAACTAAATTCTAAAAATAAATAACCTAGCCGTACAGTTCAACTTAATTTATGTAGAATTTAATTACAAACTGTAGTCAACAGTTAAATACCAAGCATAGTACAAAATGTCACTGATGTCACATCAGTGATGTGTGTATTTAGAAAGAGAATAGCGCTATGCGCGAGCCAATCTATCTATACTATGTAAATCTACAATGTATCTGCTAAGCTGTTCAAGGACATTTTCGTTCAATTTGTGACTTGCCAGATTCTTCATATTCTTGTTTTGAAATCCAGAGTTGTTGAAAAGAGCCCAAAGATCCTAAAATCGATCCTCCTATCCACGCCCCAAATCGTCTCTCACCTGTTCCTGTTGCAGCAACTAATTTCAGTCGCATACTCTGAAAATATTTAAAAAGCACATCCAAATTAAATTTTTCTACATAAATTGGTCGTTGAAAGTAATAATCTGATAATACTAAACACTAACAGGGGGAGTTTTGGTTGACAGGTCTCTGTTAAGTCTCTCAGTGAACCCCTGTAGTAAAGAATTTCCACCCGTAACAATGACGTTTCCGTATAGAGACTGAAAAACAGGTCGTCAAAACATTGTTATCGGTATATGAATACGAAAAAGTATTTAAAAAATCTCGCAATGGTAAATTATTATACCGGTCTTAAATCTACGTCACACATTCCTACACAGGTTGATACTAGATGCCCAGCCCCCAGCATTGTGGTACCCACTCCTCTTAAGCCGCTTGGGTCAAAGAGGGGTTCACAAATACGGAATCTTTCAACACCAAATTCTTGATGATATCCATTGGGAAATTCGTATGCCTGTTGTGGCATAGTTTGTGCTGTTTCTTCATCGTATGGACTGTCAGCCACTTGGATAATAGTTTGCTGATAATCTTGTACAACTTGCTAATAAATTGAATATTTCCAAAATCAGGTACTTACTTATTCAGGTGCAAAATACAGAGTATAACCGAAAGAAAAGGCTAAATGTTCAGCATAGTACCTTCACCATGTATTTGTGCCACGATTTAGTAACTTCTGGGATATTCGACCTTTTAGTATATTTTGCCTTCTCATTTTCCCAAACTTGTTCTTTGCCAGCAATCATGTACGGTGGAATGACTTCTATAGAATTTTCTTCGAAATACTGTGAGCACTGATTAGAAATGAAATCACCCCCTAATGGGCTTTTAACAATTCCTGTAAATAAACATATATATTGAATAGCGTCAATATTCCGAATTGTGGTAACTGATTAAGCTTTAAAATTAACTATGTTACCTTGAGATAATACATATCCATCGTGAACAGGTATCGCAGATGTATGCGTTGCCCCGCTATCAACAACAATTCCTGTACTTCGCCCATTAGCTGAAACATATAGCGTTTATAACTTATTCTGTAAACAATTCTAAAGTCTTTTTTAATTGTAAATTGACTTACCAAATGCAGCAAGTACCGCTGTTTTGGCCAAGAAAAAAGCTGGCACCTGGTACCTTGATAATTTGAATTTTGAATATTGAATTGAATTTGATTTAAAATTTGAATTGAAATTGATAGTAATTTACAGTTAATTTCGCAAGCTTAGTACGTACTTTTCAAAAAACATTTCAGCCAACTTTTCTCGTTTGTTCCTCGGATTCCAAGGAGGTTCTGACATTAGCAATGGGTGGTATTCTGGAACAGCGTTCAAGGATTTGTTGTACACGTATTCAACGAGGTCCTCAAACATATCCCAGTCTTCGACGGCTCCATCCTTTAAAAAAGTTTGAATCTCCATTCCTAATTAAAATTAAAACAACCTTAAGTTTCATATGGATAAACATAACACAAATAACACAATTCTTAAATTAATTAAAATTAAATATTAATTACCAGCTTTAGGCGCATTTACGTTGACAGTGTCGATAGTGTACTTTTTTCTCATGCCCGGCTTCACATCGCCAACCATTCCATTTCCGTTCGAGTTATCAATGTTTACGGCACTAGGATCGTCAGAAACGCCAATCATTGAGGGGATTTCGGTTTTTGGAGTGTCCTCTCCAGCATACCCGGCCCTAAACGAATGGTGTCCAACGTCAAACACCAAAGCTCCCACCTCATCTACAAATTATAATTACAGATGCAAATTATTATACACAATAGCTGTACGTAATATGTTAAATAAGTAAATCCGTCGGTTTAGTTATTTCACAAATAATTACTATTACTTTAAAAAGTATATTTAAATGACGGAAAATCGTTACCTCCGCCGTATAGGCCACCACTCATCTTCGATTTAAATTATTTTGAGATGTTTGTCGAAATTTATTAAGCACTTTCCAAGTTCGAGTCCAAATTTGTTTAAAAAATTTAGATGAATGAATGAAAAATCAAGCCCAACCGATGGTTTTGACGCCAGATACCGAGTTTCAAGATTGGCGGAGGGTGCACAGTCTCAGTTTTCCCAATCTCCATTTAATTTGCATTCATATTTTTACATGGAATTTAGAAATTCGGAATCTAAATTACTAAATAATGAAAAATTACAAAATATTTATTACAATTTTACTAAATATTATCAAAAATTATTACTGAATCTTTGTATGCTTAATATTGAGCGAGTGAGCTTGCAGAGAGTAGAACACAGTAATTACCATAAGTGTAACCGCTTTCCCTCAAAAAAGTAGAAAATAAGTATCAAATTAACATCTCACATTAACATAATATTACATTAATTACATACAGTATAAGAACATATACGTATTTAGATACATAATTTGAAACCATCATAAGCGTATTATTTAAGCGATTTCATCATCAAATGTCGGGAGACAAGCCCTATCGAAATCTTTGAAGAATGGATGACTTATTGCAGCTTTTGCACTGATACGATCTTGTGGAGCATAGATAAGCATTTGACTCAAAAGATCCATCCCGTCTTTGTCACCAGACAGGCGTTGGACTTGATTTGTTAAACACAGGTCATTCCATTTCGGAAATGTAGCCTTATAATCGGGCAATTCAGATACGCCTTCCCAGATTTCTTCAGTGGGAGTTCGTAGGATGCTGTATAATAACACAAATCATTATTTTATTTCATAACAAGCATGCATACGACTTAAAATTCTTAAATCATTGCATATTGTATATACATATGTATATATGTTAAACTAACCGAAAAATACGGAATAACTGGTCAATCTCCGAGTCTCCTTGGAATAATGGCTTCTTTGTGATCAACTCTGACATAATACATCCCACTGACCACATATCCACAGGACACGAATAGCGAGGACAGCCTAAAAGAACTTCAGGAGCTCGGTACCACAGAGTTACAACTTCATGTGTGTAAGATCTGACCGGAACACCGAATGCCCGTGCTAATCCAAAATCGGCGATCTTTAAGTTTCCCAGATTATCAATCAGTAAGTTCTGGGGCTTTAGATCCCGATGCAAAACTCGACGTTGATGGCAGAAGAGCATACCACGAAGAAGCTGTTATTTATATAATTTGTTTAAACCCTCTAACCAGGAAACCGATACATATTGTAGTTTTGCTATAACATGTAATATGAAATGGTAGCAAACCTGATATGTAAGAGATTTAATTGTAGTTAATTCCAATTGTTTTCCATGTACATAGCTGTCAATGTATTTTTTCAGATCCATTGACAAATAATCAAAGACTAAGTACAATTTGCCTTCCTGCATTATTACATCTCTCAGCCTGTCAGAAAAAAAACAATAATTTTAGTTAGCAATCGCACCCGAGCAATTATTTGCTCTCTGTAGTATGTACTCTATACAACGTTCCCTTATTTATTAGTGTCTTTTACCCGACAATATTCGGATGAACCGACAATTCTTTGAGAATTGAGATTTCTCGTAAAGCAGTTGGAGGTATTCCTTCGTCCTCGTTTTCAATTCGGATTTTCTTCAAAGCTACAAACTCTCCAGTCTTTTTGTGTCTGCATTTATAAACAACACCATACGTCCCTGCAAGAAAGTACGTCACATTAATACACAAGTACCTCAACAAACACCTTATACAAATGTACGATGTTCATGATTAATTACCTTCCCCCAGTTTTTCAACCCTTGTGTAATCTTCGGTCATTTTGGAATTGGCCAGTTTAGGAATACTTGGACTAACTCGACAATGCTGCCAACACGTTCAACAAGTTGTCCAAGGGCTTGGCGTCCGCTCCTGCAAAGGTCACACGAATAATTAATGTACAGTTACTTATTTTAGCAGAATAACTGTCAACTCCTTGCACTGTAAATGCGGACTATGTTTAAAGAAGTAAAGTTGGGAGGACCCACTTACAAGAGGAGAGCTCGAGAGCGGTGGGTGGGGTTCGGGACAGGTGGATTCCGGTTAATTGCGGTGTAGAATAATTAGTTTAAATACGATGCATGGTAAGAGAGCATGAGTGGTTAATATTTATCTGGTTGTATGAACGGTGGTGGTGTGAGAGGCTGGATGAAATATAACGGATGGTGTTATGAGAGAGTTCGTTGCCAACGGAAGCCGCCTCTCATCCTTTGTTCGCTAAAGTATGGACGTATGGCCATTGGAGGAGAAATGTGAGATATCCAACTCGTGTAGTGTCAGAAGGATAATAGTGCCATGATAAGCAGGGGCCTTATCCAAGTGCAGCATCTTTGCTCATCTGCACTAGCAGTAAAATGCGTTGGGGGAGGTTTAGTTGTCAGAATATCTTGTTAACAAGAAAATTCATTACTTAACACTTAATTTAAAATTAATTACTTAACACTTACTTTAAAATTAATTACTAAACAGTTAATTATGCCATTATAGTTTAGTATATTCAAATTTCTGGTAGATTAATATCAGTTATTTTATAAAACCAATATGAGCAAAAAAGAGGTAGCCGTTTATAGTTAGTCTTTAAACGCAATCTCATTTTTCCCAACCCGTTGGATCAATAATATTGCTGTGCATTGCATATACGAACACGCACTTTTTCTTTTTAGCCCAAACCATGGCTTATTATATGACGGCTAATGCTAACGACGTAATATTGTTGTAAGTGACGACCACAAATTATTTATTGCATGTTATTACAATATCCAACACGAGTCTTGGTGACGGTGGTATTAATGAATTATACTAATCTAGGTGGTATTTGAACTCTGTAACAGTCCATGATGATGAGATGAACTTATTATTATGACGCTCAGACTTTTATGTGTCTCAATCTAAATTTAATTGATTTATAAACCCCACAGCAGCCGAAACTCGCAGTAGCGACAACTTGTTTACAACGCAGTTCATTGTTACTTGATCATGCTTTGACGTTGATAGAGATTAATGCAATTGAGATAGAATGATGTAAAACCCAGTAATTCGCACGTTTGATTAGCCTCCAGATAAAATTTTTGGTCGTACTCATGCATAATTTGTTGCACATACAGTTGTACTATTGGTGTGTTTAGACTGTTTTTGTGCTACATATGTTCGGAGAATCAGCAAGAGTGGAGACCAAACCAATTAGCTTAATTATGTGCCTAAATTCCCAGTTTGTCCCAATTTAATTTCTTTACAATATTGGCAATGATGATGACCCTGTCTCAATTAATCAGATTTGAGCTGATTAACCAAAAGGAGTTACACGATGTGTGTCAACAAGTCCGGAACAAGATTTACAAAATAAAACAAGCAGGTAATATGTGGGGAATGAAGACTTCTGCAAAGTTGCTGTTTAATTGGAGCAAAAATTTTACACTTTCCGAATTTCCTTATTTTCAGTGACACTATTTCAATCCATGTTGTCGTCTGTGAGATTGTTTCAAGATTTTGTCTCATGTTGTAAAGCACTGCTTGCCATGCAAACGAGCATCGGGGAGACCGTCCAGTTGGTACAAAACTGCAGCCTCGTTTCCTCCCGAGTGGAAGGGGTCGAGATGGGCCTGTGGAGAGTTCGACTTCCTTTCATGGCGGCGACGACGACGAGGACGGGGATCAATTTCGGTTTTGCAACTTGGAAAAAGAAGAAAGAATTGGATTCACTCTTGCAAGAGTTGGAACAAGTTTTTGAGCAATGTGTGTTTCTTCAGAATTCGCTGATACATCTTGAACCAGGATTTTCATCAACACCAATGCAACTCCAAAACGAAGTTAATCCAATTGACTTGCCCAATCAGTCCAAATGGAGTTGCGAAATAATGAGGAAGGAGGCAGTCAGTAGTTTAACAATGGCCAAAGAATGGAATCAGGACAGTTTAATCATTTTACGAAATTTGATAGAGTGGGATTACCAGCATCGATTTTCAGTTGGTACGCTGTTAGACAACAATATATTATTTTTTCACAATACTGCATACGCCAAGCAAGCTATTTGTAATACTTGAATCGTAGTTTCATGTGTCTCTTTTTTCGGGCAGGAGAAAGTAACGATGATGATGAGATGATGAGCACATTTGACGATGAAACTACTGGTTATTATGATTCTAGTGAATCTCATTTTCTATCCGGGTCGTCTCATGTTCCTCACAAGGTACAAAGTTCATAAGTAAATAAAGAAAGATGTATGTATTATTGTGCGTAGGCATAACTTGGGAATTTAATAATGATTTCCTTCTTTGTGCTACAGGGAAAGTACACCTCGATTAACAGCAAGAATTCTCGAATCAGGAGATTTTTACTTTTTTCCATCTTTTTCGTTAGTTTCATATTAGTCTGCATGATGGTTGCTTCGTAAAATTGATTACGTATTGTTTGTAGCATTCCTGTGATAATACTTTATATTACTCTCAGTTAGTATTTATTTATCTATATAACTTATTGTATATTTATCTACGACTGTGCTTACCTCATTCTATTGTAATGAATTTATGTATGGAGTATGGTGATCTCGGAACTAAAATGTTCCTATTTGCTAATTATTTCTACCCAATAGATACATAATACATGTATTTAAGATGTGCAAAGTTTTTTTTACTATAATATAAAGTCTTATTTATGGAGAATCCATATCTAGTTAAGTCTTAATCAGGTTTTGATGGGAAATGTCAGAAAATCATCTATTGTGTTCAATGCGTATGTACATAGGAGATACATGTTATGAGAAATAATGAGGTACATGCACAATGCTGAAAGTGATGCCCGTCATGAAAAGTGTATCTAGCTTCGGGGTTTCAGAGTCCGTCCGTACAATACTTGTAACAAGCCATGAACAAATATTAGTAGCTTCATAGATCACAGGACATTGCGTTTGGGAAATACGCAGGTTCATTATCTACTGATATTTGACTCCATATTAAGTAAACACATCCGACCCCGGCTTTAATCTGATAATCTAGCCTTCTTGAGACAAATATTCTATTCAGCCAGCAGAGTAGATCTCTTTCTGGGAACTACTGCGAGGAGGGATGATCTAACTCCTTAGATTTCCATGACTTGGTTGATACTATTGGTCAAAACACGTCTACACTTATTACATCTCATCCATTTGGCCTGTCACACCCTTCAAAAGTGTGAAAAGTATGAACTCAAAAAAGAAATACCCCTTTTTTGCCATGCAAAATAGTTTAAAAAGCTAAAAAAAATTGTAAGCTGTTTTTGCACTGGTTAATGTATCATATTATTAAATTTTGCATGTATTTTCTTAATTTTCTTGAAGCCTATAGCCCTGGTCCGAAAAATGGATGAGGGGCGCACACTAGTGAGACCCCTTTCTCCTCCAGCATTAGAGACTAACTAATAACAAGCCATGTACATATACAATCTGAAAGTGAAGCTTATGTGGATTAGCCTCTTCCCAGGAGGATTATTAAATGAGGAATTGATATGATGAAGTATCGTCTGCTGATGCATGTCAACCTTATTAATAAGGTTTGGTCCTGGACATTCATTAGCTGAGTTGACATTCCAAATTACTAACTAAACTACTAACTATGTAGTCGTGGTATTACGGGTGGTGGAGATTTTCTGGAGAGAGCTGGATTGGATGAAGCACATAATAATCTTAACTTGAGAGGCAGCAAAAAGCTATATATACCGGAGGTTGGAGTCATGAGAACCTCCAGTGTGGGATACGGAACGCAGTCGGAAAGTCGTCAGAAAACAAGTAGCCAACCTTGTTCTTTTAGCACTTGAAAATCCATCCACTACAAAAACTATCCTCCACTTTGGCAGATAGTTCTAACTGCAAGTAAGTACTTAGCCAACCATTTACATTAACATAATCACGAGTCATCCTCAGCTTCTGAGAGAGACCCAGTCGATTGAGTGAGTTAATAAAACAATTTAATTTTTACTTTGTAAAACTCTGCACAAAAGGGAACTCTGTGAGACGGCTGGTAAAATACTTGGCTTGAGCTTGCGAAAATAATAATATTCATAAATCCAAAGCTAGCCATACACACACCAACATCTTTTTGCAACTCATAAAATCAATTCATCTCGTCAACCATAAAACATCCCACATTTCCCTGGTGGTGCTCAACCAGGCGTATATTGTCAATCAGGCACATGAATAATCCACCTGTCTCTCTCTCTTCCTTGTTTTATCCATCCCATATTTCGCAGCGTTGCGTTGACATGATTTCATAGGTCTTCTCTCCTGTGAAATTGTAGTTCTGATTTTCTTTTGTTCTCTCCCAATTCTCAAAAACATTTCCAATACGCATACATCACAACGAGCATGTCATGTCATGAGCATTAATTACGATGTAATAACTGCCTGATAAATGTACATTGATTTGAATGTTTTCGAGTTATCGAACCAGAGATACCATCATCATGTTGTTTGTGATTGAGAAACACATACTTACATAAATATGCCCACATATAAACCATTTCATGGAATGTATCTGTATCAATGGAATGAATCGTTTCAGCCCATTGATTTATTGTCCATGCGATTTTGACTCGTAAATTTTCTTCCTCTGAGATCCATTACTTATACACAGAACGTGATCCAGTCATACTTTTGTAATTCTGGGGGCATCATAAATTGTGATTCAATCTACAAGAGAGGACTCTATTATACATAAGGGCACTCTGCCAACTGAGTATTAAAGTGAGGTAATTAAACTTGAAATAAGCCATTTTTAGATCAGCTCATCCACATTTTTCGATTGAAGCTGATTGAAGTCAAAGTCAAACAACCTGTCTGGATGGTGCTAAGTAGTATGTGCACTAGTTAATTAATTAGTGCTTTAATCCGTGGATTTTCGACTAATTTTGAATTTGGGTTGCTTAGTTTGCTAGACAAATATGTAATGCATTATGCACATCTTCAAAAGACGAAACCCTCACTAGGACGAATCTCGTGACTACTTAGGCAATAAAGCCTTGTGTGCATTTTTTATGAGAATTATAGGGGATTAATTGTTACATAATAGACTGGTTTTCTTTTCCACTTGGTCATGAGACCTTTTCGACTTTGTACTCAGTGACATGTAAGTCATATTTTACATCCTACATATACGATTAATTTTTCACGCTATTAAATGGAATGTGAAGGGATATGCAGATAGCCGTTCATATATAACCAGTTTCAGAAGTTATCCAGTCTATCACATTCTTTCAGCCAATCTCTGCAAGGTATTGTGGAGGCTTGGCCACCGTTTAGCATGCGAGTTTAGGTGAATCTTGTATTACATACATACATGAATTGTATTGTTATGACGAGATGTGGGATGGTCAAACCCACAAACCTTACATTCTTGTCATCATTATTTTGTTCACGTTCATGTGTGCATGCTTTATTTGGTTGGACCTCAATGTTTTCCAGTCGCCTATTGTATAATCTAGCCATCCAGCAGTATTACATGCAGATAATCACGTGCAACAATAAGTCATCATCTTCTCACCAACAGGTCATGCGGCAATTAGTGGACGACGAAATATCCTAACACATAACAATGATCTCTGTTGCAGTTGAGTTAATTATGTCCGTCTCGCTTTTTAATGAGAATTAGGTAAAGCATAATTGAATGGTAATTTGCTTGAGGTTGCACCTGTAGTGTAATTTTAGGATAATATACATAGGTGTGTATTCCGCTTTGCTGGTTGGTTGCAATTTAAAATCATTACTATTTTAAATTGAAATAGATACAAGTATGTATGACACGCAGGCTGGATCCGTATAATTTTTGTATGCTTGGAACTCGGTCGGAGGAATGAAATTCACTTTAATGAGTTCGTCTGTCTGCCAATTTACAACCGGAATATTTTTCATGTTCTCTTTCAGGAAAAATAAGATTTCATCATGAGTCTCACCGCAGAGGAGAAAACCGCTGTTCAAGATACTTGGGGAGTGGTCGCTAAAGATTTAAAAGGAAACTCCATCAAAGTATTTCTCCAGTAAGTACATACTTATTGCATGTTAAACCATGAACCCCATAATTGACCTGCCATCATGGGATCAATAATAATGTACGGGACGACCCGTAATAGTAATGATAATGATAAGAGTGAGAGACAAATTATGTATCAAATTGCAACACAACACGCCTTCGATGCCATTGTGAAACCGCAATTTGCCATCATTCTGAATCAGTCAATTGCATTCAGACAGACAGAGCTATAGAATTTCACATTTTGCTTTTCAGCTTCTTCACCATGTTTCCGGAATACCAAAAGCTGTTCAGAGGGTTTGCTGACACGCCAATGGATCAATTGCCGGAAAACAGGAGATTTAAAGCCCATGCGTTCACCGTAGTGTCCGCAATTAATGGGCTGATTGACAATCTTGATGATCCAGAAATGCTTTGTGAACTATTAGTGAAAACTGGACAGAATCACGCCAAACGGTCAATAAAAATTGGGGACTTCAAGGTAACGCATCCTCTGACAATATGTACAATCCATCTATCCCTTCATAAATGCATACATTCAAGCAGTCATAAGCATATGTACATACATATTCAGCTATTTTGGTCTGACATTTGTCTTCGTGACTCAATATATCCCTCCTTCTTAGGAGGACAATCAAGTCGAAATGTAGTCCGGAACTCTGTGTATGCTATTTATATATTCCACTTATGCAGAGTGATGATAGAAATCCATTAGTAGATTATCGCTCTTGAGCTGCTAAGGTAGACAGTTGAAGGAACCTATGCTCAAGGAATTGGGTACAGTCAAGTGATCCAATTGACATGTTCAATGTTTCATCAAATAGCGACGGCTTACTTTGCATAATGAAGACACTTGATGATTAATTATTAGTTTCAGTTAATGGATTTGGTTAAAATTTAATACTCCTTTTATGCTTTGCTTCTACTCAGAATCTCAATGACTGTCTAATGGATCTCTTCTCCAAAATATTTGGAGAAGCTTGGACCCCAGTGGCAAAAAGTGGATGGTCAAAGGTTGCAGCTTAATTTTATTTCTGAAGATTTACTTCACCTTACAATTTTGGCTGAAAACAGTCTTTTTTTCTCATTTAGGTGTTCAGTGTCGTCCTTGAGAAGGTCGCTGAAGGTCTCAAATTGAACGAGTAGAGGGCAAAGTTTTGAGACTTTGGTTTGTTCACAAAGTAATTTTTATCCAGTTAATCAAAGTGAAATTTAAATTGTATCAGCCAATTATCCATATGAAAACTTTACCTCATTATCACGTAGCTTTTTAAGCAATGCAAAATTGTATTTTTCATTGACTTTTGTCCAACCTTTAAAAACCTTGTTCAAATTTATTTTACAATGTGTACACTTTATTAAATAAAAATCTTTTTATTTTTAATTATTTTTAAAAATGCTTTTACATCAATTGATCATTCGCATTTTAAACGATTTCTGTTCTGTCTAGCAAAGGACGTAATTCTAAATCTTCGACATTTTCATTTAATATAAATATTGAATTATGTTGTGCCCTGTTATTTGTTGCGGAAGCCTTTTCAGTTGATTTCCCTGATTTCTCGGTTGAACCCTGATGATTTCCATTGGGATTGTAGAACTTTGGTTGGAAAAATGATGCATCACGATTTGAACGACATGTTAAGACTGTGATTAAAAATCCACAAATGCAGAGCCCAACGAAGACAAGAATTGTTAGAAATGTGATGAATTTTCCTAAAGAAGAATCCGATTTGGGGGAAATCGTTGCCAAAGTTGAATTATGACGGTGGTCGTACTTGTTGTTCTGAGTAGCGTTTAATGGTGGAAATATATATGCCGTGTGACTCTCGATCTCATCTTTCAGCTCCTCCAAATCTTCGTGTTTTATTTGCTGTATTCGCATATGAAGCCAGTCTTTCAAGTCAGATCTTTCTATTGCGGACAGGGCGACAGACAGCACGACTTCTGCCTAAACAAGAATAATCTGATTTTTAGTACACGTGAAGAACACATGCTAATAATTATCTTAAATTATTTACAAAATCAAGTTGATCAATCTTTTCCTTTGGTAATTTTCCAACCATCTTCTCGTTCCAGAATGTCAAAGAATCGACACAGTCGAATTCATCCACATTGGAAGAGGCATCATTTAGCATTGTGTGAGCTTCTTTCAGATAACTGGCGTACTCTTTGGTTGATGACAGATTAACATATTGGTGCATCTTTTGAGCAGAGTCTTGAATTGTCAGCATTGCAAAAACTGTTTGGCATTGTTCAGGTTCCAGAGATAAAGCAATGTAGTCAATCAGCAAAGGGTCCAATGGGGGTTGTAGTAATTGATCCCAAAAATATTCTGGTGCGGGTACTTCAGTCAATTGAGATCCAGTATTCTGGCCAAAGACTCCGAAACAGAAGATGACACTTAATACGAATGGCGAATCCATTGTGATGCGAAAAGTACCATAACAGACTATACTAAACGCCCCCAGAGTGTGAATTGGACATGAGTTTTAAAAAAACCTTTAGCCTTTATTAAGAATTAACTGGTGTTGTCCAGCAACTTCGAACGAACGTCTATTCGAATTCAAGAATATCTCCAAAAGTTACATAAATGAGCAAAATGGATTGAGCCCAATTTTGACATGACAATGTCATTGTCACAATGATGTGAAGTATGGACCGAGGTTAATTCTCCGAACCAACAACTTCTTATTAGAAATGATATATTGTCGCTTTGTTTTATGTACATATTAAATACTTATTTCTTTTAAAAGTATGATTTTATGTATTATCCCGAACCAATTTTTATTGGAAGCACATTGCTTTGGAATTCTTGAATAGGATCTGTGCTCCCAATATGTCGACCTGGCGTGTAGATTGCAGCCACGAATGTTACGTCGTTGAAATTTGTCACTCCAATTCCAACAAATTTTGTTGATTTCCAAATCACTCTTGAAAAACTGAGGACGTTTCCTTTGTCTAAATTGTTGCCAACATTGTTCCAGTCATACTCTGGAAATCCTGTTGAATACCAACTTTGGACGGCATTGCTAACTGATTCGACCGGATTCAGAGAAGCTGGTTGTTGTAAATACCAATTCATTTCGATATTTGAAGTAGAATTAACAAGTGAAAGTTTCCGATCAGCATTTATGGTCGAAGAGTTTCCAAATGCGATAAAGTCAGCCAAATCTTGAGCAACTTCATTCATCTGTTGTTAAGATTTTATCATTAAAGTTGGAACTTAATCATTTGTTGATACAGAGAAAATTTGTTCATAAAATACCAATGGGGCCATTGCAATGAAAGGCACTCCATGATTTCTCCTAAATACATTGTGTAACTGAAGACCGACTTTTTCAAAATCTGGAAAAATTGAAATGATATAAAATTTGACTAAAAACGTGAAATGACTTTGCAAATACATACGTAAACTTATTTACCGTTCAAAAATTTAAAATCTGTCTGCAGTAATTTTGTGTCTGGGGTTGGCGTCGTGAAACCCGGTGGTCCAAAAGCAACCTATAAAAATTGCACACTTGAGAAATTGTTCCATATACTTTGCATGTGCATTTTCCAAAACGTTGAATGCGTATTATTTATTTACTAACCGCTACGTCCGGACTCTGAATATTTATAATTGCAGCATCTGTTTGGCAGTTACATACATAATTAGGGATTTTGGTTAACACAACGTAGATGCAAGCACACACTACGACTTGACCATTGGACAACAGGTATGTCTGTTTACCTAAATTGCACAAAGAATTGTTTCCGGAACTGGTAGTGGAAATCCAGTAGCCTTCATTTGTGCAATTTAACCAACCTCGAAGCACTTCGCCCCTTGGATTACGACAGGCATAAGACGCGATTGTTCCAGGAACGGATTCTTGAGAACAATCTGTAGGACTTGGAACAAATCCAGGTGGAGGAGTGCACAGAACGTTAGTGCCCTGGTTGAAAGAAAGGAGTGAGTAATCTTAGATTTTAAATCTGTATATCCATATTGCATACGGCAATCGCGTTAAAATGCACTGATATTGGCACAAAGTTACCTTTGCTTGAAGAGGGTCACAATTTGCACCAGCTTGAGTCAAAATTGGATTGATATTTTGCAACGTTAAAAAAATGGACACAAATATATGAAAATACAGCATGGGCATTTTCTGTACCAAAAATTTCTGCATGGTTTATTTTTTTAAACTCAATAACACCAATATATTATATTTGACCAAGAAATCTCAGCTTGGTCCGCAATTTCGAGCACACTCTGAACAACGAATGTCCTTGTTCTTTCAGGTTTAAGGCCAATAATAACTTCATGAATATAGTTTATCACAATTTAACTCGCTTCCTACAAAACTACGCGATCTTATAACGACAGGAGAGCTAATTAAAATGCTAATGTGCCAACGTGGTAAATAGTCGATGGTCATCATGCATTAAGTTTATACAAATCATTACTCCTCATTCGCAGTGTATGGGGTTTCCCATAAACATACAGAGATGATGAAGATGCATTTCATATTTCCCAACCCCATTCACGCGTCCTCGGATCAAATCCTGTTTAGAATAGTAAATCAAGTGGTGTCATCGTCACTGATATGCTTAATAATAAGAGCATGGACAATGAATTGCATATTCGACAGGAAAAATAATCATCATGCTTGAAGATGACATAACACATCTATTCTTTAAAATAATAATAATTATTCCGTGTTTGGCAAACATGTTTTGTTTCTTTCATTAAAGGTAATTAAGCAATTACAAATCAAATAAATAATGTCTGGAAGAGAGAGATACGCAGCAGCTTATTAGTAATTCTGTATAATAATAATATATGTATGTGCACGTGAGTGGCCACTACAGAACTAAATATGGTGCTATCTCGCAAACTGAATGACGCGAACATTATCGTGAAATGATTTTCTTTTTTGGTAGTCCTTTCCTCCTTTGTACAGCACATTGCCTTTGGGCCAGTAGTTGACGACGACGACCGTTTTCTTGCCAGTAGTCGCTACCCCCACGCCAATTTGAGTCGTCGATTTCCAGATCATTTGGGTAAATGCGGATGGACGGGGATCACTCCGATCGTACAAAGTGAAACCACTGTACCAATACTGGACAGCTTCCCGAACAGCATCTTTGGCATTGGCATAGTTTGGAATTGCATAGAGATTTACACCATAAGGATAGTCTTGTGCATCCGGAACTGCCAATTCGTCTTCTTCCACCATTTCCTCTGCAAGACGTTGTGCTTCGTGTTGGATCTGGAAGTTGTATTTGATGTTAAAAATTAAAAGTACAAATAGATTAACTTATTATTACTTGCCTTTCCAACCAATCTTACTGTCGGAACCTTATGTATTCCTCGATAATGGTTGTGTAAATCTCGTACAATCTTGGCATATTCTTTAAAAAGTTAATTGTTTAAGGACTTTCCATGAACATGGAGTAATTAACAAATTATGCGCATGATCATTAGTTTTACCAGGTAAATAATTTAAAGGAAATCCAACTGTAGGTTTTGGTTTCGGAAGAGTTTGAGAATCATCCTGAAAAACAATATTTTGCAAAACGAGTTTATGATAAGTTCATTTTCAGATTACCTCTAATTCGAATTTTATCTGTGTCTGTTTGATCCACTCCAAATAGGGTCCAATTCGTTTAAACACATTATAGTTTTCACAGTATCCTTCTTCTGTGGTTGGTGTTGCATCCAAGTTACTCAACAGTCCCTGATCATACATAAATAATTTATTGTGCTGCATAATAGCCTATTGTTATTCGTATACAAGTACGCACGTACCTGTAGAAAATATCGGCCTTGAATCTTTGGTTGCTGAAAAACCAAGCCTCCTCCATAATCGCCCTGGCAGGCCGTTGAGTCTTTTTAATAACAAACATTCATTGCAGGGTAAAATTAAATAAAAACTGGATTTTAAAAACAAGCATGTAATTTCACCTTTTTCAAATCCCGTACAAAATTCTAAGTAGTCATTCACTTTAACGCCAAGCTTTTCTTGACACGTAGTACTTGACACCACGGGATATCTTGCATATCTCAATTTTTCAGTAAAATTTCTTCGCGTGTCCCAAGCAAATCCGGAAATCTAACATAATTGCCATCCTTTAATTTCCCTTGAATATAAGTAAAATCGCATAGACAAAAATTTCGTGTACCTCTCCAACCATGCCGAATCTGATCCCCGATTTCTGTGAATTATTTGGGGGGAGGCAGACAGGGAGAGCTATCGGCCCAAGTCGTACTGAACGATCCAATTGCACAATTGCAGCATCCGAGTCATGACTTTTAGCTTCGTAGAGTGGATGAATTTCTATCCTTCGAATCTATCAGCGAAATAACGACTTTTCTCTGAAAACTTTGCCAATAGTCTAATTATGAAGCAAGTAATTCCTACATACGCCCAATTTTTGCACTCCAAACTCCTTGTTACTGTTGTAGTTGCTGCTGTATTGGCCGACAACAACTCGCAAGTTTCCCAAACGCGTCTCTGCATCGGTTGAATTTAGACTTTGGGTGACGCATCTCGCTCCCGTGAGAACGAGCACTTCGTTTTCTCTCGTCCCAGGAATCAGCGTTCCTCCACATTCGTACTTGAAAATGCCTTCCGTCTTTCGAAATAGGCCAACTTGCCACGGGAAATTCTCTCTGTTCGCGATTTGAGGATTGTCCCAGCCGAAAGGTCCGTATTTTGGGACATGCCAAGGATTATGGATTTCTTGCGGGGGTCGAACCCCGCAATCCAACTCTATAAATATGAACAAGATCTTTGACTATCCTGAACTACGGTAGTTAATTTAGTTGCAGAATAACTTACCCAGATTACTTTGACTCTGAACAACAAAACTTTGGACACAAATTACCAGTAAAAATTCAATTTTTAGGATGTTCATTCTGATTTCCATGATTTCTCTTTAACACATGAGAAGTGAGAAGTGAGTATAAGTATTTATCTCTAATGATGGTGATAATTGATCAACGCACGTTGATTCTGGTGGGGAGATGATAAAATTTCTATTAAATAACTTTCATAAGGTTGGGGTGAGAGAAGTATTGTTCATATATAAATGCAAAGATAAGAAGTGACCTTAACTTCATACATGAAAGCAAAAGTGATTGAAAGTCGTGTATTCGTAATAATGTGTGAAGTATTAGTCATACTGCACATTGTTGCGATTGTGAGATAGGTAGGAAGCAAGTCTACAAAAAACTACAGTGCAGGCTTGATTTAGCCCGAGTCAGGTACAGGTTCTGCTTTTAAATTTATGCCACATGACCAGACCACTAACGATGTTGGCGATGATCGAATGTTTGTTAATATTTTTGTTTTTGTTAATATATTCTACTATTTGGCACCAAATTTTTGAAGTATTCATTATTCCTTCCCTTTGGGTACCAGGACCAGTGGAGGTCACTTGTATAAACATAAGCCATCAGGGATTTCTGTCACAAATTTCAGCTTCCGAAAACAAATTCTAACTGCATCAACGACCCAACCTGACCTTCATGACCCCCACCGGTCAACCACTTGATCGATTTTGCTCATCTAGTACATAATTTCAAGTCGATTGGAGAAGTTTGAAGAGAGTTATGGCGAAGGCGGAAAGACGGACGGACGAAAATGACAGATATACAAGGCCTGACTCGGGCTAAAAACTGGTTGTTGAATTTTGAAACTAATTGAAACTAATAGCACAAACTCTCACAAATGTCTATGATCATTTTATTTTGTTAGTGTCAAAAACCCCTCTGACGTATGATACTTAAATGACTATTACATTTCTGATGACATATTTTTTGCCTGTAAAACATTTTCTACGAACATCGTTTCTGGTCTCGTTTCATTTTCAAGAACAACATTTCCCATAGGGAAATAAAATGCGACAACGACAGTTCCCTTGCTATTAATAGGAAATTTTCTGTTAGAAGCACCCAAGCCGAATTTTCTGCTAGATTTCCACACAATCTGAGAAAAGTCAAGAGCAAGCGGATTTTCCCAGTTGGATTGTATATTGTCCCAATTGTAGTTTTTTAATCCTTTGAGATACCAAAATTGAATGGCATCGTTTACTGCAAGTGATAGCTCGGTTTGATCTGAATTGAAGACATTTTGACCAATAAAATCTTCCTTCGCTAAATCCAGAGAGTTTCGATTGGCAAGTGTGTCAGCCCATAACTGAGCTTTCTCATTGAGCTGAATCAGGAAGAGATCCATAAATTGTATAGAATGATACACAGTGGATTATTGGATATATTAAATCAATTTATACCAACCAACTCCTCCATTTCTAAAGGCAGTGCTTGATGCAGGTTACGAAAATCATTCAATAATTTTAGTCCCTGGTCTCTAAACGTTCCTGGAAACACCATTAAAATTGTGATTACATTATACTGGCAACTGAAAATTATATGGCTTAACAAATTTTAAAACACCAGAAACTAACCTGCATCTTGGGTTACGTTTATTAAAACAGGATAATGTGGAGATTTTTCAAACCCCTGGAATATTTGGTAATTATTTCTTATCACATTTCCGACAGCAAACACATACCCAAAGAAAGGACTCACATAAAAATGAAACTCAGAGTTGGCTGGCATTTGTTCTATACAATTTTATACTAAATGTACAAACAATTAGATCATTGTAAACTCGCAGGTTAATTTTCAACTTACGAATTCCACATGGCAGGGGATCTTGGTTATTGTTTATCGCAGAAGGGCCGTTATTAACAATTTCATAATTTCCTTTACAAACTATTTTTCCAAAACGTACTCTTAATTTATCTGCTTCAGTGCATCGAAAGTATGCAATTGATCCATCTGGAAGCCAGGTTGATGAACAATCCACAAGCTGCTCATCACTGGATGTCACGCAGCTAAGGTTTGTCTGAAATACAAAATGCGATTATCGATTTATTACTTAAAAAATATGCACATTTTAAAACTTATACTTCTTTTGGGGCTACGAGCGGAGGACAGTAAGTGGTCGAATTGACATGATTCAAAACTGTTGTATGTAAGATGATGAGAAGAAAAAAACGGTCAATCCTAGAAATTATCGACATATTTCCTTCTGAGTCGCACTTTTGGATGCATGCATAACGGAAACTGGTGAACTAATAAGACACTGCTGATACTGAGGATGAGTTCGGTGTGCTATTAATTTAGTATTTATTCATTATTTTCTACATTACGTCATTATTAGTATTACGGGATTTTACTGTTACGTATAATTATGATTTGCATTTATTTGGAGCGAAGTAAATTATCCATAGCTGAGACCCGACCCATTTTAAACTAAAGAAACTGTGTCCGGAGGGGAAAGTCGAGGCAGCACATTTTCCCTGAAATATTTCCCCTTGTCATCCCCAACAACGTCATAATAAATGTTTCCTTTCGGCCAGTAGTTTGCAACAACGACACTTTTCGTTCCTTTGGACGCTATTCCCAAGCCAATTTCTGTCGTGTTCTTCCAAACCACCTGTGGTAAGTGAGGAATAATGGTATACAATACAACATAATTAAATATAGGCGTCTTTTTCGTGTATTTAAGTTTACCTGACTAAACGTGGAGGCTTCTGGATAATTCCAGTTGAACTTGTTTATCGCGTTATACCAGTTGTCTACTGCTTTCCGTATAACATCTGAATCAGAAATTTTCCCAAAATATTGAAATATGTTTTCCGAATAATCTTTTCCTTGTGAAAATTCCCATTTGTTTTCATAAAGAAGGTAATCAGCCCACTCCTGAGCTTCTTTGGATAACTGAGAGTGAAACAGGACGATTAAAAATTTAATAACTTTGGGTTACAGAGAATTTTGATAAGTAATCGACACCTTAATGTTTATACGGACTGGTGGGGCTTGGTGAAGTCTTCGGTAATAATTGTGTAAGTTTTGCCCAAGGTTTAAAATATCTGTGGCATTTATGTGTAAAATGAATTAAAAGTTCTGGTTTTGAGTGGTATAAAAGTGATAATTGGTACTCGTTGATGGGATGACGGCTTTACTCGTTTCGTGGTCTACTTGCGGTGGTGGTCTGCTACTCTCAATACTATTTGTGGGTGGGGCTCTCGTTGGTTGGAAGGGCTGTTGGTACTATACGCAAGCACAGAATGTATTTTATAATTTCAATACTGCTTGCCACCAATTTCTCACTCACCGGATTAGTGACGACTTCGGTGACCTTTTGACTCTCTGCCAACTCATCGTGCACTTTATTCACCCAATCCAGAAATACGCTGACGCTGGTAAAAGTGTCGTGTGCTGCACACCCCTCGGCTTCTCCAGCAACTTTGGTTAAAACACCCTAATCAAAAATATTTTTAAAAGAACTGAATGTACCAATGTGTACCATTATATATAGCATGCACAATTTCATAGTCCAAACCTGGAGAAAAAAGATCGGTTGTTGAGATCCATCGTTGAATACTAATCCAGTTCCACTTTCCAATGGGGACAATCTTGTTCCTGTCATAATTTTGTACTTATGTAAATGAGCCCCTTACTATTACTAATTGAATTTGAGCTAAAATTCAAAACAAACCCGTATTATGTATGGCACAAAATTCAGTAATTGTTGGTTCTCGTGCACAATCTCTCAAACATTCGCCCTGTTCGGAAATGGGTAGTCCCAGAATTTCTTGATAAGCCAGTTGATCATTCCTTACAACAGGCAGCTGTAGTTAGAATTACATGCATTATTAAACTAAATTATCTATGAATTAAATTGTGGTCAATTTACTTCTCCAATGCTGCCTGGGCGAACTTGAGAGTTTGCAATCTAACAAAATTATTGCAATTTAATTTGTCAAATTTTTACACAAAAGGTTCAACTAATTATTACCGTTCTTGTTGGAAAGCAAACGGGCTGGACTGTTTCTGAAATCTTTACGGGACCATTTAATTCGATCATAGCAATATTTGATTGCAGACTATGAGGGTCGTACTCTCGCTCAATCACGATTTTGTTTGGCTATTGTTTTGTGAACATATTAATTTAATTATTACATCAAAGCAGAGTTGTATATTATGGCTGATTTGTTATACAGAAAAAACTTGAGACGTTCCGACCACATTGTCCTCAAACTTTGTACTCACTCCTCCAAGAACGACACGAAAATTGTCTGATGGCCCAGGTTCTGCAGTCAATGGGTTCTTTGTGACACAATGCTAAGCAAATGCATAATTAAATGAGATTTACACTCATGGAAGTAGTACTAATATTAAAATATTTTGCAAACCGCTGCAGTAAGGACGAAATATCCTTTGTTTTCCGGATTAACAAGCGTTGCCCCACAAGCGTATTTGAATGCGTTGGTGGTCCCAAATCTCTTAAAAATAGTTGCATGCCAGGGAAAAATTCGCTCTCCAGTCTCGTTCTCCATCTCTATAAAGGAGGAGAGCGTGTCGAAGGTAGCGTTTCCTGGTCGTCCGCACGCTGTAACTTTGCAACTCTAATTTATTTCTTCTAATTTATTAGAAATATTAAGTTCCATCTCCAATTCTGTTTGAGCCACAAGAAAAATACCTGGTAGACATTGGAATTCCTTAAACTCGATTAATTTCATCCACTGACCATGCTCCCCGCAGGTCATGTGCCCACTTTGCTGTGGGACTTTGTCAAAGGTAAAAAGTCTTTGGCACCGATACTGAAGTTCTGCTCCGAGTGGTAATTCACGATCACAGTCCAACAACGAATTTGTATTTCTATCCGGAAAAAGACAACGAATTTCCATACCCTTGAACAATTACCAAATATTTCAATTATGTATCAAATGAAACAAATCCAGCCTTCATATGTTATTCTTGAAAACCTTTTTAGGTCGAACTGGTGGACAATTTGCTGATACTGTTATTAAAATTTGAAACACTACAAATAAAGTAGGAACAATGTGAGGTATGATCATTTTGTAAATAATTTACTCGAAATTCAGAGATAATGTGCACTTGTCATCCGCAAACTTAGAACTAATTTGCTAAAACCAGTTTGCAGAAAGGTATCCATCCACAGCATGAGTAATTTAGAGTTGACAGAATTATAAGGGATACAATAACAGCTTAGATATACAACGTGGGACTGACAGTAAAAATACGCAAATATAGGAACACTAGTTAACGTTTATCAGATAATAAACGCTACACCCGTGTACATACACCGGCAATTAATTGACTTAAACGAGTCAACAATGGGGAAAGATAGGCAAGATTAACAAGTATCATAGTTTCATCTACATCTACAAATATGTACGAAGCTCATAGAAGTCTCACACTATTAGCTTCTCACTACTCTTATATTTAGGATGAGAAACCTCGGATGAGAAATGACTGACATTTCAAACGCTTGAAAGGCTGAACGATTTACAAAATTACTTTTGATTTTATTATTTTTACGGATCATGTGATTATTTTTTCTGTGCAGATGCAATTTTATTTCCTCGGTCGTGACAATTACGAGATTTTCATTGTTTGTAAATTATTAGATTAATTGAACGTTTATCCCAAAATGCATGCGCATTTTAGTCATTAGTATTTACATACATTGCTACAACCGGTGATGAACTATATATGTAATACAGAAATAGTATGTAAGTATAAAACGCCGACAGCTTATGTACGTCATGACAGTAATAATACGCTTGACGCAAATAATTTGTAATGTTGTAAACGCTAATTTATTCAGAATAAATCAATCTTCCAACCTAAATCTAGGTAAAGTAGGCATGTGTATGTATTACGTTCAGATAATGAGTAATAAATAACAAGAAAGTTGATAAATCTCGTCGTGCCTTATAAAAATTATTTTCTTGGAGGGAGGACATTTTCTCGAAAGTATTTTGCTCTATCCCCTCCACTGCCTACAAAATAAATATTTCCGGGGGGCGAATATCTGGCAACAACTACAGTTCTACGACCAGATCTAGCAATTCCAATTCCCAATTCCTTTGTCGCTTTCCACACAAGTTGAGAAAAAGAGGTGGCCGACGGAGAGTTGTAGTTGTAACCGTCCATGCTTTTGTACCAAAGCTCCACTGCCCGAGCCACAATGGTCGAATATGGTTCACTGCTTCCATTAATCTCGAAAAGATTTTCTCCTCCTTTGCCGGAAGGTTCAAGCTTCGACTTGGTCAAGAGTTCGTATGCATAACTCGTAGATGCAAGATTAAGCTACACACGTTGCAAATGAAAACGTTGAAGTTTATAAAATGAGTACGACTGAATACACATAAAACATGATAAAATCAACATTCTCACGTTTTCATTCAGTGTCAAAGGGGATACGCCGTGCTTTGTTCTATACAAGTTGTGTTTTTGCAGTCCAACTTTCTCGTAATCATTTCCGGTGTCTGAGAGACCAATTACACAATGAAAATACACGCATCGCATTTATGATATTCGACCCAGATTGTGTACACGACAATGCGACACAATGTTGCTTTTATTGCTTTCACTTACCGCCAACGTTGACCCCCTGACTCCAACTAGTCGTTGTGGACGGCCGTGCAGTTGTTTGTGCTGGGGGTTGTTGTTGTTGGGGGGTTGAAGGGCTGCACAAGCTGACCGACTTGAGATTATATGAAGGAAAGTTCCATTCAAACACGCTGGACGATGGAGTTGATTGAAGCTGAAGAGAGCGACCATAGCAGTACGACCCCTCAAAGAATAGGAGACATTTCCCATGAATGTCAAGCCAAAACCGTTTCTTGTTCCACTCTTGTGGAACTGCAGAACAGTTCTTCATTCGCCATTGAACATATTTTTCTATTGATCACAAATGCATTTGGTTTAAACTATAATTGAAATTCATTATGCAAAAAGCGCATATGACATGTAACCTCTGTTATTTGCATAGTCTTCATAAACGGTCACAAGGAACTCATCATTTGCTAAAAAATCGTAAAAGATAATTGTCAGCATTCTTCTCTCATTAACTAAACAGATAAACTTACCAGGCGGAGGACGCTGTTGAGTCGGCCTTTTTCTCACCTAGATTAGCATCCAAAGCAAAATAATAAAAAGACTTTGATGAGCTGTTACTCTGAAACCTTACGTCATCGTTGGTGTCGTCGTCGTCATCAGCAAAGAATGAATCCAGCTCATCTTGCACCCAGTCAACATAGGAGCTCACTCTCGTAAACGTATTGTAATTTTGACCTAAAATAATTAAATCAGTATATGCTCATTGGATGTGTTGTACTTTTATCAACTTTACTCACAGTATTTCAATTCTTGTAAAGGTCTGCGATCCACATTACTCGCTATGCCCTGCTCATGACATCAGGAAATACGCACGTATGTAATTAGCGACTCATCATGACAGTTCACTAGTATCGTATTTTTTGCTTACTTGAACGTAAAATCGGTTAGATTGCTCATCTTTGAAGACCAATCCTCCTCCCGAGTCTCCACTTTATTTTATTTTCCATATGCCTTTATGTACATATGCCTTATTCCATCCCTTATCTAATAAATATAAACGTACCTGCAGATGGATTTTCCTGTCAACATTTTAATGTCTCTTATAAATTTTGCTTCATATCATACGTACGCTATAATATTGAACGTTATGTAATGAATTTATGCACCTGTTGGATGTCCAGCACAAAATTCTATGCTAGTCAATTCCTTCCCGAGGGCATCGTTGCATAATTTATTTTCTCGTACAGGGAGACTGGCGAAATTAAGAGACGAAGAGATGTGCGTAGAACGGTCGACGCCAAAGCCTGCAATCTTTAAATATCAGCTTCATAAATAAGATGTTCACGAGCCAAAAATGCTGAAATTTACAATGTCTTCATACCGAGCCTGATCCTTGAACTTGCTTATTTGCCATGTCTGACGTGGGAAAGCAGATTGGTGCTATGAAATCAGACACTCTAACCTTGCCTGCGAGCTTCATGATAGCTACGTCATTTTGTATAGTGTCGTAATTGTAATTGGGGTGCACCTTTGCCGCCTTCACCTTAATAATAATTGATGTCAAAATTGGATTGATTTCTTACTTGACGTTAGGGTGTATTTTTTAATATTTTCAACTCACTGGAAATATTTGAGTTCCATTTGACATTTGGTTTGTAACATAGTCACTGCTTACAGGACCCAACACTACTCTGAAATCTTCTAACGGGCGGACTCGTGTTGTACGAGCTTTTGATGTGACACAATGCTTTAAAAATTTAGAAAATCATCAAATCCAGTTTATCATGCAAGCTCAATTACGTAAAAATTCTTCTTAATTAAACTCATATATACATAATCATTATAATCATTGTACCGCAGCCGTAAGGATAAGATATCCTTTATTCGTGGGGTTGACCAAACTTCCACCACAAAAATATCGGAACTCGGTCCCAGGCCCTTCTGACCTGAAAATAGCCACGTGCCAAGGAAAATTCTCTCGCGTTGTCACCTTTAAAAATTATAAACGTAGTAGTCAACCGTCGATTGAAGTCTAACTGTAATACAAACCTCTCCAAACACAACGACAGTAGATGCTCCAAGCAGGGCAGGCGTTGCTCGTCCGCAATCTTTCAGCAAAATTTAAATTAAATTATGGCTGAAGAAGTATCCACATCATAAATATGTAATAATTTTCTTGCGTAACCATACCCAACTTGCATCGGAAATCGTCATACTGTGAATGCCGACCCCAGTTTCCATTGGTCTGGCATGTCATACGACCTGTGTAGATTTATGGGAATAAATTTTGTGTGACAAAAACGAGGCGATTTCTTATGGTTATTTACCTGATTCCGACTCTCCCACGGGCCTCGTGTAATATTTTCCACACTCATAATTTGCCACAGTTTGAGGTGGCAATTCTGCAGAATTACAGGGAATTGTTTGTCCAGTTTCTGGATGTGAGCATGCCAGAAAAACATCCTAAATAGAATTCCAATGTGATGCACGATTACAATTTAACAAAAATCAAATGAACAACTTACTTCGGACGCTGTGAGTTGAGGACAATTTGCACATTTCACGGATGTCAGTCCGTATGCAATTAATACACCAAAAACTTCGAGCAAACGAGTCATAATTCGTTGTATTTATATAAATGCAATTATGTTTATATCATAATTAAAATATATTTGTATATCAGATCAAAAATTAATCGCAAGTCGTATATATGCGAACGAATCTATTGCGTTAAATAAGTGCTTGGAAGAATTGAGTAAGAAAAGATGGATCTTTGCAAGTTCAAGATGAGATTAACCAGAAAAGGTACAGCTCAGCAAAGCATTGTTATTTAAGCTAAGAAGACATGAAAAGATAGAAATGAGGGCGATAAGTCAATGTCATTCTTTATTGCAGGGTTACAACAAAACCGCTTGGGTTTCTGGGATGCTTTGTTACTTGCAACCAAAAACCTAATTTTTAAGGTAGATCATAAACTTGTTACACACTTTCTACACTAATGTATTACATTATACATTACGTACCAGGTAACAAAAACTCAGAAAAAAGATGCAGGTGTGTGTACACAAATGGGATTCAGAAATCCTAACTAAATCTTGATTTAAACCTGACCTACAACCGAAGTAAAATGCTCATTGTAAATTTTTGTCGATTGGTCGGAAATTTGTGTGCTTTGCCTTTCGAGAAAAGCAAAAGCATGTACAGTTTATGTATAAAATCCAATGTATGTAGTTTATACGCTCACATGAATTTTGTCCTTGACTGCTAAGTACGTATGTTTGTAAATATGTCTTATTTTTAGATGTTTAATGGCTCACGGTTGGTTATCATCAGATTTTCCAATTAATTGTATTAATATGCTAAGTATTACTGCGATGGGATATTTAGGTGGATAACAAAGTCTGATAATCGTGTTCAATTTATTATTGAGAACTGATTATCATTATATTTAATTACTGTTGATTGTGATCATCATTACTACGAAAAGTATATCGCAAAAGCCAACTACTTAATTAGTAATTGTACCCTCCCACCCTTCTTATCTTCTCTGGAGTTACACACTTGTTGAGTCATACAAGTCTGTACAAATTGAATTGTTGTAGTTTGCCAGGTTATCTTAAATTGTTCATTCAACTTCATCCCATGCATGTACAGGTCGACTCGATTCTAACAACCTGGCCCTCGTTTTTTTGCAAAATTTCTATTGGTCATAAATCAGTTAGATTTGTTTGATTTCCTTATCACAAATTGGTCATGTAAAATTAATTTATTTGCTTTGAGGAGTTTCAGGTTTGAATTGCAATTGGTGAGTACACATTACATATTTTCGTGATTGGACACGACGTGATTTTGAATAGATGGAGAATGACAATGATGCATAAACTTGATTCCACCACTCACCATATAAACATATGTACAACAAAGTGTCATACTTGTGCATATTCCCCCTCGTTAAGCGAAACATATTTACAGAGGAGAGTTGCATATTATACAAATTTTGCAGATTTGTAATGTAATGTCAATTTTTTATTAATAAAACATTTGACGTAATCCTTTTGATGTAATTTATTCAAACTTTCTCTTCGTTATCTCTTTCTTACATATTTATTTTGTATTATGCAATAACAAAACGCTTATGCAATATTTTCAGTACGAATTTTGCCGCTCACGAATTCATATCATTTATTGCTTTTAAAAACTCGCTTTCATAAAATAAAGTCAAAAATGGTATCACAATTGTATGTGATATTAGGATTATTTTTCTATGCAACTTTGGCAAGTTGTTGTAGAAAAGGACGAAGCTGGGAGGGGAATTTATTTTTCCACGATGACTTTGATGGATTTGACGTAAAAAGGGATCACTGGACATATGAAGAGTTTTGTCACGGTAAGGACATCGATCAAAAATGGCAATACATTTGTGACGAGGACAATATTAATCACATTTTGTTCTGTTCCTTCTTAAAAAAACAAACAGGGAAAGGACAAGGCGACACAAACTTGGAATGTTTTTCAGATTCGGATGAAAATGTGCGAGTGTGGAATGGAACCTTAATTCTTACAACCCTTTACAAACCACTGTCCGAAAAGAGATTATTCTCGAGGCAAAAAAACTTTACTTCCGCCCGACTGACGACAACTGGACGCGGTTTTACTTATGGAACGTTCGTCGTCTCGGCTCGCTTACCGAAGGGAAAGTCTCTGTTTCCCTCTATTTGGCTAGTTCCGGCCTACAAGGATCACGACAACTGCAAATATGAAGAGATTGAAATTGTGCAAGGTAGAGGTGAGAAAACATCGAATCTCATATTTTCTGCAAGTTTTGGGAAACATTGGAACTCGGTTGTCACGAAAAGAGTTGAGAAAGCGTTTCCTGGGATCGACTTTAGCGAATCTTTCCACGAGGTTGCCTTTAGTTGGAAGCCAAAACGGATGGAGTGGTACGTGGACGGAATTTCAGTCTTCACAGCTTCCACACATTTTTACTCTGACTGGATTTTGAGTGATGAGACTAATGTGCCATGCAGTCGTGATAAATCTCTCTTTAAACAACCATTTCAACTGACAATGAGCATGTCGGTGGGTGGAGCTGCAGAGCTACTTCATAGTCAAGACACACCGCTAACCCCCGATGAAGCGATGCGTTGGGAAAAACCAATTTTTGAAATTGATTGGGTGAAAGTGTATCAACAGGTGTAGATGTTAATTAACGAGCATGTGCAGTTATGTCGGTAATGTTATAAGTTATATTATTTAGAAGATTATCCATAAATGTTACATGAATTATGATTACAAGATAAATGTACAAGTAATATATTCAAAAGGCAATAAGTGCATGATTGCAATTGCATTTAATTAACCGAAAGGGCAACAGATTCCTCCAACGTTGGAAAGGTCGATTAAATCACAATCATCACCTTTGACGCAAAATACCCCAGTCCTACAGAGTGAAAAAGTATTAATAAAACATAATTTTTAATATATATATGTGCATATTATGTAGAGTCTCACGCTCTGTACTGCATAAAGTTTTTTGGCTTGAGCTTGTAAGTCTTGGTCAGCCATTTAGTGAACTCTTTCTGCCAAAGTTTTGGCACGTCACCATTCTAATAATTTGTAAAAAAATAGATTTTCATTTATAATCCAAATATTAATTGAATGTTAAATGAGACTTTTACCAGAAACTGGGAAATCAATCTGTCTGGGATATCGCTAGCGGTGTAATTTAATGGAATGGGATTTGGCTTGAGTCCGAATCTTTGTTGCGCTTGTTTTTCACCGGTTTCAATTGGAAAAGGTGAAACTTGTGAGTTGTCAGTATCAAAGTACCACACGGCCAAATTCATCATCCATTCTTTCTCTGCAATAAATACATTCACAGCTCAAATCTTGGAGGAATCACTTTATTTTTTAAGTTGATGTGTACCTTCATTCGAAAGAAATCTGAAAAATTCGTCATATTCAGGCTGTACAAAAATGGGCAAAATTGCATTTGCAGAAACTGACGTTGGAGAAAGTTGAAGTACTGTGAAAAGAGAGCAACACAAAGCAAGCAAAGTACTGCACTTCATTGTTGACCCCTTGATAGGACTGTTGCAAAAAACAATATATTCGAAGAAAGCAACCCTTGAACCTTTGTTTTGAAGTTTAACGTTTTCTTAGGCAATGCAACTATTATTATTGATCAGGATGATGACCGTGTATTTACTACTGCGTCGATTGAAAGCTCTGGCTTTTATACGCCAATAAATTTATCGATACTGAAATATTGTGAACAAACTTTCTTATCATCTTGTTCTTGCTAATTACTTTGTTCTGTCGACATGCGGTCATACTCTTTACTGATGCAAATCATAATCAAACACATCTTTATTTATCACCGATCAGTAGTCGGTACTACAAAGCAATTACCCGTCTACATGTCTCAATGAAGGTACAGCGTCAAAATTGTGGTAAAAAACGTAAAGAGTGGCGTGGTTTGGAAATGGTGTGCAAATAATGATTTCCAGAATGACTTTATGATGCACCAGTATGTTTGTGGTCTGTCAAGTACGTCAATTATTTGCGACTCGACAACATTGGTGTGACATTAATGATGACTGAATGCCACTTGAGCTGATCATGGGATTACTTATTTGGGAATTATTCGGATATGTCAGTCATCTCAACGGTTTGCATGCATACGCATCGCATAAATCATGGAGTTCTTGTTATGTATTTATTATAACAGATCAGGAAGTTACTGCCAATGTCAATGTATACCTGGTGTTGATGATTTGTTTTTTCATTAACACATTGACTTCCCTTTCAATTCAACTGGGGATGGCCATGCAACTTGTGTAAGTTTATTTTCCTGTGGATGGCTTGTTATTTTTCAATATTATTATGCGACGGAGGAAATGTCTTTGTCTGTTGTTGTTGATAACAATTCACATGTATTGGTTTTGTTATTTATTCAATATTCCGATGAAGTAGTGTGAAAACGATGCGTTTTAGGGAATTCCCAGTCATGTCATTAACGAGCAAACCTTATTGGAATATTTTATGTGCATTCTCATATTTGCTGTTCTCTCTTAAAAATTTAAGTTCTATGACTGTATCGGGTCAGATAATTTAGAAATTAGAAATTTGTCACGTTAAAGATCTTGGAATATTTGGGTCTTATGGTCAACTAATTGGCGTATTCAATTCAAGCATGACGCGATGACATTATGGTTAAAGTCGTCATCACTAAAAGCGATCGTATGGGAGACGACAGCAATGTCAAACTTGGATAAGTTTCCGGCGTGTCTAAATTCGCCACAACAAGCGAGCACCATAAAAATAAAATAACCATCAATTGTTAGTTTTGTTAACATTTAACGCGCAGAATGTGACTTCATAGTTCTAATGAAACAAGGAATATGATATTTTCTTACATCATTGATATTTAAATAAGTTTTGGCATGATGTCCTTTCATCGAATTCCAGCCAACAACATTATTCAGCAGCCCAGAGTCGCTTCATTATGCTGATCTCAACGCCCAAAGTAAACCAATTAACACTTAAATGATAGTTTTAAGTCAGTTTTAACTGTCGAATGCACCTTGCTTGCCACTTGACTAGGCCACTTACTTCATCAGCACGGAAAAATGATGTATTGGAGATTCACTCGTATTTATGAGTCTTACAATGACCATTTCAGGGTCTTATGATTTGCAACACGATAAAAGGAAGACAATTATTTCAATTCCTCCTCAGTCTTTCCTACACCTCGCCTAAAACCGATCTAAAATGGGTAGTGTCCAGCTCATATTTTCGTAGACGCAGTCCTGTTATTTGCTCTTATCGAGACTGTATGGAAATTGGATTCTAAATTGTCCAGGTCTTCGTAATCAACGCACTATTATTTTCATAAGCAAATTTGGAAACATGAAGTTTCTGCAAAAATTGTTGGTTCTTTCTGCTTTAACAACAATTGTTATTGCACAATCATGTCCACCCCTCCAGCCTCCAGAGGTAAGCAAAATATTTAGTAATAGTGTCTTACAAATTAATTAGTATTAATTTTTAACGAAAAATTGATTAATCGATAACTCAATAAGTAAATCTTATGTCATGCTTCTAAATATGCATTTAAAACAGGGTGTGGTCTTTCAATGCATTGATTCCTCGAATAATGGGACTTTGGACTGCTTGTCCGGAAATATTACCAAAGGAGCCTTGGCACAATATCGGTGTAAAAATGAGAGTGATACAAATTGGGCAAATTCTACCATGAAGTGTTGTCGAGGGCGTTGGAAGGGACTCGACGCATTCAACGAGTTTGCAAATTCCTCGTGCAGCTCCCTTCCGATGATACTTCCTCAAAGTAGGTGCACTGGAAACATGTAACTCGTCGGGTTTTTAGGAATTTTAGATTACAATTTATTCCCTCACTTTTATTATTAAAGGTAATTCGACAGGCCCAGACGAAAATGAGTCATCTACACAACCGGTAAACACTGCTTGAGTTCGTTTCATTTGCATGCAAATTAGCAAGCAAACCTCAAGGTTACTTGCTTACTACTAGAGAAATTGCTTTGCATGCTGGTTAATTGATCGCTTTAAAAAATCATCTGAATCTTATGCGGATATTACGAAATGCAATACCGTGAAATACTTTTCATGGTCAGCTCTTCTTTTCTATGAAGGTCTTTTAATTCCAGTCTTGATAGCCCAATAAATATTCTTTAAATATAAACCACTTGTACCATTTTTTGTAGATATGTACATATATAAAATATATTTATTACTCTAAACAGACCAACATGGAGGGGAATGAAACATCATCCTCAACTTCTTCATCTACGGCTTTGGTAATTAAAAAATATTATTCTACATAAAAGCGAAGCGAGTTATAATTTTGTACACGTGCCCACAGACTTCCAACGATACTTCGAGTCCAGCCCCGCCAACAGGTAAGACAAGTGAATACCTAATTTATGTAAATAAATAAATAGGCAATATATAAAATAAAAATAACATAGGGAACACCACAAATAGTGGAAATTCTACGGATGTTGTGGGATCAACCGAGCCAACTATTGAGAAATCACGGGCAATAGATCTCACAAAGGGTGTCTCAAATTCCAGTGATGCTGGAAATGCAACTACTACGCCCCAATCTGACCCTGCATCAAACGCTTCTCTGCCACTTTCTCTTACCACTTCTGACAACTCTTCATTGACCACAACTCCTTCTCCGTCCGGCGATAATCTAAACGCATCTTTGTCTTCATCATCTCCTGCTCCTTCAGACCCTGGGTCAACCGTGTCAAATTCCTCTGACTCTTCTTCATCTTCCTCCTCAACGATTTCTTCTTTGGCAACAACAACCCCGATGTCATCCGAAAATTCCTCGCCTTTAACATCAGAGTCTTCATCAGGTTCATCGACAACACCTGCTTCAGGGAATGGCTCTACCAGTTCTAACGATACTTCGACACAAATGAGTTCCACTACTAGTGCTTCTACTGCTGACAATTCCTCTACAACAACGGCCGTATCCACCAGCTCATCACAACCCACACCGTCGAATTCATCCGAGACATCGACCACCGTACCATCAGTAGCAGGAGAAACCACCGGACAAATTCCGCCCACGAATACTACTTTAATTATTGATGACACAGAAAGTCGTCAGTCAAAGGATTTGAAACTTTCCCCAGGTGCAACCGGAAATGCTACAAAAAATGGAACTTCTGATAACTCCAACAGCACAGTGGAAAGATCGACTCCTGCAATACCGACAGTTGGAGCAAGCTTAACAATCACAAATTCTTCAACCGCATCCAATTCTAGCGGTGGAGAGTCAACGACTACACCATCACCTGCAAATAGCAGCACTACGTCCTCCTCCTCTTCCTCGGGGGCACCCTCTTCCTCGTCATCTGCGGCATCCGATTCTACATCGACCACAATTGCTCCAGAAAATTTAAGCAATGGAAATGGGAGTGCTGGAAGAGGAGATGGAAATTCCACCACAGGTATGCCTTGCAATTTTGCTTAAAAATGCATAATTATTGTGGTAAAATAATGTAAATTATATGACAGATTTTAAAACATTGGCCCTCAATCTGCATAATAAATTAAGAACGAGCCACCGTTGCCAACCATTAGTTTTGAATGAAACGGTATGTTTTAATGCAACTATGAATAAAATGAAGTTACACAGATTGTTTCATAAATACGATTATTCTTATAATTTAGCTGAACCAAATAGCTCAAAGCTGGGCTGAAAATCTTATGAACCAAAGCAAATTAGTGGCTACGCCAGGAAAGCGATCGTATTCTGAAAATCTCTTCAAGATTTCCGGTGGCGACAAAATCTCAGAAACTGAAGCTATTGAAGGTGCACTGAAATCTTGGTCATCCAGTAAAAGCTGGTTTAACTACACCAACCCCAAGCCAACTGGTGAGAAATAAAGTGTTTGAACTGATAAAATAAAATAACTTATCTAAATAAATTGACTTTATTTCCATTTTTACGTTGCTTTAGGTTTCAGTCAAATTCTTTGGAACGCCACAACCCAGCTTGGAATTGGTTTGGCAAGTGGAAATGACTCTACCATCGTGGTGGCAACTTATTATCCTCGGGGAAATATTGTCTCAAAGGCGGATCCTAATTTTTACTTTAAGAAGAATGTGTTTCCAGAAATCAGCAATGCAACACAGGTTTCTCCCGTGACTGGAAATAGCACGTCCACCACTGACGGACAAAATACGTTGACAAATAATTCAACAACTACCACCTAAAATCTATTATTTGTCATGTGCCTATATTTCATTTCGATGTACGATCGAGCCATCGTCAACTTTTACATCCCGTATTTCTTATAAAAAACTTGAAACTAAAATTATCATTTGACAAATAATACAAAAATAATTCATCTGTTTTGACATTTCATTGGTTGTGGTTGGCTCTTATTCCTCAAAAATCTCAGAGTCTTCCATTTCATTTATCGATAACTCAGTTTGAGAGCGTTTCTGCTTCTCCGCCCTACGATTTTGAAGCAGATCATTGAAGAAATTGCGACGAGGATCTATGAATGCACAAAAATAAATTCAAATTCCTTGTTTGGACATATCTTGTGAACCTAAAAGTTAGAGGGCTGTAAAAAATAATCTGTTACCATATCCTGACACCTCCTGCAGAAACGTCATAGTTTTCTTGACATCTCGTTGAATGCTCCAAGTACTGTTGTGAACACTATTGGGTCGCTCTCGGTGTCTAATTACGATTTTCCTCCACAAGTCAAAGTATTTTCTCCTGAGCATAATAACACGATCTTCTTTTGCTTTCCTTAATGCATGGCATCTTGCTGAAAATTAAAAATCATACATACGAAAAATATTTAAAAAATATTAAAAATCATTTGAACATACTTTTTTCTATACAAATAAAATTAATGCATTACATTGGTTTTGTTCCTTATAAATGATGTGTTTCCTATATCTTTCAATCCATTCCACTTTCTGTAGTTGTCGTTTGTCATCCATGTCCTTTAACAACTCCAGCGCTTGTTGGTCTCGTAATTGTTGTGTCAAAAATGCCTCGGCATCTTAATTTGTTTAAAATAGCAAGATTTTCCAAAGATATTCTTAAGTATTTATACAGAATTATTAAAAATCATGCAATACGTGTTGCTCTTTGAAGCCTCGCTCTCGAACTGGGCGCTGAGCCAACCTCTCCTCCCTCTGAATTTCACGTTTCATGACGTCCCCCAACAATTCTTTATTTCGTACGACGTTGTCAACCTTACGTTTCTGGCGAAGGTACCAGCTTCGATAATGTTGAGCTGTTTGTCGTTGTGAGGACTTTACGAGTTCGAGATGCTTACGCTTCTCGATAGCATTGAGTCTTAGTTCCCATTTTCCAATGTTTTTTTCTATCCTCATTACTTGATTGAATGACAGATCCTCCTGCGTTTTCCGAACTTCGGCCAATTTGTCCATGGGAAGTATATCTTTTAACTTTGTTGAAGGAGGTGGTTTCTGAACTTCTAGCGCAATACTGTGCATTACGTCCTAAATATAATATGCAAAATATAAATTTTCAAGTATGAAAAGTTTTAGGTAAATATTTGAATTTTTAAATCACTGAATTGATCAATTCCTTGTCAATAATTTCTTTCTGCAACGAAGCCAAATGTGAACGGAACTGGTTGTAATGTTTTGCACTGCAGATAACTTCATTTTTATCGTTGACTAGATTATGTTTCTTAAGTTGACGGCGAGCATTCTCGTTATTACGAAAGTACTTTTGTACATGTGGATCATGAAGAGAAGTGTAGTCCGGCATTTGAACTGCGAGTCGTTGTCCTTTCGGATCGGTCAGATCAAACTCCTTTCGTGGTACATGTAGCTTATCCAAAATAATTTTTCATTATGTTCATTACTCTGGTTAATTAAAGTTAAGCTCTCAATACCGGTTGACATAATTTTCCACGTGTGAAGTATAACGACCCCGGAGGCCACGCCTGCGCCCGCACGTCGGGCACTTTGGAGTCAAGGGGCAATCGATTCCATAATGGGAAAGGAGAAAGTCGCTGCATATGTTGCTCAGGTTTTGAAATGGATTTTAGATGATCAATCTTATTGAATTTGACGCACATTCTGCACAGTTAGATAGGTCAATAAATGAGTTGTTTAGAAATTTTTGATGTACGTGTGTATTTATTTATTCTGACAACGTGTAACATACCGAAGATCAATAGGAAGGCTGTTCATGAGTGTTCTGGGACTGACGTCGCCCTTTGCACATAGTGACCAGTCCATTTCTTAGTTATTCTTTCGTGGAAAATATGTGTACAGATATGTAGCGTTCGTTCTTGGCACTCGTTTGTTCAATCGTTTACTGACAGAGCGACAAGGGATCTATCGGTTCGTTGCTGGTGGGGCTTTTCATATTAAATAAAAATCGAAATTAAATGTACATATGAGCCATTTAACAAAAAACTTGATTATCAAGCAATTTCATGGATATGGGAATTATTTCATGCAATGCATCAAACTTGTTACTTTGCATAGAGTTCAAGTTAAATCTCTAAGTGACAATCCTACTTATGTATACTTACTTACATGCATAAATAAATGTCATATAAAAAGATAAATTATACCCCGTGTATAATATCTTCTTTATTAAATAAAATTACGAGAGAAGTTTCAAATTATTTACTCAAAATATGTTGAGTGTAATTTAATACAGATTTCAGATACGTATATACATACATTTACTGACAATGGAGGTCTCCCAACGTATGCTCACAGATTTGGACCAAACTAGTGTCAATCGATCACAAATTTAATTAGTATGAAATTTGCAAATGGAACTATCTGCCAATGCGCAGGTTTTGCGGAGATATTTGCATTCAAAGCAGAAAAAATGTGCAGGAAATTTGGAAAATGAAAAATATGCCAGCCTTTTGGTGCGTTTTCTCCTCTTTTTATGCAAATATCTCCGCCAAACCTGCGCATTGGCAGATAGTTCCATTTGCAAATTTCATACTAATTATATTTGTGATCGATTGACACTAGTTTCGTCCAAATCTGTGAGCATACGTTGGGAGACCTCCATTGTGAGTTATTTTACTGAATTTTATTGTTATTTTGTAATAAATACAATATGAGAGCTAAGTAAATGTATTTATTTGTACACACAACACAATATTTTGTTAAACAATAATGTTTGTTATCAGGGGTCATGTTGTGATGCCTCGTAAATAGATTTTCGCAAGAAATATAAACAATTAAAAAATAACGCGCAAAATACATATTTACATACAACGCTAGTCAGATTTTACGTTTGGAGATCGAGTTGAAACACTTTCATCGTCAGACTCAACATATCCTAAATTAGAATTGAATGAAATTGGAAGTGCTACGTTATTTTCACAGGCGTTGCTACTTGCAGTGCTCACAACTATATTTTTTCTTTTCTGGACCCGACAGCAACTATTGTTGACACATTCTGCATCTTCATCATCGAAAGGACATGTGAGGAAGCAGTCCGATCTCGTGTCACTGTCACAGTCTCCCTGAATATCTGAATCTGAGCCGCTGTCTCCGGACACCACTTGAGAACCATTGTGTGAATTTGCGAATTCCAGTTGGATTGTAGTCGAATGGATGCCTTCATTATGGAAGAATTCCTTAACCTCTTCGCCAATTCGCATAAAGTCGGCCTGACTGTTGCATAAGATGTGGGCTGAGGCTATGATTCTATTTCCAGAGAGTTGCCAAATGTGGAACTCGTGAACTTCATGTGCCCCACGAACTTTTGAAAGTAGCTTATTTTTTAGCTCATCGATTTGAATATGAGTTGGGACAGTTTGCAAAAGCACCATTGAAGATTCGACGAATAAGGGCCACACCGAGCAAACTATCAGTATCACCATGAGAAGGCTTAGCAAAGGGTCTACATACATCCGGTATTCCCACTCCGTTAACCAGATCACCAAAGATGAGACGATAACGATTACTGAACCTAAGGCATCAGCTATTTTGTACAAAATAAACCGGACAAAATTTAGAAATCCATAATCTTTTAAATCTCATCATCATTTGATCTCATCATCTTACCTAACACGTGTAGAAACACTCCATGCATGTTCATTTGCGTAGCAGAAGATGACTTTGGTATCTCTCCAAGTTGTGTTCCAGGATTCTCACTACTACACTTTGAAGGATTTGAAATATCTGAAGGCGGAAGTGACGTCCAATTCACGAGGTCAACAGGTTCCGTTTTGTGCTCGTGCTCCAAAGTTGAATCAGGCAAATTAGAAGTGTGTTGTTTGTGAGAATGGTGACTTTTTTTGTCATGTGAGTGACCATGACCTCCTCCCCCTCCACCATGAGAGTGTCCGTGCTCATGGAAAAGCACCAAGCCTATTAAATTGACTCCTAGACCGACCGATCCTACCACTAAAATTAATTTCGGGTCTTCTATGTCCTTTATGTTGATGAACCTTTCCAGTGATTCCGCCACAATTGTGAAGCAAAGAGCAACCAGAAAAACGGCATTGACCAAGGCGCCAAGAACTTCTGCCCTTGCCCAGCCAAATGTGTTTTGATTCCATTTTTTTGGACTCATTCTTACGGCGATGAAAGCGATGACCAGAGAAATAACATCACTCAGCATGTGGAAGCTGTGGATATTAATTTCAGATTAGTATACATATGTAATTATGAAATTTAATTGGGAGAGAATTTAAAGGTATGCGACAGACACGGAACACAATTAGTTCAAAAAGTCTATTGTATTAGCTATAATTAAGTAATTTTAATGATTTACCTGTCTGCAACCAATGCCACAGAGCCCGTCATATATCCCACGACGATTTCAACCAGGAAATATCCAAATGTTAAGATAAGCATGCATATCAACCGGACTCTGTTTCCTTTGTTCGCTTTTCTTAGTTTAGATTTCTTTTCTTTTGTGTGATCCTTTTGGAAGGAATTTATAGTGACTTGAACTTCGTTTTTGTCTTGCATTGTCTCACTTTTCACTTTTACAAAGTGAGAAGTGTCACTTGAACGAATATTGGGTTGCAGCCAGTTGCAGGTAGAGAGAGGATAGTGGAGTCGCAGGAGTAACAGGTGTACGTTCTTGGCTGCTTGGGAGGCAAGTTGAGACTTGTGATTAATTAATTTGTATCAGGTCTGCATAACTGCAGCCCAAAATTAAGACAGATCAGTATCACGAATGACTGATTAATTTGATCTCTGTATGCAAGTACTTAATTGATTCCACTACCCATTAAAGTCTACAATTGAATGAGAGATAAGTGAGTATTACTTGTACCACAAACTTCAATGAAATACGTGCACTGCACACAAGTTTTCCAGCTTAAATACAAATGCAATAAAGTAACGTGTTTTTTGTTGTTCCTGTCACAAGTATCGTGTGCAAACGGATCAACGAGTCCCAGTGATTCCCAAATCAAAAGTCAATACTTGCAATGGATTACTAGTCTGCATTGGTATTACTGTAGCACAGAATTCCATAAATTATGAATATATTTACAATACGTCATTCCGGATTGAAATATATTTTTCCGTTAAAATGCTGGCGTTTTAAAAGTGCGATAAAACTTGTTATTAACTGTTTTATGTACATACATACAACACTTTATGGCACAGAACGACACATTACGCGTAGTTTTAGATTTTGACTAATTCCTTGTGAAATTAACTTTGGAATAAACATGTGTATGAGCAGACTCCAGTAATTCAGAGTGCACGAAAGAATTCTGAGATTACGATGTTTGGCTTAATGTCAATTTACTTGTGAGTAATTCATTTAACTTCACACTATTGACAATACCACTTAATTCTATTCTCTGGGTTTTCGCAGCTAAAATGCTAATGAGGAAATTGCGCCTAGAGCGTGTATTTATTTTATCTTTTGACACATGCAAACCATATATTATTATGATACACTCGTAATACATAAATATCATTAGGTCTGGCTGGACAAACCAAGAAAGCAAAATGGAATAAGTTTAACATATATTTGCATGCTTTGTGGTTATCCTCGGCCGCAAGGTATTAAATTTAAATACTTGGTGGCATATCGAATAACATTCAAGTATTAAATTACAGTAGTTGTTTGTTTAGCAAGGCGTATTATACTCTTGCTTGAGGATGCGTATTCTCATCATCGCACTAAAAAATCAGCAACCAAGTTGACATGCACATTGGTTGTCTGCATTCCATTCTCAAGCATTATGCTATTATTTCAGGTCCTAATATGTTTGTGTGGTTAAATTGAGGAATTTTCTTGTAGTGCAGAAAATGGACCTCAGGATGATAGTTATTAATCGCTATCGTACATATTATGTTCATTATTATGTTCTAACACCAAGACATAGGAAATCATAATCGCAAAATATATGCAAATCCGGTTGACAGTGAGTCACTTGTACAAGTGCCTGAACTCACCGTGCGTTTTAACTGCACCAACAATAGAATAGCCACTATGGCGTCCTTGGTGGCACCTATTTCCTTAATTCATAATTTTATCGCTGAAATCTCATCCAATGTGTTGTGTGAGCTATTTTCTAAGTCGAAGAGTATGTGAGCTTGCACATGATACTTGAATAAATTCCAAACCAGGATCAGGAGTGGGAAAAAAATATGAAGCAAAAAAGTCTTACATAAAATTGCTATATTTCAATCAGTGACCAGAAGGGTTTGGTTTCAATGTAGGATCCAGATCCAAGACATAAATTGTGAGAAGAACTGGACCACTTTTGCACGCGACTTGGTCGTGTTGTGAGAAAAACAAGTAAATTCAATAGTTGTTTTCGTAGTGTTCCAATAAAAGTATTGGAATTTCGCAGGTATGATTCAATTAATAAAGTGATGCAATCTATGTGTTATGTATGTATATAGTATCAAACGGTTAAATGTGGAAGAGATACATATACACATACATATCCACATGTGAAACTACTTAAATGAGTGATGTCTGGTTTCTTATCGTATGAAACAATCAGGCCATTTCCAGCATTCTAGACTACTAAATTCCAAGTATGCTCAATTTTCCTAGTACGAAGAGGTTATTATGTACGTAACTACTTGTTCCGACTTATTGTCGATTTATTCTTATCGTCGTTTCAGTAATTAGTGTACCTAAATATCCTCTAAAATTGAATCATAATTTTTGTCACATATCATTCATTCGACACAACCCTCGTTTTTCATTCATGCAGTAAATATCATACAACAACCTACAGCTATTATAAGTGTCGGGATGCGGCAAAAAAATGAAACTAATACTAAAGTAATTAGATACTCAGAATTTTGTTACTCAATAAATTTGTATCTCAATTTACATTGGAATGAGAACAAATACATGATTTTGCGCTATGTTTTTGTAATTGCGCACGGCACGGTAGCAATTGATTGTACGGTTATGTAATTATGCAATACGTGAGAATGTACACGTTTGTCCCACCGATATTCAATTTATTCGGATTAGAACATATCTGTAAATGTGTTTACAGCTTGCGAAACATGGAAAACGTTATTCAATTTTTACACAATTACAATACGAAGCAGTAGGAACACGGACAAATCAAATACGAAGAACTTTGTCAGCCAATTCACTCATGGAAATCCACTTTAGACCTTTGACCTCCTCGATCATTCTCCCCTTGTAGAATGCTCTGGTCGTTGGAATGCTTTTGATACCGTATGCTTCCTGCAATTCTGGAAGTGCGTCTAAATCAACTCTGGCGAGGTAGAATGACTCACTGTTTTCTTTTGCCATTTTTTCCAGTTTCATTTGAAGCCGTGCACACAAAGTGCAAGATCTACACCAAAATAATTAAGTGAGTTATCAATGCACAAGCCATTTTGATTAAATTATTCTTGTGTAAGTAGTGTTCATTACCCTTTGCTGTAATAAACAATCACGGGTTTTCTATTCTTCAAAACGGCTATTTCAAAAACTTCTGGGCGATAGATGTCAATCAAATTGGCAGTTTTCGCAAAAGTTTCCAATTGTACAGAAACCAATAGGAATACTACGCATATCTGCAGGAAGCTATGACTTGAAAATTTGTTCATGGTTGAGAATCTTTTTACTCAAAATATTTAGGATGAGATGTATCCTTGTCACTTTGAGTTAGGATGCGGAATAGCTTCCTAATTAGAAGTATTATAGCTTTTATACCATCTTATCAATTTTACCCAACATTGGCCCTTTGTAGGATTGCATGCATTTTATGTATTTGTGCATATTAAGCGAGGAGTTCATTCACTTTTAAAGCATATTGTAGCTTGATACCCGTATCAATAAATATGTATGCAGCAAATTAGGAGAGGTTTATAGTTCATTAATCTGTAATGTAACACTTTGGTTTCAAAGCTGACACAAACTTGAATCTTGTCTTTGAAATGTACACGATTTCCTCATAACTGCACGAGCAATGTGTAGCTATCTGCCTCGTACGTCAGGTTGTACGTACGATTTGGGAGTACATATGTATGTAAAGTATTATGCCCAGCAGAATTTCAATGTGTTGGGTCAACATGGACCTAATTGTTAATATGATAGCAATATTATCAAAAACACTGAAAAGCTTATTAAACATCAACAAACGCAAAAGATCAAAGTACTTCCACGAATTGTGCAAATAACAGACCCATGTCCATCATTAAGTGGAATGATGTTAACCAAGGCAGAACACGAAATCGAGACAAGGAGTGTCTCAGCGTCATATTATGTTAAATACCTTTCGTTTCATTTAAAAAAACTGAACCGATCTCATCTTGTGTTTCGTCTTAACATGATTAATGCATTATGAATTTGACTTATTATTTGTATGTATTTTAACTTATGATTTCTTATGCATTTTACTTTATGATGATTGAACTAATCTCAATTCCATGATTTGACTAATATAATTAGCTATCTTTTTATGTAAACTTACCTTTTTCCTCTTTACTCAAGTCAGTATATGTACGTTACACAAGAATTGTGTCTCAAGTCGCCAGTTTGTCGCTGGACTTTTGAATGTATAATATCGTTTTATCAGTTCATTGTCGTGTCCTTTAAAGTTCAAATATTTTCCTCTCTTTGCGTTCCTTCTCTACATTTCTATTGGTTAACTGACTATTTAAGTGTGACGTACATAAACTTATAAATACACCTCGAACTCAAGTTCACCTTGTCAGTCGCTCAGTATCATTCGGTCATTTTCCATGTAATAAGTATTTCTAAATGTAGTAAATTATCTGACCCAAGAAAGTAACCAAGTCTCAATTCACCTCCTCATTTACTTCAACTTTGTCGACAACTTGTGCATCTTACCATCCCTGCATAAAGTTGTAAAATAGTGTTGCACTCACGAACATCTTGACTTGAAATGAGGAAATACATCAAATCTGAAAAAAGATGAAGTTTTGCACGTATAATAACCAGATTTTCGTCATTTAATGCACGACCTCAAATGAAACATAGGATAATCTGCCCTGTTCGGACATCGTTCAGTTGTGTATCACTCTTAGGCACGGTGCCATTAATAACAATTCATTGGTTCTATTCTAGTGGTTGATATCATCACATTCACATTTGGGGACTGGCTTACTTACTACCTGATCTTGGACTGGGGAGTGGATTTACATAATACGCTTGACTGTTGGGGGCACGCTGTCTGTCAAAATCTCAAAATCCGTTTACGGTAAAGATGGCATTATATTAAACTTGATTTCCCTGTAAAAAAAAAGTGATACACACAGGTGCACAATTCAAAGACGAAATGATACGTAATAAATTAAAACTGATGGAGGAGAATGACCGGCCGGCCGGATTCTCTGACAATGTGTACGTATAATAAGGGATCCAGAAGACGAAACTCTCCGCACTTTAAGTCAAGCATCTGAAGAGGGAAGAATTTCGTCTTTCGGAGATATCATTGTTTTATTTATTCGACATGGGGAAGCTACCTGTAATCTGCATTTTGGTTGCCTTTTTGGCAGTGGCTTCCGTTCATACGAAAACGGCCAATGTGATTGACGTTTACCGAAAGATGATTTTTGAGCCGGCAGTGGTGAGGAATAATAAACCCGTCGTAGTCTTCTACTATTCCTCGAGGTACGTTGATAGCTAAATTATCCTCAATCTGACATGTCATAACATGTAATTTGTTTGTTAATTACATAATTGCAGCCAATGCAAACCTTGCAGCTGGAGCATATTGCCAATCGTCAGGCCTTTAGAATTTTATTTTTTATCAAGGAAGAATAACTCTGAATAATTAATTCATTTGTTTTTCGTTTTGTACTTTCAGCTTGAGAAAATGGTGAGACGTAAAAGCGAGTCAATTTACTTGGCCAAAGTGGATTTGGACAAAGTACCCGAATTTAGAACTGAACACGCTATTGAGACTCTGCCCACAGTGATGACCTATTTCAAAGGGGATGTCATGGACTATGTCGAAGGACTTAACTGGGGACCCATTGTCAAACTTGTAAATGAAGCTGCTCGTATGAAGTGATTAATTTATCATTATTAGAATTAATTAATAAAAATATCACAAAATGGCTTCACATACATTTTCGTACTTTCATTTAAATTATTATCATTCCGGCCAAATTTTACTGGCATTTGAGTTGACTTCCATTGACTTGAATTCATTAACAAAATTTTTATTTATTTAATCTTACACGTTACATGATAGGCCGATAATATAATGACATGTTTTATCATTCTCTAAAACTACGTGGTTTAACAAATAAAATTCATTGTACTTACAATTCTATGCGGTTGCCTCATTGTTAAAACTGATGGATAGTTCGTTCATGACAACAATTTTGTTTAAATCATCAATTATATCCGAAAGCGGACCATGAGATTCAAGTTGATGTAAAGTTGGTTCTTTTGGTTTTGATCGCTTGAGCAGTATCGATGAACGTAGGGATGAACTGTAAATCATAGACCAAAATAATTAGATTTGTGTAAAATAAAGGCAGCATCCTGCACGTACCAGCGCTTCAATAATTTTTGGAAAGAAGTAATTTTCTTGGGTTTCTGTACTTCAGTTGAAAGGACTTCAGTTGACTCCTTTAATGTATAACCCCAAATAAAGAAACTGTTCAACTTCCTGTGGCTTAGGATAGATTTGATAACGTTCAAATTCACTCCAAACGCTTGATATTGCAGGGATAGTAAAGTAATGTTGTTGTTCAAAAGTCGAAGTTTTCTTAGGTTAATTAATTTCCCAAGGGCAGTACTGATTTCAGAGGATTCCAAAAATGGGCCATCAATGGAAAGTTCAACCAAACTTGTGGGGAGCAAATCCAATCTTTGCAAAAAGCAGGATGATTTTCTCAAGTAGAAAATTGCAAGGTTTGGCATTTCGGAAAATACGGAACATGAAATGCTAATGTACAGCTTGTCCTGCCTTGAGGACGTCATTCCCATATTCGATTCCAATTGACTGTCCGTCAACGTGAGGAGTTGCAGAATTATTAGACTGTTCTTGTTATGGAGAAGAACTGGCAATAGGACCTCGGTGAAAAAAAGTTCGAATGGTGACATCCAGACGAGGCGAGTAAGGTGACCGACCTCTCCTCGGCTCCGGAGTAATTTTACCCAATAGTTTTCCAGAAATGAATCTCCAACATATTTTTGGTTTTCTTCGTCCTGTGGGTTAGCCCAGAAGATAATGTCCAATTCTTCAAGTTGTGGAAATAGGTTGCGGCCTTCGGATAAAGCAGCGTCGTGAGATATGGAAAGAGCATAGTCGAGCATTGTCCTCACGCTAAGATGCTCAAGGGTGGATGAGTGTCGGTTAAGAAAGGTTTCCAAAGCGTTATGCCACAAGGATATTCTGGTCTTGTTGCGAACTTTTGCTCCTCCGCACATGTTAACGAATGCGAATTGCTGGAGGGAAAACGATTGTATTGTCCGGAGGAGAAAGAGAACTCGATTACGGATGTTTCGTTCCTCATTGTAGAACATATTGTTCTCATCATACGTGTCATCTGACTCAAAAACTCTTGGTCCCATTGATGAATAAAATGTTTTGGGAGCAGAAATCTTGAGTCCTCTCAACGTCTTTGTAGTGACTACTTCTGGAATGTGATAAGTCAAATCTAGTCCAATTGGGAAAACTTGAGACTCCTCGAAAAAACTGTCCATCTCGAAAACTAGTTTTGTTTCAGTTTTAATAAGTCTTCGGATGCCAGCCATGAACATGTTGTAATCTTGAAGGGGGTCGTTGATTTCACTTGGAGGAAATTCTGCATCTGACGAGTCCGGTTCGGAGTCCACTGAGGAATCAGGAGTGTGACATCCTGGTTGGAGATTCTGCGTTTCTGTTTCTGGGTTTTTGTCCGAGCCAATATTTAAAGATTTTTGAAGGATTTCTTTTGACTTTGACCATTCAGATAAAAGTTCTTCGAGTTCACCGTTATGGCCGTCGTGAGGGGGAGTGGTAAAAGCGTCAGTGGTGGAACTATTCAAAATGGGATCTCCGCCTTCACCGCACAAGACGTTAGTTGCCTGGAAATCTGGAAGGTTAATAGGATTACTCTCAGCTAAATCAGGGGTTGGGGTGCTGATATCTTCTCTTCCTGATAATTCAGCGTCTCCTCCATGATGCCTCCTTGGCAGGGGAAATGGAGTCGGAATTGCGTGAAACATTTTGAATATAGATGTAGTATACTTAAAAATAGTCTGCAGTGTGCTTTTTAGAAAATCAAGGCGAATCCGCTCTGATGGATATATAATTTATTCTTGGGTTCTGTTTGTACTCAAAATTGCGTTAAATTTAGAAAACCTCAAAATAAGAAAAAAAAATCTCCATTGGTAATATATTTACTACTCGTATGAATGTTTCTGCGTGATATCTGCACTTTATCACTCTACGATAGAGTGATAAAGTGTCAAATGATCTTGAAATGTTCGCATATTGTGCATTTGTCATTTGTAGAATAATACAAAATTAGTTCTGTGGTTTGTCCGTGTCTCAGGAGGGACACAACCAGTGCATAAGTCCTGACTCCGGTTAAAAAATATTTAATCCCTGTTAATCTAAATTCATGACACTCATATCGTTAAACGATTTGGTTATGTATACATATGTACGCGTCTGTCTACACAACTTTAGTCATTTAATGCATCTGTTTTACCCAATGCTGCGAAATCTGTAATACTCAGAAATATCTATAAATCAAACTTTTGTAATGTGAATTAAATTCCAGTGAATGGTTACAATTTTTGTGGTTATTTTAACTTTAATCGATAAATATACATATGTAATATAAGTGACGCTTGTACTCGACCACATCAAATGTTCCTATGAAATGAAGTGCGACAACGTTCTAAGTAGAATTCAATCAATTAATAGATTGTATTGAAACGTCAAGTTTCCAGAAGTTTTGTATTAGTCAACAATTGGTGGCAGATATATTTATAAACTGTTGAATAAGCATTCATAAGCCGCTTGATAAGGTTTAACGATATGTGGATCATATCTTACTTTTTTCAACTTCTCGCTTAATCTTGATTGGTTACGAGTACAGATTCATTTTGTCACAAACTAAACGCTGTACATTAAAATAAGGCAAATATATTAAATCATTATATGTACCAATGCAAGGTATTTGTCAAGTGATCAAGATAAAGTATCAGATTTGTGTGCCCTAACCTTGGACGATAAAATTGCCAGTTTAAAATTGGATGCACCGAATTACAATTAACTAATTGAGTTTTTGACATTGCTGCACAATGAAGTTTTTCTGCAGTTTATTGTTCTTATCGGCATCATGCACGTTATGCATGGGATGGACGGGAACTGTTGTATTTGAAGACAATTTCGACGGTTCGTCTTTGGATACTATCAAATGGGAATATCAAGAAGGCTGTGGGACTGGTATACTATATCCTAATTTTTATTTTATTTAACTGTGCATATTTGTTAAAATTATGGATTATGTACATTTATCCCACAGAATTCGGTTCAGGAAACCTTCAATGTTACACCCGAAACAATGTTCGAGTTGCGAACGGAAACTTGGTAATTGACGCTCGACGACAGAACATGGAGGACAAAGAGTACACTTCAGGTCGCATCAGACAACGGGGTTTGGGATTCTTGTACGGTGCATATGTCATCAGAGCCAGGTTGGCACGAGGCGATCATCTTTGGCCAGCGTTATGGCTTCTGCCCATCAACAACGAGTGTCGATATGAAGAGATCGATATTGCCGAGTATCGTGGCCAGGCAGGAGAGGCGAGACAGTTGGAAATGGCAGGTCACTGGGGTCGCAGTTGGGATGCTCTGACATCGAGAGGTGTCAAGAACACAATTCCTTGGGATTTGAGTACCGATTTCCACGAGTTTGCCGTCTTGTGGCTCCCTTCTAAAATCGAGTGGTATATTGATAACCAGAAATATTATGAGGTATCCCTTGTCGATGGCACGTTTAACTCCGATCCGGCCAAATTGCCATGCCGTGGAAGTACCCAACCCTTTGACGAACCAACAAATTTCATATTTAATATCGCCGTTGGGGGACCATTCTTTGCGGATTTTCCAAACTTTGACCCCAACACTTGGTCGAAACCAAGTATGGAAATTGATTGGGTTAGAATCTACCAGGAATAAAAGCTATATAAATATTGAAATCTAACACCAACACCAACTATTGTATTCGTTATATATTCTTAAAATTCGGCATAATATCTGTAAATTGAAATAAATAAAAATGTGTATGTGTATCACCCTCAAAACCCGTACAAATCACCCTCATATACATTTCAATAATATTTGTTGTTTAGTAATAATAAATATACTTATCAATGCTCTCGTTATCATCACCGATACTGGGTATATGACTCATGATGGGCGTTGATAAGGTTTATATTACTTAAGTACACAGATGTTCGTTAATCTCTGCTGGAAAAGTTTTTTCGTACAAAAGTACACATTTTCACACGGAAAAATAAATGGATTCATTTAATAACGGGTCGGTGTGGTATTCGAAATTAGAATCTGAAGTCTTGCTTACAGATCTTTTTGGAAAACTAAGCAATTTTCCGGAAAATGAGAAAGCAGTATGTATTTTAATACTTATTATAATCACTGTTATCATACCATGCACTGTCTATTGATTTGTTGACTTAAAGAAAGTGGTCACTAGCTGGCTGGCTAATAGTTTTGCTGACTTGACAAACTCTGGGTCTCAGCCTCAATCTGATACGGGGAATTGTTTTGTGGTTCATGTCAAGCTGGTTAACAATTTGGTTAACAATTCTTCAAATGAAATTGCTCAAGAACTAGCAGACCTGTTTTCAAATGATTTTCTATACGCATTTGTGAAGCCAAGTTTGCTGGATGTAAGAACGCGTATTGCATTAAAGTTGAATCATAAAAAAAACTTTTCATTATTCGCTTAAAAAATTATTTGAAAAACACCTCAGCATGGAGATGGTCCTGCTCTGGCGACTAAATACTTCCAACTTGTCTGTGAAAACATTACGCAGCCATTGTTAATTCGCAAAGTGGTTACTCTCGTGATAGTTTCCTTGCTGCCGACGCTCGTTACACGTCTCAAGAGCAATGATTCAGAGGTATGCAAATATGTACATTGGTTTAATCACGAAAATTTGTTTACAAATTTTAGATTTGAAACAATACAATCTGAAATAAATTCAGGTGCTAAGTTCTACGTTGGGACTTTTTCGGTCACTTCTTGAATTTTACTGTGAAGATATTTGGCATGATTTGCTTCTTCAATATCTTCTCCCCATGAAGCATCTAATTGTATCAGAGAGGCAAAAGGCAATTCCCGAAATAAATTTTCAAGACTCGACAATTAGATTTATCGACAGCATTCCAACCTCCATTTATGGCGCAGTGAGTCAGGATTCTCTATCTGAGCACTTTGTTGTGTACATCGAACAAGAACTACAGAGGATCCGCTCCACGGACATTACAATTTCAGCAACTATTCCGCTGTCAAGGTCTCAAGTTACTGGTATCCCTTTACTTGATGTTTTTGATGTCAAGGAGGATGTAAGTATGAACCAAAGTAATCGCGGTGTAGCAGAAGACAATAATTCTAGAAACGTTATGTTTCCGATGTGGGTTTTCAAGTACGATGGAACCGACGTAACTCACGTGTCAAGGTATAAAATTTATAAAATAAATACCCAAGCTCAAACAAACTCAATACTTTATACACATAAAATGATTTTTTTTCCTTTAACTGCTTTTTAAAACGCAAGGAAATACAAGTTATCTGAACCCGAAGAGTATTTTGAAGACGATTTTTTTCAATTTTTCAACAAAGACAATTTGTCGAATATTGACGAAGAAAGCCGTCCTTTATCTTCAATGCGGTTGCCAGAAGATCCTGGAGAAGCAATCCGGGTGTACGCCGAACCAGTGACTTTGCTGCATATCAGACCACCCAATCCAGACCCTGCCAGCACTAGTTTTCAGTCCTGGAAGCCAGTCAGCGAAGATCAAGGTTATCTTGGACCATTTCTTGAGTCATTGTTTCACATACTGGATAAATGGACCCGTCTGGAACCGGAGGTTCTCCTCGCAATATCCGATATATTTTCGGTTCTTGCTTCAAGTCGAATTCCTCTGATAAGTTCCATCCTGCTAGACTTTTCAGTCGTGTTGCAACCATGCTTCCCAAGTTTTCATAGTGTCATCCATTCCATTAAAATAAGGCTGGATGGCTCCTTGAAAAAATATCCTGATACGTTTATCCAAAAAGAGTGGAAAAGAGCAACGAATGGTGCAAACAACATGCTCAAAGATGCCGGAAGCGAAGATTTATTTCACAATCCTGCAGATTCATTTACAGAAACTTTGCGGTTAAAAATCTTGAAGAGCAGCCTATTTACCAATAGGTCTTCGACTACAAATAAGTTGGCAAAATTATTTAGCCCAACTCCTGAAAATAGGTAGTTGAAAATGATACTTGTGTTGACTATGAACTGAAAAATCACTTATCTTACTTACATGCACTACCAACTACCAATAAATTGTATTATAGAATTTTACAGAATTCTGGATCTTTGTTCGGTAATGAAGAAGAAGAATTAATTGCAAGAAAATCAACGCTTCGCTGCATTATTTTCGCTCACTGGATGGTATATGCACTTATCCTAATAATAATTCAAGTTTATAATAATTTTAACAATGTAAATAAATTTTGTATAGCTGGAGTTGTCTGCTATTGCTCAACAGTCATGCTGGTTTCAATCTCGACAAAATCAACGGCAAAGGGAAGATGATGACCAATTTTGAGACACATTTTTTCAGCGACATAATTACTGCAAAAAAATACGGCAAGTTATGCAGTGAGAAATTTGCACTTTCCAATAGACTTAGTTCCCCCTCATTGTTTTCAGTGGATTGATTATCTTTGTAGCGTGTGACATGTTCAAAGTAGTATGAGAACGGATTCTTTTTCAATAAAGAGTGTTTCCTGAAAGGATATTATGATGAGAGTGCAAACCTCTCTTTCTTATCTAATTCCTATTCAAAAAAGCACAGCTGCATTACCACACACACATATCTGTGGATACACACATGCACAATGACTGGTGCATATTCGCATACTCAGCCCTTCTTACGTATGTATATGTATATTTACTATCGCAAATGATGAGAGCAATGCAGACCTAATTAAACGTACCCTCTCGAATAACTTTGACAGCAATTATTATGCAACAATTGGCAAAAACAAAGCGTGGTACTAGCACAAGAGATAAAGGCACTCTGTTAAAAAAAGAGTCATAAAGGTGGTTCTCCTTAATATTACCACTCTACTGATGCATAAACAGTTTCGCTTTCTAGCTTTAATTTTGAATTGGCTCACTTGCCCACCAATTCTTATCCCGTTCACATGTCAGGAGGACAAAATTTGTAGATCATTGATCAGGATCAGGATTTTTTAACACTAAGCAGTCGTAGTTTTCGTACCGTACAATAAGTAAAAAGTGAACAAAAATGACCAGGTTGCAAGAATGCAGTAGGAATCGACAGTGGTCAGCCATCAGTTCAATTCTTCTAGTTCACGTCTTGTTGCTAACTTTGCATGTAGATAACACTGAAGCAATGCAGGAAAATAATGGTAAGATCTCACTTAAGCTGCGAATGCGATACACCAATTAAAGTTACAAAATCTAGTGTGTCAATCAATTATTTATTATGTGCATATGAAAATACAGGAGATTCGTTAGAAGAGGCAATGCATCCTACACTGCCGGTCCCTAGTTTTATGGAGAGAAGCGGATCTGTCAATTCCTATGAAGGTTGGCCTGGGATTAAATTTTGTTTAGAAATTCTCACAGAAATTTACATATACATATTTACAGATGCAACTCACTGGCACAAACAAGCCAAGCGAATCATTAAGACTAAAATCAGACAACACCCAATTGAACAAAAGGCTAAAAATGTGATTTTCTTTCTGGGCGATGGCATGAGCATACCGACCGTTACGTCGGCTCGTATCTTCAAAGGACAATTGGAAAATTTGACATATGGAGAAGAAGCCGCTTTATCATTTGACCAATTTCCGTTTACTGGAGTTTCGAAAGTATGTTTTCTATGTCAAACGTTTCTTAATTGCGTTTGGTTTTAAAGATTTTAATCGGCAATCATAATAACCTTGGTAAAGACTTATTGCTCAAACTCGCAAGTCGGGGACTCTGCATGCACGGCCACATCGTATTTGTGTGGGTCCAAAGGTAACTACAGGACAATTGGGGTGACCCCCGATGTACAAGAAAGCGATTGTTCGGCACAAATGGATCCCGCTAATCATGTCACCTCAGTTCTGCAATGTAATTATTTACTTACTTATTATGGATTGGCTAATTGTATTCCATTATGTCATTAAGAATTTACTGGTTTTTTCTGAATTTATAGGGGCACAGGTATCCCGAAATTTCCATACAATTTCCTACCACATTACAATACAAATGGCTCCATTGTTTCGTACTGTTGTATAGGAAGCTGGACTATCGACTGGAATTGTAACCAACACCAGGGTGACTCATGCTAGTCCTGCAGGTGCTTATAGTCATATAGCTCACAGGAATTGGGAGCAGGATGATGCTGTAGAAAATTCTGGATTTGATGCAGCTTACTGTGATGACATTGCAGGTCAGGATTTATTACATCAGATGAACTAAAAAAAGATTACATTAATTTATATTAGATTTATTACAGAACAATTGATTTTAAAAAGTCCGGGAAGAGACATAAATGTAATGTCACAAATAATGATGCATATGAATTATTTTATGAAAATACGATGCTCATGAAGCTGAAAATTTTGACACAGGTAATTTTGGGAGGTGGTAGGTCAGCTTTCCTCCCTAAGGAAATTATGGATGTTGAAGATCCAAAACGGGGGAAGCGACGTGATGGCAAAAACTTAATTGATACATGGATTGTGGACAAATTGTACAAAAATGGAAAATATGTGACCAACAGGGAAGAGCTTTTATCAGTGAATACTACAGATACCGATTATCTCATGGGTCTTTTCGCCTACGATCACATGGATTATGCAGACAAAGCGAAAGCTGCCAATGATCCAACTCTCGAAGAAATGACACGGGTCGCAGTCGAAATTCTAAGAAAAAATCCCAATGGATTTTTCCTGTTTGTTGAAGGTATGTAATCATAAAGTAAATTTCCCATGATAATAATGATTCATATTATTGTTGCATTACTCTCTTGTAGGTGGAAAAATTGATCATGGTGAGCCGTTTAATTACTTATTTTAAGAATTATTGCTCAGACAAATATACCTCTAATTTTAGCCCACCATGCAACCAATGCTAAAAGAGCTCTGCATGAAACGCTCGAATTTGAAAAAGCGGTTAAAATAGGTCGAGAGATGACTGATATTGACGACACGTTAATTGTGGTAACTTCAGGTAACCGAATCAGATCATTATGTATGCAAATATAGGTATGTGTATTTATATGTACTTATGATGTAAAAATAAGTACTTGCAAATAACTGATGTGCTAAATAATCAAATACCAACACAAATTTATTCTTATTCCCACTTTTTTTAGATCACTCCCATGTTATGACTATGTCTGGGTCAGCTTAAAATAATAATCACCGTCATTATTAAGCATCATTTCTTGCGATTCTATTGTCGTCTTAAAAATGCAGGTACGCCGAGCGTGGACATTCCGTTCTGGGACTTGGTGGGATCTCCAACGTGGATGGCTAGTTTAAAACTAATTTTACTGGTGCTACATATGTAGAAATCAACGAGCAGTGCATAACCAATTCTATACATTTCAGGCCTCCCTTACACGACAATTTCATACGCCAATGGTCCCGGGTACCGACAAGCTGGAAAGAATGGCAAAAGGAAGAACATTCGTGGCGACAACATGGAAGCCATCAACTATCGTCAAATCACTACCGTTCCGATGGTGTTTGAGACGCATGGTGGCGACGATGTGCTCATCTTTTCTAGCGGTCCATTTGCGCATCTCTTGACAGGTACTGGATCCTTTGTTCATTTCATGGGAACATTTGGTGTGATTGAGAATTGGCGTCACTTACATGTACATATTTACCGCAGGTGTTCTGGATCAAAGCTACATACCCCACGCCATTGGTTATGCAGCCTGCATTGGGCAAGGAGAAAAGTTTTGCGATGACTATGCACATCTGACTGGTGCTAGATGACCTACGTATTTAGCTTAAAAATGTTATTAGTTTAAGGGTTGGTGGGATAAGGTAGAAATGTATGTGCTAGGAGTAAGGGTAGCTAAATATTTGTATATTGCTAAAAAGAGGTGTTAGTGATTATTTATGAATTTGTTGAAGTTCGACTGAATTATAAGGACTGTTTGGGATCAATCAAAGTATTTCGTAGATTTTTTATTAGCTATTATTAGATGGCGAAGAAGAGGATTATTACTCTCACTCTCCGTGCGTATTTATGTACTTACTTACACACTGCATCTTTCTTCTTCCCATTGCAAACATCCAAGTTCATTCGTTATTTGAATTTCACTACCAACAATTATTCATTTCTCTGAATTTGAGCCACTTCATTCTTCTAATTTATTTCTTGTCTGGCAGCCCCAAAAACATGTCCAAAAATGGAATTCTCTCGATTTAGACATTTCTTTTACATCAAAAGGCCGGTCTCCTACTTTACTTGTACATGATGGAGCACAATCAAACGTGAAATCAAAGAGTACACTGAGTCTTCCAAGCGTGACCTGCAATGGACCAACTTAATTGAAATTAGCCCGTATTGAAGTTTAATTCAATTCCATCAGTTAATACTTAATCTGCCTCCCAGTTTAGCCTAGGTTATTGAGAAATTAAATTCACGAATGAATGAAAAAAATAATACTTTGTTCAACTTTTACCAATATAGATTTTAACGGGCATCGTAGATTAAATATTTCAGCACCACACAAAACCAAGTTTGTAAACCAAATTTGTATACATGCAAGACCTTAACTCTCATCATTCATTTGGAGGGATTAAAAGGATCTGAAAAAGTGACACCCGATTTAACTGCGAAAAAGGGCGTTCTGTGAACAATAGAAATAATTATCGAGAATATGTATATCTCGGTTTCACATCTTCTGAGACGATGGAAAATGGACAAAATGGTACTTTGTGTATAGCAGACCGATTTTGGATACATGAGAATTGAAGAAAGTGAGATTTGTACCACATGCCGAAACTACTACAATTCTCATAATATTTTCTATTTGTTTACATAAAATGGTGATTAATTGGAGGAGGAAGAAGAAGTACTTGGCAAGTAAATGAAACGAATTTGCGAATTTATTAGTCACTTTCCGAGGGGAGTTAATGGATGCTTAATTATCAGCAAGAAGCGGCTTTTTGAAGTGGTGCATAGGTTCTAAGAAGAAGAAGAAGTGTTAAGAAATAAGTACATGCAACTCTTTCTTCCTTCTTGCACTAGTACCGTCATCGTCAATCGTCATGCAGTGCCATATATTTTGACGAGTTGTAGGGACGACGACGACGTGATTTCCCATAATCCCCAGAGCAAAACTCGACGACGTATTTAATATTTTAGGGCATTTCGTGGTTGGCTCAAGGCACTTTTATTGATGGCAGCACAATCCAAACTCATATTGCACCACGAGACTAGATATATGTACACACCTTTAAAATCTCTTCATTGCAATTGTGAATCACAATTTATGATCCACACAGAGATGCTTCAAAAACATTCCAATGACAATCTTTTATTAACCACGAAGCAGGGGATTAAGCGGAAAAACCACAAATTACAGATTTTATGCAAGAAGACTGCGCGATTTTTTCAAAGTATTTACGTTATCGCAAGTCCTTTCAAATAAGGAGATTGTCCATATCTAAAAGCGCCATTCATATCAAAAACGTAGAGTCAGATCCTGTGAGACGAAATTTTTTGATAATTTAGTTTCTTGTAATAATTGTTTCCGGAACTTTGGATTTCATATTCAAGTTAAAATTGAAAGTATGTAAAAAAAAATCTAATCGTTGTTGTGAGTAGAGATTGCCTGATGTCTCATAACAAATTATTATGATGCCACTTTGCATTTGAATAATGAATTATATGCACTGCAAAAATTGCACAATAAGTTAAACAATAAATGTAACGCTTTTAGTTTATTTTTTAATTGTTGCGATTAAGAATTACGATTTTATTGTTTTATCAGATTTTGATAAATGTATGGAAATTGAAAGTTTTGCAAGACAGTGCCACCCAGGATGTGCCATTTTCAAAATTGTTCATATTTATGAGAAGCAGAAAACAGAGTGTGAGCTGTGAATGCGTTTGAGAGACCCAATGGTGAGGTGACCGTGAACCGTATAATTCTCATTTTGTCACGGACAGCAGGAAGGAAGAATTCCGTCTTTTGTCGCAATTCACTTTCACCACAAACCAGCAGCAAGATGCGTTGTCCTCAAAAGTCAAGATCCCCCCAATGCTGACAAAATTGAGATGGAGTAGCTTAATTCAGAAATATTTGTACATAAAACTGCAGGCAGTTGTCACGGAAATATTATTGGTCTCTGTTTACAAGGCAAACAAAGTAGAACACGCATAAATAAAAGAAATTCGGCAAAAAACAGACGATTTCTTACAAAGAAGAGATCCTCAGACTGGACTTCACTCACCCATATTATGCTCGTGTATGTACATATGTACATATGTAAATGTGCACAACATTTCACTTACTCGGTCAATTTCGACAAGTCTTAAAGGGTGATGGAACTAGTGTATAAAAAAATAGAGTACAATAATAAAGAGCACAAACAAATCATCCACAGTTGATCGAGGACAATTAACATTTCCAATTTTAGCTATGCAAATCTCGATTAAAATTCAATATTTTGATTTTGATTGAATGTTTTTGATTTTGATCTAAACTTTTTCTCATGGTTCTTGCGTCGCTCGAACGAACATACGTAGGTACATAAGTAATAATTGTTTAATCATAAATATGTACACGATCGTGTACAGGAAAAGTCAATGGGTAGGATTTGCCAATGGTGTAAATACAAAATGCATAAAAGATAGTATTAGTGAGGGCTCTAGCGACGAATAACTAACCACCACGATATGAAGATGCAGAAAGAGATGCTCCACCTCACATAACAGATGGAGTAGGAGTTAACTCTGCGAGTTTGCCATTTAGTTTAGCATTGAGGGCTTCCGGCGACCTCTCGTATGTGACGTGGAGAGTCATCCCCCTTACTTGCTTAACAAAGAGCAGAGTGCTTCTTCTAATTCTTTATATTCTATGGGAAAAGTTCACGAGTGAGACGAGCAGGTACATACATAGTTATGCATATTGCAGTTATAGAGTTAAGATAAGTGAGTGGCTGGTGGGTTTAAAATTGTATTAATAACTTTTGACAGAATAAAAGCAGAGAAAACATTTGTTGCCATTTGATTCTGGTTGAATGCACATGAGCTGTGATTGGATTTGCTTTACTTTCGATATCATAAGACATTTAATAAGCATCCACATCCAACATTTATTCAGATTGGACACTGACATTGACAAATGAAGCTCGATTCATCCATTCTTCTGCCAATGCACACGTTTTTATTAATAAGTAAAAGTTACGGTAACGTCACAACAGGTTTCTCATTCACGTGTGGACTCAGGCAATCCGTTTCGGGGGACGGGTTTACGTGTATATTATTTTTAGTTGAATGAAAAAGTGACGACTGATCCATATTCTACACGTGTTGTAAAGATAATAAATATAATAATTTCTCCGCTGCGGATTCTTGACGTGACATGTAAAGGAACAAGAGATGTTTATAATCCAGAGAACAAGAGCAAAATAAAGTCGCATATCCAACGATTGTCTGCATATTAATGAGTAATAAAATGCTAGCTCATTTATTCATCCACTAATTTGTCGTCATCTTGGTTGTAAATCTTCACGCGGATTTCGATGATAATTGCTCAGGTTGTAATTTGTTGGTTTCCTCTTACTTCCCAATTACTCGTGTTGGTCTATATGCACCCACGTTAATAGGTACTATCTCTGCTGTAGATAGCTATGAAGTCCTAAAAAATTCTGCCTATTACACCCCCACAGGTAAATAAAACAAAATACAAAAGTCCTTCCCTCAATGGACGACGAACGCGTAATTAATGTAAAAATTAATTATGCGCTTGTTTTCTTAAAACGAAAGTCAAGGCAGTTCATTGCATGATGCCAACTCACTGAATCACTATGTGCATATTTACGTACATGCATATTTACATGGCTGTCACTCTTTGAGTTCATTTGACGAAATTATTATTCGCTTATTTGAACACAAAATCGGATTAATGAGTAAATGTCTCTGTAATAGTGCCATGAAATCTCGTTGGTTAATCTCAGCATGGCAGGGACAAATATTGTATGTGTTCATGTATGTAGTGTAGATGTTGTGAAAAATGGATTAATTTGTCCACAAGTGCTCAACAACTCTCACTCCTACGTTATTAAAGATTCTTATTATGTATTCATGTGCATGGAAATGTGCGTGGTACTTTTGCATTGAATATGATTTTTGTGGTGGTGATAATGTTTAAGTGCGGATTTACTCATTTCAGAATTATTTTCCTTTTTCTATATAAGGTCTTCTACACACAGCGAGATGATGACTTGATAGAAAATGTGAGAATTATTTCTATTTATACAAACACGGCTCTTATTCTTTCGCGAGTGTATAGCCCAAAATTGAGGCAAGTCAAGGAGGAGGACAAAAGATGAAGTCTGAGTAGTTCTCTAAATTACTTGGGGCTTATATGCGAAAGATTAATGAGAATAAACTTTATTTGTGCTGAATTATCTCATTTTGTTCTCTCAACTGTCAACCAAATTGAAAATAAATAAAAAACTCATCGCCAAGTGCTTGTCTCCGCCTCATCGCCACTGTCTGAGAGATTTGTATATTGGTTAGTCTGTCATTAACAAGTATTAATATGCAGATACGTAGTAAGGAATAAGAGTAATTATTGTCACCTAAAGTAAGGCATGCAGGCAGGCAGAGTTATTGCATATTGTGAATGAATAAACAATTCATAGACACGCTAAGACAAAAAATGGGAAAGTTTCAACAAATTTTTGGCCTTTCAGCCCTCTCTATAATATGACGACTGTCGTTCCTACAGTTGTTCTGTGGTTGACAGCTTTACATATTGGTTAAAAGCGGCTTTAATATTAATCACTCCTTTCCTTCCTCCTCCTAGTTTCATGTCCTTATCGATGTCGTCAAACTCGAATTTTTCTCAAATTACGCTAATTTCCCACGTTGACAAGTGACAATTGCCATATTCCGGGCGAATTGCACACATAATTTGCATTATTACAGGAACAAAACCACCACCAACCAGTGCAATTTGGTGAAGATTACCTCAAGGCGAGCACAATGACTTAAAGCGTAAAGACAAAAGGGTTTGTCATTTGTCACATCTAAACGCATCCGCCTGTGTTAAATGAATTCCTGTGTAAAATCTGTGGAGTCCATTAAGCACATAAATCATACCGTCATCATGAGCACAATTGGAGAAATGTTTAATAGGAGGGAGTGCATAGAATGGTGCAATGATGCTGCTGCTGCTGACGTGTCATATGAAAAGAAACGCTTTGAATTCTGATTTTGCTGTCAAATAAAGATTAACAAGAATCCAGAATAATTTGCATTGAAACTCTCTTGCATCGCGCAAGTTTTACTGTTTAATTGCCAACGAACGAAAGCGAAATGAGCTGAGTTGCTGCAATTAAACAAACGTCACATCATCACGTTCCGTTATTATTATTTCTTATTTATTCATTCATTTCATACAAATACATAAAATATTTTTTTCACTTAGGTTATTGCATTTCAGTTGTTTCGTTTCTGACTCGACGTATAAAAAATAGATAAGAGAGTAAGTGTCAAGAAATAGTACAATCGTTGTCCTTCCGGGCAGACTCATCACCGCACTATAAATAAATGTACAATAATAATGAAAGTAAAATTTTAGGAACAAAGGTATTTGTTACAGCAACGCCCAATTCGTTAGCAGGGAAAGTGATAGGCATAAGGAATTGAAGAAAAATATATATTTTGACTGTGTGACTTATTTATAGTCTCCATCTCCCCAAAGTCCTCGGAGTATGCTTGATAATCTGTGTCGATATCCTCGCTTGTGCCGCGTGGCGTAAAATGGGTGCTGCAGTTCGCCTGGTCGCACTTGGAACCTTGGGACAAGCGGTGGTGGGGGCTGGATGTTGCTGATGGGGACGGATGCATAATTCGTGCTCGGTTGTGCCTGCGGCTGCTGCTGCTGCTGTTCGTAATATGGTCGTGGTGGCAATTGAGGTGATGATTGTGGGTGGACCTGTGTATTGTAGTACAAATTTTGCAAATTGTGCAACTGATGTTGCTGTTGCTGCGCTTGAAAATTAAAAGAAGTTTGCTGTTCATTCTGATGATGATGATTTTGCTGATGTTGGTGGTGGTTGGTATTTCCATTGTTGTTATTGCTATTGCTGTATTGTCGGTATTGTTGTTGGGTGTATGCATTTTGAGAAGAATATGTTTGCAAATTTTGTTTCTGGGGATCTTCTGTAATTTGGTTAGTGTTAATGTAATGTGGGGCTTGAGTTCCAATTCCTTGTTTGGCATAGCTAAGAGAGTGGGGTTGTCGATCTTTGAGTGGATTCTGCTCCTGTTGTTGCTGGCGTAATTTTTGACGCTTTTCTTCCATCGTCCTCTGCTGCTGTCTCAGCAATTCCATTCGTTTAGGGTCAGTGATAGCATTCTCGTTTGTCGAGATGAGAATCATGGGCATGGAAGGGGTCACGTCAAAGTGTGGGAGCGGAGTGGTGATGTGATTAACGGATGGGGTGAAGTCGTTCGCGAATTTCGTAGGGGGTCGAAATCTGGGGTGGAATGAGGTTTGATGAACTGGAGAACTCCCTTCGTGGTTTTCATGCTGGATGAAAATGTGGGACACGGGTGTTTGCTGGGGGTCTTGTGGGGATGGAAAGGGTTGAAGCGATGGCACGGAGGAGGATGAAGAAGAGGAAGGGTTCTGGAAACTCGGAGGTGGTGGTTGAGGGTACTGCGTTTGGGTGATTGTTCTGTATTCTTGATCTGCCTCTTGTGGAGGAACAAGGTCAATTGGTGAAGCGTGGTGTAGTTGCTGTTGTTGTTGCTGCTGTTGCTGGTGGTGGGGACGTTGTGTATTCTGAGGGCGTTGAGTATCTTCTTGGTAAGAATTCTGATTATTGTGGTTAAACAGTAATTGATTCCTTACAACTTTGCCCACTTCTTGTTGTTGACGAGGAGTCGTGGATGAGGGGCGTTGCGAAGTTGGGATGGATTTATTGTGAGAATAGATTGTAAATCGTTGGAAATTTCCAGGAGGAAGAGAGTTTTGAGATGGGTGTGGATTCACTTTTCCACCTTCGGGACCATTTAATTGATTGGGATGAGGCGGAAATGTTTTATGCACGCGATGGTCTTGAGGAATAGTCCTGTATTCTTGAGATGGTTCTTGTGGGGGTAACTGAGACTGTGGTTGGTTCACTGGATTATGTGTCGTGGGAGGCAACTTATTAGCATTGAATTCTTGATTTTGATGGCGACTAGGTTGATTATTGTTAGTGAAAGCAATGGCATGCGATGAATGTCTTAAAGGATGTTGTGGGGCAGACTGAAGCTGAGGATTGTTATTATTCTCTTGAAGTTGTGGGGGTGGATTGTAGTGAAGTCGATGGTTGTTGAGATTCTCATTTTGGATCAAGTGTTGCTGATGTTGGTTTGGGTTTTGAGCACGAGAAGGATTTCGCTGTTGGGCCGGGTTTGAAATTGGGGCTCGAGACGTGGTAGGATTCTGATTCAAAGGTTGTGTCAATTGGACAGGGTAATGTTGTTGGAGAGATTCTGGATTTGGTCGCACTCGCTGATGAAATTGACGAGGTGGGTTATTATTTTTATTATTGGGTGGAGTTCGGCCACTTTTCAACTCTGAACCCGTTTGTTGACTCGTGTCACCTGGGCTGGTTTTTGGGGGTTCGTAACTTTTAGCCGACTTTTTAGGATCTTTAAAAAATTCTTTAAACTTTTCAAATGCCACGTTTGCGATTTGTTTTTCTTTGTCTGGCATATCGGCAGCTTTTTTGTCGGTCAGCCCTGGTATCTCAAAGTCGTCAAAGTTCAAATCCTCATCGCCCTCAAAGCCTACTGTTAAAATTTGAGTCTTCGTATCTCCTATTGTGCTGCGTGAAGAGGAAACACAATTTAATTCACAACTTGTTACAACCTGTTATTAAATCTTGACAGTATTTAATTGTGAGAATAATGAGAGTGCAAAGAAAACAAAACGCATAGTATGTAATACATAGTTAAGTATTCGAAATAGTCTCACCTTCCCCCGAGAACCTAAAGTAGCAATGTTTGGATTTAATAATTGTATTGAAATTGCAATTAATAGTTAATTAATGGTACACACCTTCACATTCGACAAGAGTCCTCCCAATTGATCATCCGTTAGCCCGAAATCCTTAGGGTTGACCAGTTCCACTCCTGTATTCAAGAAATCAAATCATAAACTCTTGGATGCTTTTGTCTTTTCGTGAAAAATTGCAACTATAATTGTGACCTCTGTACCTGGTGGTAATTCATGTTTGAACTCTGGGTCGCCTTGAGCTGCGACAAGATTCAAAAGTTGAAAAACTAGGAGTACTCCAGAGATCCACATGATAAGACAATTTTGCTGTTCATATCAAAGTAAAATCATGATTAGCTCATTTTCTGTTCTTTAGATATGCATGCATGCATGTGCAGAGCTTCCTCATGACAATGTATCATTTTATTCATTTACGAGTTAAAATAGAATCGGACTATGAGTTACATCAAAGGAGACAGGAAAAGTATGCCATTAGAGTAAAAGAAATTGCATAATTGCATGCGACATAAGGTCAATTATGGGTAATTAATAGATAATTCAACTATTATCTCTTACCATCTTTCGTAGTTTTAAACCCACCACAAGATTTCCACTTCCTTCATAAAGTAAATTAGGGAACAAGGTTGCTGAGAACTGGATTAATGTAAAAAGGAAAATCCAACCTGCAATTTCATCAAAATGTGCACAAAATGTATACAGCACGAGTCACGCCCATTGTTTTTCATGAGACATTTTGAAAAGGAAGAAAATAAAAGTTTTAACAATCCATCATTTTTTCTTTAATTTCACAAGGCTACCACAAAAGTAGATAGCTGACATGACACATTGTTACGGAATACATGTGTATTTATTATGTGCATACAGATGTATGTACATATGTACGTATAGGTCAGGCACACACTGTCCTTTTCAGAGTGGTTTCGCCTCGCAAATCTTTTTTTACAGTAAACGCAACAAATTGCATAAACTGTAAAAAAAATCAAGTGTATCAACTTGTAACAACCTGCGTAACAATAATAATACATCACCAATTCCGGTTTGTTTTTCTTTAAAAAATGCTAAATTGCAGAACAGACTTTCTAGATTTGTTGATGCTTTGCGTGAACTTTTCCATTTCGTTTGACAGATGCATAAGCAATAGCATTCGACATGGCAATTATTGATAATCGGTGTTTCTGTAACTGTAATTTTGAGTATTCAAATGAAGGTGGGGTTTAAAATGGTACTCGTTTAAATGTAGCGTATAATCCTAATTTAAAAAATATCCATATGCACATGTTTTCTGTTATGAATCCTTACAAAATATTATAAATGTGATGAATATCTGACGGAACAAAATCCTGACTGGTATTCTACTTTAAATGGATTTTTAAATCGAAACTTGCACAATATTGACACAAGCATAAAATATTCGCCTGCCATTAAATGATGCTCTTTTCTATGGTCTTAATTGATATCTACTTTGTCTATTTTATTTCATAGTCGTGATCTTTATGAGAGCACTACTTCACGAAATATCCAAGAAAATGATCCCAGCGTTATCGAGTAAATTAAGGAATAATAGGGAGACTTAGGATAGAGATTATGCATCAGACGCCTTGTGTCTCATTCCAGTTAAGCCGGCTTTGCTTTACCCCTACTGCCAGAAAGAGTAGAAAGGGAGAGTTTCTAAAAGTTATTGATTCTTTTTCTATTCAAAGCCGATCAGTCATTCATTTACACGGTAAAATATGACCATTACCGAATAATAAAATTAGAGTGCTTCACATTATTTACCAAGAGCAGAGCAGGAGTGAGATGAGGAAGCAGATCAATCAATAGGGAAAATGATCAAGAGATGAGTTGATGGTGGTTTTGACGACTATTTGATTGTCCAGATTGAGACAGAGATGAGATGCGATGGATGGATGGCTATCTGCACAGCAGTTGGCGATCAAAATCCAAAAAGTCGTGCAAGATTTCGACCACCATTAATAATACGGCACAGCACGGTAGCAGCAGCACACAGACAACTCCTACGTGTAGACTTTCAGTTCAGTTCACTTGATCAATCAATAACTTGGCAGTTAATGAACAAATTTTCAATATGAAACGTATTATTATGAACTCATTTTTATTTTCTCTGCATCACTCTTGCAAATAACGTTAAACTTTTCAATTTTAACTCTTTCTCTTATACAACTTTTTGCTCAGAATTACGTGACGAGTTTTTGCAGGTATCCACACACATAATGCACACCTTGATTCAATTTCGAATTTTCTTACTCCACGTTTGTAAATCTTTTTTGGCACTTTTGTTCCAAACGTTATTTTCAAAATCTCCCAATCTCACTGTGGCGGACCAACGTTTTTAAGCACTTGTCGAACACTTGGTGCATGATAATTACACTTTATGGAACTAGACATTAATCTCGTTGTTTTCCAAATTAGTTTGGAAAAATCTTGAATCCGTAACTGGTCTCATGGAAGGGTGGCCTTTTGAATAAATCAAGGAAAACTAATAGAATTGTGTACCTTATTATAACTAATAAAATAGGAAGGATCTGAGGAGCAAGCAGTTGAGCATCTTCCTGCAAGATATGTCTTCACCCGTTGTTCAACATGAACTAACATCGCTTTCGAAATGTGCTTTTAACTTGAGGAAGAAATTCTTTTTCTGTCAAGAGACTCAAACCATCGAATCCATGTACGCAATGCAGTGCATCAAATTCTAAATGCATAAATAAACCAAGGCACAAAAGCAATGCAAGAAGAATCACACTATGCAACGGCTTCTTCTTCTTCTACCTGTTACACTGACATTATCCCACCGCATCAACCATCCAATAATGCAACAGTTTTAATACCAATGAGTTGTGAATAATTTTTGGTTTGCACATGCATACAAGCCAGCCAGCCAGCCGCAAGGAATCACCATCCCTGTCAAATAAATAAGCGAAAACAATAAATAATCCTGATGCGCTGTGCGGATGATATCAACGTGAACATGTGAAGATCATGTTTATTTGGACAGGAAGAATAATCTATTAGCAAGTAGGTAAATTTAAATTAATGGTTCCGAGAAATTGCGTGCGCGTATGTGTGCACTCTAATTCGATAATTACTTGATAAACGTTTAAATCACATGTCAATTGAATTATTAATGTTCGAATATTGTTACATATGGAGAAGAGAGGTACAAATAAATCAGAATCATTTCCGTAAATTTTCTTAAAGGTGTAGTTACGTATGAAATGAACGTATGTACTTCGGGTCTTCTAAATATGAAATGTGAAATATGTGAATTGAGACTCATTGAATTCGGACAAAGAGGTGTTGAAACTTAATAAGCGTGGATGTGAATAGACGCTAATTTTAAGAAGTTTGGAATGATTACCCAACATTTGCGCAAATATTTTACTTGTTTAGGTTAACATAATGATGACACACATTATTGATATATATTGCGTTATGCCAAACACTTAAAGTGGAATGAAATCTTACAATTGATGAATGATTCCAAAGAGATTTTGCTGTATTGGATAATGGGACCTCTTAAGACTCACGTACCTGCACCGTACATGCCTGTATAATAAATAAGTATATAATAACAGCGTTCTAATAATTTTCAAGTTTGATACATCATTTTGAAATACGTTGAATGCAATAAAGCCTCTGATTTTTGCTCAAAAAAGGATAATTTATTAAACTCAAATACATGCACAAATGAAATGAGTGTTTTCCTTGGCTTTTCACCACCACATTTGTAATTCTCATTGTGCATTTTTCACAACTTTGCTGCTTTGAATCTCAAAAGTTGGTAAATTGACAATTTTGTAACGAATTGCACAATCGGCACCCTTAAATGCAATTCTTTTTAAATACGACACAACTACTTACCTGTTTCTGCTCTAAGCAGTGATTTGATTAGTACCTGTAATTGATGATGATTTTGCATGATTTTCGAAATATTATTGATGACAAGTGGTCATACGTACAGGCAAGTAAAAGATACCTTATGCATGTTTATCCATGATACTACCTACATAGTCGTATTTTTTTCTCAAAAAGTATTATGTGAAAGGATAGATTAAAATATCGACATGCACATATGTGCAAATGACTATTTTAAAAGTAAATTTTTCTTTGGAATATGACTCTTGATTAATAGCGGATGAGGAGAAATCAACATTTTAATTGTTTGACTTTTCAACTTTGCACACACACTTTCGTCCATCGATCGCACTTCATCTTCAAATGTCAATGATAACAATGTCATCATTATGTCTTGACAAGAGTCAACATGCTATCGTTCGTCCGAATCAAATCATCCATCAATCATTATTTGAAGCGGTACAACCCACGCACACGGACCTGACACCGGCCATAAGTGCAGCCTAATGTGGCCAAAATTGAGAATTAGAATCAGAACAAGAGTGAAAACACAATTGAGATGCAACAATAGAAAAGTTGGCTTTTGGAACAATGGAGGCCACCATCAAGAAGACTCTTCTTCGAGTGGTCACACTGGGCCGTTGATAATTTATTATTGTAATCCTAATTGGCATAAGCGAGGTGAGAACAAAGCAATAAATCTGAATCCATAAATAAATTCGAATTAATGCTCATAACACTTAATGCAGCACCTGCATTTCGGTCCCTGGTGTAAAATATCATCTCATCAGCTTTTTTTTTACATTACGGCGAATTCGTTAGAAATGCAGAATAATAATAATACACAACTTGTAAATCCAACTTTGTTTGTGCCTACAAACCCAAAGTTACTCATCTTCAGTCCGACTAGTCAATAATGATCATTCATTTTTTGGATTCTTAGGACAAAAAGTAAAGATGCGCTGGGATTTCACGCTGTCACAAATAGCAGAACAAGAGAAAAGGGTGAGAGGTAGAGGATGAGGATGGAAAATATTCTTTATACTTTTTCAGATGTTTTGTCAAAAATTTAGGTCACTAGTTAGTAGCCAAAAACAGCGTGCATGTACGTATAAAAGTGCTTGAAATTCTCAATCGGTTCATCGCGAAGGCAGGGATTGTATGTATAAATATGGATACAGCAGAAATCAAGTTCATCATCTTCACCAGTATTCATTAACCATGAAGCGTGAGTCATCGCAAATGCTGCGGATGATTCCACGGTGGTTGTTCGTTCTCGTTTTTGTATTTTATACTTGATGAATTCCGGTACAATAGTTCCCATTAATTGCACTAAAGGTAAAGATACAATATGTGACAATATGTCAAGGGGATTGATTACAGGGGGTGATCACGTTGAACTTATTTACTTGCGGTCATAGCCTCACAGATACTTACCTTTATTAAGTAAGTATCTGTATACCTGTGGCTCGATGGAAGACACAGTTTACACAACACTTATCAACATTGATTTTGACTTTGGGCTTCATCACCAGTACCATTATTCTATGCAAAATAATGTAACCATTAAACGTGAAATTGCACGTTACTGTGTAATAATACGCATCAATCAACGCAGGTAATAAAATACGATGGTCTCAATTATGCATGTATGTGAGTCGTGAAAGTCACCATGTGCATGTGATGTCAAAGTAATGCTAAACCTAAAGAGATGCAAAGGGGAATTAATTATTAAATAAATCATTCACATTATAATGAATTATTAGTAATGCGCTGTAATTTTGAAAGTTTGCTCGTCTCAATAAGTATTGAGATAATGATGATACAGATAACTGAAGTCGGGACAGTTTTAATAAAACAATTATGATTGATTTATTTTCTTTATCATTTACAACGCTGACAGTATAAGAAAACTATATTTAAATCGTGCCTTATTAACGTGCATGATTTAATAAATACTGGGAGAAATAATTAGTCATAATTGCATAAATACCAAGTATTGTTACCAGCAGCATCTACATCTGCATGTATTTACACAAATTATATCCTGTGCATCATTAAAGAATTTCTCACCACTTACAACGACAAAACATGATAAGAACGGTACAACTTTTGCATGCCCACCAATAATCATCGAATCAAAGTGACCTTTCCAATAGTAAATAATTCATGTTATGTATTTTGCATATGTGGAAAGGATAGATAGATAATCATTCACTTCAGAACTGCACACATTCTTCAATTAATATGAAAGTTATTCATAATAGATTTAACAAATTAAATGTTTTCAGGAAGTGAATATTTTGAGTTGGAATAAAAACCACATAATTTTCGACAACACAAATTTGGGAGAGACTTTGTCAAATGTAAATTATTTCCATCGCTTTTTGATACGTGGAGGAGTTGTCAAATCGTGGTGGTTGTTGTTGTTGGTCAGCAACCATTCGTCCTGAAATGATCGCCGAAGAACTAATGGGACATTTGCAATGAGCACAAACACTAACTAACTGATGATGAGACTTAAATTGCTTGGACTTTGGCTTTGGAGATCTGCTGCTGGGATGCTTTGACGGAAAGTGAAATTCTTTTTCTTCCCCCAAGTCTTGGTAATTTTCGTAATCTTCTCTAGAAACACAGGCAAAAAAAACATTCGTTAGTCGTGTGTATCGTGTGTATGTATGAGTGTGAGCACATCAATGACCAAATTCGTCAAGAATCTTGATTCCGAGATGAGTGCAAGACTCGTTATACATACAACAAAGGAGAATAAGGAAATTGTAAGAAAGGAGAAAAATGACGTTTCATTCAATTTAAGAGTTGACAATGTATTATTAAATCCACATTTGAGATTTTACCATTTTACGGACCACATCCTTTTAAACCCATTTCATATTCAACACTTACTATTCTTCTGCGTATTGTGCAATAGCTATTTATTTGAATTTATGGTCAGAGATAATTAGAGACTCGACGTAAACTACCGACCGAATAAGCAATAACTGCAAAAAAGTGCTTTACATGCACATATATTGCACTTATTGTTTGCAACCAAAATCCACGTAATTTCTTTCCAAGCTAAATAAAAGTCACACCAGCAATGACCAAGCACTAGCAAAAGTGTGCATGCATGCGTAACAAGTGACATTATTAGGAACTCATTTGCTATTTTTAAAAAATAATGAAATGTACCTACTACCAAATATAAAAAATCCAATTCCGATGAGAAATATGATGACCAAAACGCCCAGCAAGGATAGAACAATAATTACGGTAACACGACCGAAATCTGGGCGTATTGCTGAGGTGGACATTTCAAAACTTTTAAATAATAAACTCGCACTCTGTCGTATTTAATGGTGTAACTATTTTGAACGATTTGCAGACATTTGCTTCTGGAGTGCGAAAATAAATGGATAATTAACGCACCTAATTACCACCATAAACTGACTGCGTTAGTGAATTCTAGGCCGTTGAATAATTTCAGAATAATGGAACGTGGTCATGAATATTTAGAATTTGTCTTCTCTTCCCTTTAACAACTTACAAGATTTATCACATCTCTAGGTATATAGATTATGATTATGCTTTTAAAAAAATCAGAGGACCTAGAACGGTGTGGTTATTTCATAGCAGATATAGCACTTTAATTCAATAACATGTTATTATTATGCAATAACAAACGTACAAATACCACTTATTTCAATGCTGTTACGGAGCTTACAAAGTTGATTATATAATAATGAGTAAAGTAGACTTAACTAAATTACACCTGCAAATACATCCTGACCCACACACATATTTATGTAGGTTCGCTCTCGCTTATACTATACTTATTTTATTGGGTAATTGTAATTATAATTATATAAATTGCTCCATTTGTAATTTAAATTATCAACTCATTCATAGTGCACGGAAATATATGAGACTTTCCTAGTTAAATTATATTATAGAAACCTCGTGCGAATTGTAATCTATTTACGCATATTATAAATAACCTTTCGTTTCATCGTTTTCATTCTCTGCTTCTTACCTAACACTATATATCTAGAACAATTAAACTGACAATGTTTAACCTAATAAATTACGTTACAAGTTCGGTAAACTAACAATATTATAAAGCTATTGTGTTACATTTAAGGTGTTGTAATTTTAAATGCCAAAATTTCGAAAAAAAAACTTAGTTGTAGCTCCAACGCGTTCGATTCAAACCTATTGTTTCTTCCAGTTACAAAGTGAGCATGTGTTTTGCTGATGACGACGTTTTACTCGACGTGGCCTCGTGGCTTTCATATGTCATCTGACTTGGGGGGAGGTTCAGTCGGGTTTTGACGGTTTTCCTGCGAATTACAAATCAAACATTTTGGTTTAGTCCAATGAATTTTTAGTGGGTGTGAGTTGTGTTAAAGTGCTCACCCAATGTTAAGGATACTGTCATTGTTTTTGCAATTTCTTGTCCATATGGAGATTTTGTCTAGCTTATTCCGAACATCTACCACCACGCCGCATATATCATCACCATCGTCATCAAAAGCTTCGCCAATCAAGCACAGCAGCTGTAATAGAAAACCACCACATTGGTTGTAGATAATTTGTAATTATCCTTTTGTAAGTGTTATTAGAAAATGATATTCTCTATGAACTAGATAATCAAATCAATCTAATGAGTAAAATATTTCATTTAATAATCAATGAATGACATATTACATTATCAGTGTAGATTACCATAAACATTATTGAATACTCCGAAAAAGAAAACTCCCCAAAACTAAACACAAAATTAAATTGTTGTAATTTATAAACTCACCACTTCCAACCACTGATGATCCAATTGTTGACGATAACGTTTGTCGAAGCTGACGAGCCACCTCCCTCCTGGCCGATTAATGGGATCCTCCCACATGGGCTTGATCCCATCCTTGAAGACAAAGTACGAGCACCCCGTCTGTATAGAAAAAAATGTTTTCAGCAATGAATGGTGGGTTTTTAAAATCAATAGTCATTTACTACTTCCCATCTACCACATAAAACCCGTTAAAAGCTTAAACTAAACTTACCCGAAGATCGGAAGCGCTCTTGATGTGGTTGAAAATGGACCAAAAGTCCTCCACCGTCCAAAACTCGGACACTACCCGTAAATTGTCCTCCCAACTCTTGTCCTTGTTGTTCTCAAAGTACCAAAATTTCCACTTGTTCTGCAGCTGGTGTTTTTGCCCCTCGATCTCGATCAGGTCGACCGTCGTGGTCGGGTCAGCGGTCCCATTCCCGTGGGAAATCTCCTCCTCCACCGCCACGCTCATCTCTCTCTCTACTAATTAACAAACAACCCTCTTGTTCGACAATTAACTTTATTAATTCAAACTGGGAAAATAACGACCTTTTTTTAACCACTTTCGAATATATATATTGTTCTCAATACTTGAGGAAATTGGGACCGAAGCGAGAGAAGTGAAATGAACCGGCTTTCATCTATTGCCTGCTGGCTGGCTGCTCTCTGCCCCAAAACAGCATCCACACACTTTGAGAGAGAAATGCACTTCGAATATTTTTCATCGGGTTTGTGGGATACCAACTATTTTGGAAAATTTCCAATTCATAAAAGATAATTTGTCGCCATTGTCGGCACTTAGTTGAAGAATAAAGGAGGACGGGGTGACGAGGCTGGTGGGTGGTGCCAAGGACCACTTTCACTTATGGGCACTAACTTTTTCGCATGATGGCTTCTTCTTCTATGCCGTGCGGACCTGCTTGAAAACGTTGCCTCGTTCCAAAGAAGGAAGATGGTGCAAAAGCGTCGTCTCATGAACATAAATCTCACGTGAGACTCTGGTCAAGTCTCGAAATGATCATGAACTCATTTTTGAGATTTTTTTCTCAATGCAATGAAAATTATGGTGATTCTGTAAATGCAGTTTTATCGTGACATGTACCAGCGGTATTGTGCACTTTTCCATCCAACAATTGCCACCCACCAATTGCCACTCGACAATTTCCACTCTTTACCAATTGCCATCCACCAATTTCCACTCAACAATTTCCGCTCTATACCAATTCCCACCTTTGCATTTTTTATGTAGTGTGTCATACCACGAAATCACCCATAAAATAATACCACCACAAGTTTGCTTGTACAGTAAAAACTTATTATTTGTGAATTCGAATGCAGTTGTGCATTAGAATGCGGAATAAATGAACCCACAAAAGGTATCCATATCCATTTAATTTAATCTTTGTTTTAATGTTTAATCCTTGCATCATTTATTTCACTCCGTTACAAATCTCGACAGAAAAATATTTAGCTGCCGAGTTACATACAAAATCGAATTTAGCAGTAGCTAAGTCTATATCCAATCGCAATCACTGTCCGAATTATTCATAGTAAGCAGTGATCCAGCCATTTATATATTACAACTGAACAGTTATCTCGGAATTAATAAAACTTCGTTAGTTTTAGAATAAACTTCAGTTTGAAGTTTTATTATTTTATCAGTGATAAAATTTTTTGGGCTAAGCCTAGCCGAAACATCTGTTACAGGGGGCATAAATACATGAATGCATAAATGATTTCAAGGTGCTATATAAAAATATAAAGGTGGGAATTGGCATAGAGCGGAAATTCTTGGGTGGAAATTGGTGGATGGCAATTGGTAAAGAGTGGAAATTGTGGAGTGGCAAATGGTGGATGGCAATTGGTCAAGAGTGGAAATTGTCGAGTGGCAATTGGTGGGTGGCAATTGTTGGATGTAAATTTACACCGAATCGTACCAGCAAATGTTGTTAAGTAAGTGACGTAATTTACTTTAATGACAATATATACTCATGGGTTTATTTATGATTTATTTACAGATAGTTTTTTACCAGTCTCCATTATATGCACATGTATTTATATGGAAGATGTACGCATAAAGTCAATATTTTTTATTATTACAATATTTTCTCCATCGCAAAGTGCGGAATGCCAGACATTATAAACTCTTGTTCTGAGACCAATTTGAAATTCATCTTCTGGTAGAATGGGACCGCTGTTTTCCTTCCGTTGAGAATTATCTTCTTCTTGCCAACCTGTTTCGAATAGTTTTCGGCAAACTCCACAAGCTTGGCACCTAGCCTTTGACCCTGATAATCTGTTGCTACGGCCATTTGTCGCAGTTGAAAGCTCTCCGTATCGTCGCGGCACGGCGCTAACATAACGCAACCTACGACTCTTTCACCCTCGGCGTCACCCTTGACGTCATTTTGTGACATGGCCACGAATGTAATGTGATCGTTTTCTAGGGTCAAGTCTTCTGCAAATAGGTCCATTCCAATCGGAAGTCGAAGCACGTGATGACGAAGAAGTAGAAACTCTTGGTACAAGAAAGGCTCGGCGTCTTTCACTAGTTCACGAATCTTGATGGATGAGGAGCCCATTATTGCGGCGAGAAAATTAAGCAAAAAGTTGAGACGATAAAGTTGATCTTAGCTATTGCAAATTTTAGCAAAACTAAATATCCCAAGAATAGCAAATATCAGTAATTCTTGGGATGAAGTTATATAACAGGGATGAAGTTATATAATGCTTGCCGCTTTGTCCCAGGTTGTCGATTTGGACGATGTGAGTCATGAAACTTTAACCCTTTGATATTAAGACGTACATTGAAGATTAGAAAAATTCCCAAATAATCTGCGTTATACATGCGTAGATTTCTTTATTTTGTTCATATCGGTTTAGTTTATTGTGAAGACATTGTTCGCAAGTGGTGAATGTTCACTGCTCTGTTGTTCCCATCATTTCGCCCATGTTTCTCCTTTAGTTTTATTAAGCGTTTCAGGGACTTGGCCACTTGTGAGAAATTGGGTCGATTATCTGGCATATATTCCCAGCACAGGGTCATAATAGCCGACCTATGGCAGATGTGACATTACGTATTATTAGGAGGGTTAATTTCAATATTTCAATATTAATTTCAATCCGTTAATTTAAATATTTATACTTTACATGTCCACAGTTGCAAATCTTGGTTTTTGAAGCCTTTGTGATTTGGAGAGTGTTTTCCAGAAATCCGCGTCTACAACCCAATCTCGGTATGGGACATCACCCAAAGAACAAATTTCCCACATAACCACCCCAAAAGACCATACGTCAGATTTTTCAGAATATTTCAAGTGACGTATCGCCTCCGGTGCCATCCATTTCAAAGGCAGCACGCTCTGTTTGACAAGACTATTATTTAATAAATAATCTAGTCAACGATAAACAGGTTTATTTAAGTATACCGTGGGTAAATTGTGTGGGGGTGGCTGATTAATCTGTCCCTGTTGTTTCTGTGCCAGGGCAAAATTGCAAATCTTTGTATTCCACTGAAAAGTTACTAATATGTTTCTCGCCGATAGGTCGTTGTGACAAATCTGTATTAATTTAAAGTAAAATGAGAATTGTAACCTTTTAATTATTTATCCTATAATGCACAATTATATTTAAATGACGTGTACCTGCTTGGACGCTAAATACGTCATTCCAGCAGCAATTTCATAGCACCACTGAAGAAGCCTATATCTTGTTAGCGTTAACACGGGCCCACTGTGCATACGTACATTCGAATAGTACCGTTTATTTAATTAATTTCTTATAAAATTAGCCAACGACCTTTCTGTATGTGTCACTGTGGAACGTATGGAATCAAACTCAAACTCTGAGCTTGGGTTGCAATGCCTCATGAATTTCAAGAGGTTTCCATTTCCACAAAATTCAAAAACCAAATCAAGATTCCCTAAGCGTGTACGAAGGCTTAGAATTAGCTGTTATAAAATATGAATTAGTCTTAAATGCTCAATTTAGTATTTTATCACTTACTGTTTCGAATATCTGTGGTGCATGCTCCAATTAAATTGAGAATGTGACGCTGTGGTCTCAAGTCTTCTAATATATTGATTTCTCTCCGTAAAGCTTTGAAGCATCGCTCATTGTCATTCATGTTTACTGACTTTATTAAAATTGGTGGTGATTTGTGGCGACGTTTAAAGGAATGATTTCCATTGTCCAATTCGATTTTTCCCAAAATATAGGAAATTGCAAATTGGCCTCGTCCAACTACTGACGTTGCTATTATATAGAAATGCATGCACATAAATCGTTCGTTTAGAGCAAATGTGGATCAATAAAATACATGCAAGGCTCTTACTCCGGACCAAATTTTCCTTGTTGAACCGAACTGGAACAGGCAGATGTTTTTTCTCACTCATTTAAAAATCAGTTGTAAATCTTAAAGGTTTGTGAATAAATACTGAATAAACATGGAAAATTCAAAAGTTGTAATTAAATATATATTTTATTTAGTTGAGTGATTGATTTTTATCTGAAAAAGGTTTAAGTAAATTCAGTACAAGACATACCCACAGTGGAACATCCCTATGATTAACGCCAAAAGTTTTGTAGGAAAACCACCAAATATTATCGAGTAGTAAATGGCAGTAGTTTGTGTACCAAACACAAGTCAAACTTAAAATATATCATCATATCCATACGTCAAATTAGTGGTCATTAGGCGCACATCCTTGTTACAATATTTTATTGTGCATTGTGCAATTTGTGCATGAAAACATGACCATCAAGCGGAAACAAGGGGAGCTTTGTAAAACAACCAAAAAAGTGATTAATTAATAATAACAAAGAACAGGTAAAGTCAAATGGCATGAACTAAGAAACTTTGACACAATTCAGGAACATAGGTTTCAAGGCAATTGAGTTCTTGATATATTGAAAGCAAAATACATGATCAAAGTTCAACACTACCCGAACACAATTTCATGCTGCATCTTTCATTAAGTTGTGAATATCATTTAGTGTTCCACTTGTTTGAAACGTAGATAGCATATGATTCACAATCGTACCAAATTTATTTAATTAGCATATGTATTAGATCATATGCTAATTAAATAGCTTTTAAATAATTTTCGAATATTCATCTTACTGGCGATATTCTTCATGAATCATTAACCCAATAAACCTACTTTTCTTTAATAAAGGATGTGTCGCAGAGAATTTTTTTGGTCGTTGCATATGTTTAGTAAATAAATACGTGGAAGTGCATATGTACGCAATACGCTCAATAATAATAAAAGAGTTTTACTATTCTCCTAACTTTTAACGAACATCCAGCATCCGGTCGTCGTGGTTGTTGCAGCCCAAAATCGCCGCAAAGACTCATTTATTTTACGATTGAAGATTATTTTATTATTATACAATGCAACTCACGTGATATTACATATTCAAGATTCCACATATTACTTGTACCACAATTGTACTATCCTGCCCTACACGAAGGCAAGCAACTGCATACAGACTGGTTCTGAATCTGACTTTATTATTGTGTACGCATAACTAACCTTATATCACCATTATTATGTATTTCCTTACCTTCTCAGGTTAATTTTGCACATTATTAACTCGCATGCACCTGCAAGAAGACATGAAGACGAAAGTTGAAGGCTGCTGCTGTGACTGAGCCTCCCATTCATGGTGGATTACTTTTCATATCTTATTAAACTGTTTTTGTTCTTAAAATTTGAGACGAAATGTGAATTTGGTTTCAGTTCTCTCAAAGACTTCCACAACAAAATAGAGAGGTAGCAACATACATAACTTTATTCCCAAACTCTTCAGAATCTCAGAGCAAAACAATTTTATGCCACGCATAATCTATCATGCGAAACTGTAACGTTTGGCTTATTTTATGGGAAACAATCAGCTCAACATTTTACATATTTACACTTTCTATAAATTAAGCAACATGTTAAAGTGATATTATCCGGCTGTGATGTGATTTGAAATCTCGAGTGATTTTAAAATCTTTAAAACTTTATCAAACGAACCACAAGAACCGAAAAAATGGATACCAGAGGATCATTTCCTCACCAATCTGGGGAACAAGAGGGACTTGCTTCGTTGTGTGAAATTGGGGATCCGATAATGAAGACAAATAAAAAGTTTAGTGCAACGAGTTACACAAGTTCGACCAGATTTCAAAGATTTGTAATTTCATTCACTGGTTCCGTGGAGAATTTTTTCTATAGGTAAGCCAATTCCATTTTCTCAAAGACCTTGAATTAGCTGTCGTACATCAAAAAGTCACGTAAATAACGCTCACGCTAAGCATCAGCCAGCAGGAACGTGGTTAATTACTTGACATTGCACTTTTGACCACGAAATTGAAGACTTGTTTTGCATTCCGCTTCCACCAGCAGAAATTTGTGTCAATGTCGATCTATTTATTTTATATGACTTTATTGCAGATGGGGATACGGAGTGGCAAGTCATCCTTACCAAACCCTGACAGCGTGCCTCTTGTTCACTTTAATTTGTAGCATGGGACTTATGAATTTCACATATGAGGACAGGCCGGATAAACTTTTAATTTCTCAAACGTCTCAACTTGCATATCACACAGATTGGCTAAGGAACAATTTTCCTTCTCCTGTGAGGTCGGTGTCATAATATTTCAACTAAAATTGACAAAATTGAAGACTGACAAATGAAGCTTAATGATAAAAATTTAGGTTTAGCGTTGTGATTTTCGGCGCAGATAACGTTTTAACGCCTCAGGTGTTTTCAAAGGTAGTCACAATTGTGCAACACCCAGTTTCATCTTTGCTTTAAATTTTTTGCTAATATTTCATGAGATGAAAATTTCGCCAGAGTTTTCATACATGTAATTCAACATTAATTATTATGTCTGCTGACGGACTTTATGTCTTCTTTTTTGTATGTAGATCATGGACGTACAAGAGCGAATAGAAAACATTACTGTTAAAGGGCGCAAGTGGAATGAAATTTGTTTCAAGTATGACAATATAATACGTACTTATGTATGATGCAACTAATACATGTGTGCATGCATACAAATGCAGTAGTGTGCAAAATCATGTAAAAAGTGTAACGAAACCAAATTAATACCATTAAAAAAAATTCGATCTCAGGTTGCCAGTTACGAAAGGGATCACTGTGAACTCGAGAAAACGCCGCAATTTGGAAAGTAGCTTTGAGGATGACTTTTTTAACTCAGATATAAATAGTAATGACGACGAGTCAATCAACAATACCAGAAACGATGCAAAACAAAATGACCCTTACTACGATTCCATGCTTAGTATTGATGACGATATATATTGCGAATTTGTGGAGAGTTTGGACAGTGCATGTTGGCAAATCAGTCCACTGGAATTGTGGGAGTTCAACAGAACGATAATTGATAATTTAACCCAAGACGAAATTATCCGAAAAATCAATCATGAGAAAATTAGGTATTATTTTATGAGCACATGCAAGCTTTAAGAACTAGAATAGGTAAAATTTAAAAGTTAATTTTGCACACAGTCCAATATTTGGGAGGCCTGTCAACTTCACAACGGAGTTGGGTGGAAAAATTACAAAAAACGATAAAGGGGAAGTCATTGGAGCCACGTCAATTATGGTACTTTGGTCGATAAGTGTAAATAAGACGGCGTTAAAGACCGGCCAAGCAGTTAGAGACGACGGTACAGGTACATATGCACATACATTGGTTACAACCATACAATATCAATATTGCCACCTATTATTGTTCCGAGCAGTTGATATATGAAGTAGTGACAATATTGATCATTTTATGCAGGTGAGCTTGCAGACGAAATTTCCTTGGCATGGGAGAAAGAGTGGCTTGCAGCAATGGAACAATATGATGCTACCATTAACAAAAGCGCTTTGAGTTTCAACTATGTTTCCGGCCGAAGGTATCTGTTCTCCATGCATGACACATTTTTTGTCTACCAATGAATTAATTTAACATTAAAATGCTGGCTAGTTTTGGAGACGTGTATAAACAGACCATGTACAACGACATGAAGATTGTAATTCTTGGCTATGCCGTCATGTTTGTTTATGTCGGATTAATGCTTGGGAGATTTAACATGATTGAACAAAGGGTGAGCACAAAATTGTGATAAATTTTTGTTGATACATACTTATTGAATTTCAATTTAATATTATGAAACGTGTCGTATTTTCAGCCTTACTTATCATTGGCTGGCATAAGCTGTGCTGCTCTTGCTGGACTAGTGACTTGTGGCATTTGCTCCACGTTCGGTCTAGCATTTGGGAATGTTAACAAAGTTTTGCCTTTTTTACTCCTCGGGGTCGGTGTCGACGACATGTTTGTGATAATGCAAGTGAGTTTTTCGCGTTGGTGGTGAGATACCAGGGTGCACCGAAAGCAGGCGGCCCCAACCACACCCCAGTTGTAGGAGTCCCAGCTAATTTTATGCCTCCTTCCATTGCAGTGCTGGAAAAATCTTTACCCCAATGTTTTAGCGAAAAAATACAAAGAATCAATTCCTCAACGAATTGGTATATCTCTAAGAACGGCTGGAGCCAGTATTACCGTCACATCGTTAACAGGTAGCATTTAATGATAATCATCTCATACTGTAAAATGACATTCACATATAACATTCTTTTCTTACTGTTTTTGTAGATATGGCTGCTTTTGCAGGTAATAATACATTCATGCAGCCAAACAATTTGAATTAATAATTTTAAACAAAAATAATTCCGACTTGTTTATTACTCCTATTTTTGCAGTCGGAGCAACTACAGTGAGTCACATAATAATAATATTTGCACTTCTTGTAGGCTTTACCTCTAGCAAATTACTAACCATTTTTTTCTTTATGTGGCAATATTTAGGTCCTACCCGGATTGAAGTCATTCTGTATTTACTCTGCTGTAGGAATCATTGCCGTTTTCTTCTTTCAAGTTACATTTTTTATAGCGTGCCTTGCAATTGATCAAAAGGTATTAGATTAAGTTTGAAATTTTGTTGACCTCTCTGAACTATATGTGAATTTAATATTGTAAAACTGATCTTCTTTATATTGCTTTCTTCTCTTTATAAAAGCGACTGGAAAATCGACGAAATGCATTTATATTTTGGAAGCAGTACACAGAGGCAGATTATGTTCCTAACAAATGGAGTCAAAGCAGTTATATTCAAATATTCTTTGAGAAAATATTGACCAAAGTTATTCTTTCAACTCCAGGAAAGGTATATCATCATATTAAATAATGTAAATATGTATTCATGCAGTGATTTTTTAAATCAGAATTGATCTCCAAGTTGTACTTATTTGCAGGTGTGCGTACTATTAATTACCTTAATGTTCCTGGGAATTAACACGAATGGTAACCTGAGGCTTCGACAAGAATTCGACCCAATGTGGTATTTATTTGAATTTAATTTTGGATAAGCCCTTATATAAAATTAACTTTAAGAGTCAATATGTACAGGTTTCTTGCACAGGAATCCCACATTGTAAAATATATCAACGCCAAAAAGGTACTTACGTAAACCCTTCTAAATACTTTTGCAGGTAGTTATATTTCTTACCTTTATTAATTTAATTGACAAAGGTGTACTATCCATACACGGGATTTAACGGATTCATTGTGGCAGATCAAGTCAATTGGACAGCTAGTTTTCCGGGCTTTGAAAACTTTGTTCGAAAAATGAAAGATGCAGACGCCATATTTTTATTTGACCCTTGGTACGACGACTTTAAAAAGTATTCCAACAGAAATTTCAAAACAGGTAAAAAACATCACTTGAAATAAAATACTCTCTATATTTATTGTAATTTATTTGTTTTGCAATATCTTACATGATGCTATACAGATAGATACATTTAATTTTTACAGATATTCCAAACAAGCAAATTACTCCAGAAAAGTTTCAGAGATATTTAGGGAAATTTCTATTTAGTCGCGTCGGGTCAAAGTACAGACAGTATTTTAGAGCTGAAAAGGAACTCACTTGTGGACAACGGGCTTCTCCGATTGAAGTAATTCAACTAAACTTTCTTCAATGGACAAAGGACATTAAACCGATGGACTAACGTATTTTTTTACTGCTCAGATATCCATGATGCCATTCAAATTTAAATATTTCCGAGGCAGAGATGAACATATCCCTGGAATGAATTCACTTAAAACCCTTGTGAAAAATGCGGACATGAAATTTAACAATGGATCAGGTGGACGACTTTTTCCTTGGAGTTCCGGTACTTTCGTTAAATTTTTTAATCAGGTTTATCCGTAATTTAATGCAATTCTTTATCAATTAATTCTAGTGTTTGTCAGCTGGGAGACCGATGAGGTGAGTCATAGAGTTAATGCTAATTAATTAGAAAACTATATGAATAATTATATTTTTTATGCACAGATTATTACTGATGAACTGTATAGGAACGTCACTTTATCTCTGATATGCGTCCTCATTACAATATTTTTCCTTCTATTTAACTTTCGGGTTTGTAAAGAATTTACGTTAAATTTGAAGTTAATTGTTTCAAATTCAGATTTTTGATGATAAAGGTTTGCTTATTTTGCGGAATATGCGTAATCTTCACTGTCATCGATGTTGGTGGGGTCATGTATTATTGGGGGCTCAGTATTGATACGATAACGACGGTGGCAAACGTCGTTGCAATCGGTCTTTGCGTTGGTGGGTTATTTTTACTACAGCAAAAATTACATTGTGAAATGTACTTAAAATTAATATTTATAATTGTCTGATTAATCATTTTAGATTACGCAGCTCATATTGGTATGATGATACATTTACATTAAGTACATTTACTAATAAATAATTAAGGTCTAGCAACAAGTGTTGTTTGGCTTGTAGGACTGGCGTTCTTAATGTCCACCGGGAGTAAAGATGAGCGTGCAACCAAAGCGTTGACGGATATTGGTCCAGCCGTTTTGAACGGAGGGTTTAGCACATTCTTGGGCATCATACTTTTAGCAAACTCAGAAACTCATGCATTGCAATCATTCTTTAAGGTGAGTGCAGTGAATTGGTCATGTATAGATTTTTAACGCCATAATGTTTTTAGGTCTTGACCGCGGTAGTGTTTTTTGGATTATGGCACGGTTTAATATTCCTTCCTGTGCTGTTGAGTCTCGTGGGACCAGATCCTTACCCAGTAACAATTTTGGTGTCAAAAGGAACTCATGGACCTGTTCCACCGGCAGATCACGAGGCTCCAGTGAATATGAAAAATGAAAACATAGAATGGCTTCCTCTATCTCAAACAACGAATACTTGCGACGATATTAATGCAACAAAGGGAAATGGAAAGGTTTAATTGTCAACAAATTGTTATATAATAGCTAGTCGAAAATGTTTGTGATATATTATTATTTAATTTGAAATACATGAAACTGTTATTATTCCGTCCTAACCTCCATGATCAGATTGTTGGCTGTTTTTTGCACATGTGTCGTCCATCCATATTATTCACTTTTGCGATTTGCAAACAATGGATTGTCCGACACATACCCTAGAATTCATTATTCGTGTACACTAATCCTAACTTAGAATAATAAATGCAGTAAAATATGTGAATAGAAACGTATTATGCACCCGTCATACTTATAGGTCCTGGATAAATATATTACTTGTGTATGTGCAACATTTACCATAATGAAGTCAGTAAAAACATCAAGTTTTCTGTTAGCAGTATCAGGTAAGACAACTCTATTTATTTAAATTGAAATTTAGTCTATATGCTTGCCCCTGTATACTGCAAACAGTGACCTTATCGGCAGTGACTTCATCACCCTTCCAACCAAACTACTCAGAGAGAGATTCCGCAAGGACAAACTTGGGACAATCCATTCAAACCATTTTTAATGAAAAAACGACAGAAACCCCAATAGAAGTATCAAGTCCTCATTATAACATGACATTTCTCCCAATAATCATGGGAAGCTTTCCACAATCAGCTTCCGACCCTTTAATTTCGCCCGAAAGTTTAGGAAACTTGGAAGAAGTTAACAGGGACTATGCACAATCTGCGCCTAATATAACAAAGCCGTACCAACCAATGATGACCCAGATTGCAATTATTCAACAAGTCCCCGTCGTTACCTCCGGAGAAAATTTGTTTAACGGTTTGGCCAAAAACGTTGGACAACTGAACGTCACTGGAGTTATTTCAGAAGCTTTCAAGCTGGCACAAATCTCAATTGGTCTTTTTGGTCAAGCCTTGGCAAATCAACTGACTGTCGACTCTAACAGTTTACTCGTAATCCACAATAGTACTAAATTGGTCGGAGAACAAGTAAAATTTTAGATCTGGACAACCGACTTGTCCAGCCTTTCATTGCTACCTCGCGATTATAATTATGCATTTCTTTATTCGGAAGGTAAATTAGTAATTATTTATAGTGATACGAATAGTAATTTGGCAGGTTGAGATGTCTACCTTGTACACCATTTTATAATGGTGATATGTAATAATAAAATAATTGCAAGTTGCATCCTACATACACGGCCAGCCAGACTCTCGTATCCAATGTATGGTCGTCTCTGGTGCTGCTATGAATTGTTGAGACCAGTAACTTAACTGTACTCGTCGACCATTGTAATTGTCTTTCTCGCTGTGTAGTTGGTAGTAAAATGGAGGTGTGTGGCGTGGGTAACTGCAGTTGTATCTTTTCTGCGGTGACAAAAGCTTTTAACCATTTAACCTTTCTTTCACGTCTCTCTGCCCAAACACAACAAAATATATATCACTACCAGCATCTGAAGCAGTTTACAAAAAACTCTTTCACAATTAAAATTCCTCTTCCTGGTCACGATCCGAAATACGAATACATTCATATACAAATCAGCAGAGATGCCACTGCTGATAAATAGTAAGCGAAACCATTTTCAGTTATAGACGGACGGACTTCCTTTCCAAGAACTGGTTCTTTAGGTTCGCAAAATCCATCTCGAAATTCATCCATCAGTAGTCAGGCTGAAGTCGTTGTCAGTATAAAAGTCAAAACTGGTGGCTCAATAATGATCTTTCAACAGCCTTGGTCAATGTCAGGGATTGGCAAAACCGAAAGGGACAATTGAGATGGATTGCGTCCGATTGATTGTTGTGTGTAGTATGCATGGCTTGTACAACTGTACTAATCCTAAGGATAAGTAATAACAACAGCTTGATAATGGATGGATGGATACTAGTCAATCTTATTGGACGGAGTGTGGCAGAAAAAGTCGGTTTAATGAGCCACAAAATTTAACCACTTTACCATGCACTCGGATGTAATCATATAACGGGACATAATGATTGATGCATGGTATTGACGGAAAATTATTACAAATGCAAATAAAGGTAAAGAAAAGTAAAACTAAATATCAAAGAGGATTGAAATGTGCACATACGAAAATTTAGAATCAACTGACACCGGTACTACAGGTATGCATGTACTTCGTAGGAAAATAATTACCACATATATTTGACCAAAGTGTTATTGGTATAAAGATACTGTATTTTGACAAGATCATTTGACACATTATCACTCTTTATAGGGAGAAGCGTTACATATGTAAATACTAAGCAAAAATCAAGCAATCGAGAAGTTTTACTTATTTGAGTTTTTAGTTGACACTAAAGATACTGTCTCCGATGGGGTCAGGATTTTTCAAGTACATCATATACAGTGCAGCAAAGCTAATACTGCAATAAACAATAATTAACAATTAAGTAAATTCATGAATAAATTAAAAGATATATAAAACTTTCTATATTCATTCGAACACATTTATAAAATAACACTTATTTCATTTTACTATGATTTAATTAATTTATAATTACCGAAAAAATGAGACTTACAAGATGCTGCTGAAAATTTGCTTGAGATCATTTCCAGCACGAAAGTAGCTGATGTTGACTATGCTGACGGATAACGCAAACCAACCAGCGTACTTCCACTTTATAAAACAAAATCATAACATTAGTTAATAACTCCTAACAGGTGGTGTTAAAAATAAAATGCATAATTTAATTGAACCAGTTACATCCATACAAACTGCAACAATGCTGACAATCATTGTCACCAATACATTGATTTCAAATATGTTGGGATCCTCGTCCATATTTATTTTTCTCACGTTTGAAAAACTAGAAAAACAAACAAAATAATTATTTTATGTTTCCAATTGTAAACAAATGTTTTCAAACATTATCAAAATACAATAGTTCCATTTAGCAGAGGTGTAAGTATCAAATAAACAAGCGGTTAATACCTAACTTCACGATTTTTGCATCGCGGATCGAATTTTTTCTTCCCAGAAGGTTTCGAATCCATTGCGTGTAACAAATTGGTAAATATCCAATACGACAAATATAGTCTATCAAAACGTTTCAATCCGCGACTCAAAATTAAAAAGCAAAATTCGAAATGCAGCGTGGTTCGAATTTGGAGTAGAGAATCAGAATTTTGGATTTTGACTTTGCGACTCTCGGTCTCTCGTCCAGTGAACCATGTGAAGAAAACCGACATGAGCATGAACCCGGTGTTGAGGATTTTATTTTCATAGCGAGGGCATGTTTATTTATTTATTTATTTGCACTGGCTGATCAAAAATCCGTTGATATGTTGATAATTATAGCGCAATTGTTGTCATCAAACAAAAAACCCGAGTGTCATCGTCCCTAAATGGTTTTTACGAATTTGGGTCTCTGGTTCATGTTCATCCAAAGTAAGTAAATGACACTATTCATTCCTTCACGGTTGCAATGGGGCGTGTTTAGAGCCAATTTATAACATGCAAAATATGAAGATGAAAAAAGGTACTCAACCATCCCCCTCTTGAATTGCATTGAAAACAAAAATTTTAATTCGCTTTTTGCACCGTGTAAGGAACTGCTTGTTTAATCTCAGATGTAAGTATTATAAAATAGTCATCACATCACATCCACCTGTCGTCCCTGTCTGTCATTGATCGTTCAATTGAATTCGATCTTGTCCTGTGCTGTTGGTGATGATGTGAACTTTTGTTAAAATATCACCTACTTGTCAGAGAATAAGGGTGTTGAATTACATATCTACATATGTATCTACATCCCACCACCATATACAAAAGTAGGTTATTTATTTACTTGAAATTGACCTTTTAATTCAATACTCTTCATCTCACTGTCTACCTTGCAATTTAAGAGCCTGATCATTAGACTACTTACGTATGCACAATTCGAATACTCGGAGTGATCACAAATTGAGACACTTTTTCTTACAAAACCGCATCGTAATTCGTTCATCAATTCATAAAAGTCTGTTGCGTGTGTATCGCATATAACAAAAGGGAGATGCTATTCCACTATTTAATAGTAGTTCGTTGTTGGTGGTATTACAATTTATTGTGGATTGAGACCTTTCATCGCAGGATTAGTTAGAATGATGCTGTTAGATTTTTATTCTGCAAGACAGCGTGGATCCACTTGACTTTTGTGTTTGGTTTCGATGTAAGGGAAACCAATTCATTTTTTCCGTCTCTCTATTTTCTGCTGACATTCAACAACCAGCTGCAGAGGTGATGAAAAAAGTCACCTATCAAAGTGCCTACTATCTATCTACATGTAAATGAATTGTATTAAATACATGCAATAAATGCATCTTCGTGGCATGGTTTGATTTCACTAAAATTAGGTTCAGATTTGCAAACGTCCAAAAAATAAAGTGTAACATATTTTAATGCTGCACAGACAGGGGAAGAAAAGCGAGTTGTCTTTTGTGTTTATCAATAATTGGTGCACACGCTTTTTATCACATCCCCTTCATATCTTCTCCCATTGACAACCCAACGGGACTCGGGCTTACAACGAGCAAGGAAGATGATGACGAAGGCGACGACGACAGGAAACGTGGTGCATGAAGTCGCCTTATTGAGCCAATGACGAGATTTTTGAAGGGAGGACAATAGCATTATCATCTTCGTATCATGTTTGTGCCACCGGGGCAAAATCAACCTCGCTAGTTAGCGACTTGCCGGAGTTGTCAATTGAGAATGAATGGAAGAATGTCACTCCAAAATGGGTGCTCCATCTCATCCTCTAAACTATTGACGAGGGATATAATGCATAATTTTAATTTGGTGTGGAATGAGGTTTAGGTTTATGGTCTAGTTTGAAATTGCATACATATTTGCATCTTGTACCCACATACAAATATAATATTGCGTGTATGACTTGCCAGTAAAAAAATGCATACAGTGGTTGTATGTAGGACAAGATTTTAATGAAATCTATTTAATATTCCAAGATTTTATAATCTTATAAATAAATTGAAATGGGATGGTCATAAAGATGGCAAAATAATCGTTGTGGATTTCCCACCGAGAAAATGATACGCTTATATTGCGACCTGCGTTATCTTTACATTAGTCAAACGAATGATATAAAGTAAACTCGTGTAGGATTACAGCGCTCATGGTAAGAAATGTGGCGGATTTGATACGCCATTGTTGTCGCCGTGGTCGTCGTTGCCTCTTTCCGTCCAAATTAAATTAGTTTAATTAGGAGGAAATTAATCCATGTTCGTCCCTCTGCGTTTTCCGCAATCAAAGTGCCGGATGGTTGAGTTGAGATTAGCAGTGGTGGAGGAGAGATGATGAGATGAGGAGTCGTCGAATATGACATGTCACGGATGCAGCAGAAATTCAGAAATAAATAAGATTGGATCCGGTGTAATTCCGCCTAAATCTTTTTGATTGTAGTTTTAGTTGCTCCTTCGCTTCTTCAAAGCTTAAATGTTGGTATGATGGATTACGCCTTTGTTGAAATGAGTTGGCCGGGAGAAAAGAGAAAAAACGAGTTGCAGAGTTTAGGACATTTCTGGGTCAATGCGCACAAATGCATAAGTGAGATGGATTGCGTGGATAAGAACGGGATTTAATCTATTACCTCAGTCAGCCAGAGCGAGCAGATGAGTATTATTATTTTACTCTAATTTACGTTGTTTATTACGACAACAATGCTCATGCAGAATTTTAAATTTTCTCCGGTTATCCTGTGGAATTAATGGCATATGTATGCATGTGTGTTGCTCAATTTTGAAAGACCAATTTCAATTTGCAAGTCGGACTTGATTGCTTAATAACGCTAAAGTTTAATGCGCTAGGTGTACATATGTAATAATACGGTCGCTCTGCCAAAGCTTACTTCAGATTTAAATATGAATGGATGCAGTCGTCGGCAGATAACAAACAATACGTATGGTTCAACTTTCGACCAACATATGCATGTAAGTACGTACTAGCAATTCAGCGGTCAAATCAGCCATTCCACAAGCACCCATTACGTGATGGCGTGGGTTAATTACAAAAATGAGAAAATAATGTTTCATCATACTCATCTGATGATTTATCTTTACTGCAAAATCTTGATTACACTTTGATTAGTATATATGTACATATGCAAGCAATAAAAAATATAAAAAGATTCTAGTCTCACTGACTGCCGCACTGTTATTCATCCTGAGATGGAAAATTTTTCATAAATCATTTGAAAAGCATCTTTGTTTGCATTGTGTACAGTAAAACGAATAACAATACAGATTAAACAGACACTTGTGTACTAGTACTGCATACAATAAATAATTGCAAGAAATACAAGTGGCAGGCAAATTATGCTTAAATCATTTAATTGTATTACAATAATTTCGAGTTTAACCTAGATGTGTTCAAAATCCTTAAAGAGTTCTTTTTATGCGTGATAATTATTATCTTAATGAATGGAGGGTACAAAAATGATAATTTTGAGGATTAGGAGACGCTGATCATTTTAGGGGAGGGTGAAAGCTTTACAGAATCTAACTTAATCCCATTAATTATTTGTAACATTGTAATTAAATAATAAACTCAGACAGGCAACACTTGAAGCTGAATTATTCAAGAAACATATAATTATTACGTGTTTGATGGACAGTACGATGAAATTTGGGGCACTGAAAATTCCCTGGTTAAATGTACCTAATAAGTATATTGGTCGGCTAAATGAAGTTTTTGGCAAATTTTTAGACCAAATTATTTTTTGAATCGTGTCTTACTTTATTCTAGAAACAATAGATTTTGATTGTGTTTGATGGCTGAATGAACAAATTTGTTAATAAGATGGAACATAAAAATTCTAAACTAATAATAAATGGATCAATCATTATGCATTATGTACACTATTACTAATAATTATGTATTACAGGTGTTTAGTAAGCTGTACATTACTTTGTACCATACTTTTACCGAATCGTGTCAGTGGGCAACTAATTTTCAAAACTCTTTGATTCCGTGTCAGTTATTTCCATTAAAACGAGGATTTTCACGAGTACGGGAAATCTCTAAAGAAATAAAGGTTAAAGTGATGAACAACTTGAATGGGTTTTAATCATGACTCTGCACTAAGGAGAATGAATCTATTATGAAAAGTGTACAGAAAACCATTTTCAGAAGTGTTTTGATTTGGGTTGGTCAAACTAAAAACCAGAGCAGAGCAAGTGTTTTCCATTGTTTGCTTACAATGAACTCGCCAAATAATGGAGACGGCTGATATATTTGAGACGGGATCTGGCAGGCTGGTAAGAATTTCCTTTGAGCTGTCTCTTCCTCACATATTTGCGCTCAAATACACGAGCAATTTTAATCTTTGCGGAAATTTTGCGTTTCGAAATTTTCCAACGGCCTGCAAGTAGGATCATGTAATTAATTTATTGATCTCACCTTTCAACCCGTGAGTAATAATTAGTCAGAAAGAAATATGCCCATTTTT